TTGCTTCTCACGCCTAGGCTTCCCAGCAGACAGAAACTGCCATGCTGGTCCTGAGAGTCCTCGGCTACGACTCTCGACCCTCGGTTCTGCTCCACCTGTTTTCTGGCAGCTCGAACTCGCAATAGAAATCGGAAAGATTTGTCGATGATGCCATCTGTCGGTGGAGCTTTGGGACTTGGGACCCAAATGGCTCGGGTTTGTTAGAACGTAACTGTGCAGCTGTTGATGGCATCGCAGCTTCATTCGGATGCATGAAATGCCTTGCTCGGAAGAAAAGGCTCGCCAGAACCACCTCTTGCACTGTGACCACAGATGCCCGGGCTGGGAAGACAGCAGGGGTAGGGGCTTACGGGTCTTTCGTCGGGCTCGGTAGCCAGGGGTACGACTGGGAAGACGGACTACGTAGCATCTAGCTCGCAGAGGCCTGGGTGTTTGTAGTCGAAAAAGCAGGTGCAGCAGGGACGCCCTGCGGTCACAGTGGTACACTAGGCTGCGATTCGTACTAGTCCATTTGCTCCAGCGGTGTGCTCGCTGTCGCGGTGCAAGCAGAGGCAGTCGGAGAGCGCTCAGGCATGCTGTCAGCCTGTAGTGCATAGTGCTCCTGCATGCAACGGAGCATGGTACCAGGTCCATGGGGTAAATGCTGTCGCCAGTGTCCTTCCATGGGCCGCTTTTGTTGTGCTGGTTCCATTTGAGAGGTCCCACGGGGTCCTGCCAGCATACGGGACAATTTAGGCAGAAGAGGGGGTCAGCTTCCCACACCGATGGCGCAGGTACTTTGCGATGGAATAGCACGAGCCACATAGGACCTGTCAGTGGAGACATACGGGTTTCAGGCAAGTAAGGCCAGTATGGGAGGCTACAGGGGCCCGACTTGACACAGATGCGGCAGTGGGGTCCAGGCAAGAGGTCTCCGAGTGGTCCACTGTCCTGAGGGAGGTCACTGCGGAAGAGGGCAGGTGGGCCAGGGGCAATGTCGGCATGGCCTGATGCTTGAGACAGACCTGAACCGGGTAAGTGACACTGGTGCAGTTTGGTGCGCTCACAACAGGGTACTGGGCTTCCGGCGGTGGGCATAGACTGGCCGTAGTACGCCGAGCACTTAAATCTCCATGAAACCTTGCTACCCGGAACACGCCGGCAGATGAAGCAGCCCGGCTGTGACAGTGTGGAGGGTCCGGCTGCTTTTGAAGGAAGACGTGCGGCCAACCCTGCATGTCATGAAGTCCATGGGACGGGCCAATGTGTCTCACAACGCCAAGAGTTCCAGGCTGGTGGCCTCCTGCCAGTGGCGCATACAGACCTGCATCAGAGCTCATCAGAGATGCTGTTGGGGCTGCTAGAGTATCAGGGATCGGATGTGGCAGTGAGACCTGCCTGCCGCAGGGGCATCTGCGAAAAGGCCGGCAGGAAGCTGATGCCCTGCTTCCAATTCGTTTGCTGGATCCTGAGTGCACGTCAAACAACCCTGTACCTCTAGTAGGCTGACTGTGGCAACCCATGCAAAGGCAGTGGCACGGAGACAAGTAATTTGTCTGGCCGCAGGAGGGTCCGGCACCGGTCACCACATTCGGGTTTTCCGGGGTAGGTCTGTCGGTGTCTACCGGTCGCGAGTGCCTATAGTCGGTTCTGCGGTGTCCAATCACCAAGGAGCAAATGCGGCGGCAGTTCGCAAAGGGCGTTAGCTGAAGAAGGTGGTGCTGGATCCGCCTCCACATCGTTCTAGGGTATACCAGCCGATAAGCATTCGAGAGCCACGAGTAGTCCTGTACCGTGAGTGGCTGTCCCTGCTCCCAGTTGTGCCACAGTCGATGGCAATCCTGGTAGATGGCCCTCCAGTGGGCAGACCAGGGCCTCTTCAGCATCAACGCCATTGAGCAGGCTCGCCAGCGACGGCGTTTGCCGGTGGCAGGTGTGCGTGCAGCCGCCACATGGAACCATCTCGGCCAGTGCGAGCGCCGGACTCGTCGCCATCGTCTGAGCTTAGCAGCTCTGTGCGCAGTCTCAGCCAGAGGCGGTGGGGTGGCAGGAGCCGGGATGTGTTCGGTCACCACAGTGTCCTCGAACCAGATAGAGTTCCCTCGTCCCATGGTATGTCCAAGGCCGGGTGCCGGTACCGTACTCGAGGAGGTGGGTCTGCTGTCTGCTTCGGCCTGCGGTGTTGCCAAGGGGAGCTGCGAGGAAGCACGGACTCGGGGCATCTTCTTCGGCTTGGGGTGTAGTCGAGGCGCGGGCGCCTCCGCGGTTTCAGCCCCCTGTCTGGTCGGGACCCGGGTGGCTCGCGGTCTCCGCTGCGAGTAGAGGGTCAACGGTGGTGCCACACCAGAGCTCGAGCTGGCCGTCCCCTGCTCCCGACGCTCCCGTGCTTCCCGGGCTGCACGTCGTTCCTTTTGGCCTGGCTTATATCGCCACCGACATTGGCGAGCATCCCAACCCATGTTGACCCTCCTTAGCCTATTCTTGGAGAACTCAATCCGCGTCGCCTGGTAGGCCTGAGACGGTGGAGTCTGCACCAGGTACTGGGAGTCGGAGTATCTACGGGAGTGAGATGAAGGATGGTGGCATCCGAGTGGTTTGCACCTAAGAGAATGTCCTTGGGCCTGTCGCATCAGGAAGTGATTGCATGCAAAACCGGCACACTGTCGCCAGGAGGTGGTGCACTGCTTGGAAGCGGCTGCTATGCGCGAGAGCTGCCAAGGTTCGGACCACATGTTTGGCGTCGAAGTCAGGACCGGACCTGAGGGCAGGCAGGCATTGGTAAAAAGTGCCGTGGGACAAGAGATGACAGGGGCCAGCTGGAAGCAACGGCGGGCAGTGGAGTAGAGATGTCCGTGGCCTGACAGACAGGCCGCTCTGCAGTGAAGCTGCTGTATCTGCCAGGGTTGTCGGCTGGGGCTGTGGCGACCGCGAGCCGGCCAGCCTGTGCGACGAGCAGAGTACGTACACTGGGCAGCGCATTGTGGTCGGGTGGCCTGCTCCTTATTCGTGGAGGGGTCCCTGCTGCAGGCCTGCGTGACAGGCAGCTGTCTACAAGGTGCAAGCATGATGCGCGGAATTCCTGCCGAGAGCCGGCCGACCTCCCAGGAGGAGGCAGCCGAGCTATCCATCATGAGACCTGAAGTCAAAGGGTTTAGAGTGGGCCTGCTAAATCTAGTCACGAGAATGGGACTGCAGCAGGGCTGGGGCAGGGTCCACTTAGAGTACTGGTAGGGCTTAGGCAGAGGGTGGCCGCGGTGACAGAGGCAAGCAGACGCAGATGACTGATTTTCGTGTCCTCGCCGATGGCTGCCGGTCTCACATGCGTTCGGCTGGTGCCGTTCGTACGACAATCTCAACAGAGAAAGACAGGCTATGTGGCACACTGACAACGAGGGCACCCGGGTAGTGGGGCATTGTGGCCGCTGCGCCAGAGGTCGTCGTGGTAGTCGTCGAAGGTCCTGCAGCAGGTCCACGGCGCACTTCATCTGTCCCTGGGCCCGATCGAAAAGCACCAAAAGCTGCAGCGGGTGTTCCTGGAGCAGGACCCGGGCTGTTAACTGGCATCGGCGGGGGTGGGCCTGCAGGTGCAGAGGCCTTGGCCATGGGAAGTGCTGTAGCCGGTGTGACTGATCCCGTGGTAATTCCTGAGGGTGATCCAGAGCCAACGGGTCCGCCGCGTCCTGTAGGTATATCCTCGTCACTGGAGCGGAGGAGATCAGACAGGTCGGAGTCCGAAGCTGCAGTCGCCATTGGCGTAGAACGGCCTTTGGCCTTTGCCTTGGGAACCGTCCGCGGTGGCGGCGTTCTGGAGACGGATCCTTTGTTGGATCGCGGTGCCATGATGGTGCTCCTGCTGACAGCAGTCGAAGAATCACCGAACAGGCGGGGTCTGAGCCCTGACAAAGGTGCTGACCGGCCAAGGGCACAGGTAAGGCATTGGCACTGCTCAACAAGCTGAAGTTCGATTGAACACATGCACATGGTCTATGCTGGGGTAACAGCTGTCGGTGCAAGTAGCTCGAATCAGCATGCTGGTGCGGCTGAGACCAGTGCCCTGCGTGTCCCGTAGAAGGCCGGGGTAGGCTACCCACAAGGCTGAAAGCTGCGAGGCGCAGCACAAGGTTAGCAACTATGCGAGCCATCCTGCAGCCTACAGCCGTGTTCGATTGGGGTTCCCCGGAGCTGCTAGCGAGCTTACGTTCGGGAAGCGGAGTCTCAGATTTCAATTTCATCGCTCCGCTGTGAGCCAAGAACCTTAACAGTAGTAGTAACAGTAGCAGTAGCAGTGGCAGTGGCAGTGGCAGTGGCAGTGGCAGTGGCAGTAGCAGTAGCAGTAGCAGTAGTAGTAGTAGTAGTAGTAGTAGTAGTAGTAGTAGGAGAAGTATGAGTAGTAGTCGTAGTGGTAGTAGTGACTTAGTAGTAGTAGTAGTAGTAGTAGTAGTAGTAGTAGTAGTAGTAGAAGTAGTGGTAGTAGAAATAGAAATAATAGTAGTAGTAGTAGTAGTAGTAGTAGAAGTAGTAGAAGAAGTAGTAGTAGTAGTCGTAGTAGTCGTAGTACTAGTAGTAGTCGTCGTCGTAGTGGTAGTCGTAGTGGTAGTAGTAGTGGTAGTGGTAGTGGTAGTGGTAGTGGTAGTGGTAGTGGTAGTGGCAGCAGCAGTAGCAATAGCAGTCGCTGCAGAAGTAGCAGTAGTAGCAGAAGTAGAAGTAGTAGAAGTAGCAGAAGTAGTAGTGACAGTAGTAGCAGCAGCTGGAATGGTAGTAGGGGGAGCAAAGGAGTAGGAATAGTAGCAAAAGCAGTGGTACAGTAGTAGTCGTCGTCGTGGTGCTGGAGGTGGTAGCAGTAGTAGCAGCAGCAGTAGTAGTGGCTGATAGCAATCAGTTGTCCTCCTTGATGCTCATGGTGGTGACCAGCTGTCGCGGTGGTCCATTCGTGCTGGTCGTAGTAACAGTGATACTCGAAGCTGGCTTCGAGCCGACACAAGTTCCTCCAGTAACTTGGTCTTGGTGTTTAGGCTCCTGGCTGAGCTGTCCAGTTGAAAGCAGACGTCGCTCAAACGCGGTCCTGAGCCGATGTGCAATGAAGTGGAGTCGGAACACAATCCGTGCATCTCCAATCTCAGGCAAGCTCAGCGCACTGTATGCTGAAGCCCGGCCGCCTCAAGACGCCGGTGGGCACTGCATTTTTTAGCTCTCCCGGTGTAAGGGCTGAGGGTCAGAAAATGCGATGCGCCGTGTGCCATCCAGCAGCAAGCGATGAATCGCTCGGTCAAGCTTCCCGGGCACACGACTCGTGCCTCATCTGTGGCAGGTGTCTACTCACATTTCTTGCAATGCACAACAAGGCGGTGGCGGTCTGCTTCAGCTTCAGCAGCCTTTTCTTTAGAACCTGCCACCACCCAGAGGTGAAGTATTCTGCTTGCATAAGGTGTTCAAGGTCACATCCCCAAGCCACCTTCCTTCCTCGAGGCTCTTTTGATGTCACGCCTTGGCATCCACAGCACGCGGCTCAACCCTACAGTCAGCCAAGAATCTCCGACTCAGAGTCAACGCGGCAACAGGGAAAAGGAGACAGATACGTACTCTCTTTTCTTTGATCTCCTCGTCTGCGGTCGGCCGGATGATTTAATCAGTCTCCTGGACATCAGAGCTATGAAGGCGGCAATCGTTGTCAAATTCACTGTGTACATGCAGTATGTGTAGCAAGTTTCGGCAGGAATACTCTATCCACTAAGTCAGGTCAGGAAGCAGGTTTCAGCTTCCAGCCTTCAATTGCTGCAGTCAACATGTCCCGCACAGCCAAACTGCTTAGCTGCTCATGGTGGTAAACTCTTCCTCCGTCTCGCAAGCCTCAAACCAAATAGCAGAGAAGTACTGTGGGGCCTCCTCTGTCAGCGGAAGTTTTGGCACTAGCACTGTCGCCTTCATGATCTGGCCGGATGGAGCTGTAAAGCTTAGACTCTGTGCATCTGCAAGTGGTTGCGCAGGTCCCGTCCAAAATGTCTCATACAGCCGTGCACCTGGTTCGCTCAGCATGTATGCGGTTCCGTGGGCGCAAGTCCTTTCCAAGCTCGCCTGGTCCAAATATGGCTTGGTACCACTGGCTGTTTCCTTCCATTTCATGCACCACCCGTGCACAACAGCGGGTGTGGAGGCCAGCACCGTTTCTGCTGGCACGATTGCTGTCACAGACTCTTCGGAGCCACTGTGGGAGAAGTACCATGTACCGCTTGTCGAAAGCGTCTTGTGCTCCTGCTCAAGCGACCGTGAAGTTAACAGTGGGAGGATTTCATGCCCTTCTGATTCTGAAAGTTGTTGATGCAAGAATTCTGGATAGTCGGAAAACCCAAACACAAATAAAGACAGCCTCTAGCTGTTGTCCTCACTAATTCTGATTGCACCTTATCTCTCGTACAGTACAGACGTGTGCAGCTTGTATGCTTGCAGCCATCGTTCGGGAGACGTGGCATTGCTTGTTTCAGTCTCATAGTGTCACCCTCGAGTTGCTCGAAGCGGTGTGCAAGCTCCTGTTACCAAGCGCTGAAGGTTCGGAGTGGTTCCGTCAACAACTCGTCAACATCAAGAAATCCTGGGGCCCGCGAATCAATTTTTGGGCAAGCGAGTTCCGAAAGAACACTGCAGGGAGTCCCTGCCTCAGCCTCAGCCTTTTGCACGAAGGAGCTGCAGCAGGCCGATGCTGCACAGGCATCTGGTTCAACAAAGGTTGATACCTGAACGGGTACAACGATACGAGTTGTCTTAAAAGCACCAGGTCCATCAGAATATGCTTGATATTTCAGCAGTTGCTCACGGACATAAGGATTCGTTCATGTCTCGTTCTCGGAACCCCGTTGTGAACACGAAATGGACGATCAGCAGATACACACACACACGTACGTGCATACAGGCATGCATGCAAAACAAATACATACATGCACCGCATAAAGATATACCTGCATAATTTTGGTCATGTATGTATGTCTAGTTTGTGCAGTCGCGACCTGGTCAAGTCGTGTTTCAGCAGGCCCGCTTCCTGACCCAGTGCCATCGCACCGCCAAAGCCAACCATGGATGACCACCCAAGCGAAAGTTGGTCGCATCGCGCAGCTGGTACTGGCTGACTATCTGGAGGTGAAATTCTGAGATTCTTTACAATGCCCTGGGCCCAGGAAATGGATCTGCGGAGACAAGGAGGGCAAATCGATCAAACCAGAAATGGACGACGGTCACGAACTCGAACACAACCAGACTGGTTCTGCGAGAAGAATTGGCTCCTCACGTGACGCCCTTCTCAAACGCTTCACCTTCTTCACCTTCTCGGTCTCTGGATGGATGCTTGACCTGCCAGGCACCCTCAGCTGAAGTCAGACCCAACACCCGCGAAGGTCACTCAGCTGGGCATAATACCGTCCCTCCCCTTGGTGCATGCAGTTCTCGACTTTGTGCTTCGTGGGCTCACCCTGACAATCCAGGACAGGCCTGCTAGACTAGCAAGTCAGGCACGTTATAGGATTCGTGGCTATTCAGCAAGGTCTTGAGCACGGTGCCGCAACTAGATAGTTATTGAGGTCACGACTCGGCATGAAGCCACAGCATGGATCGCCATGCCCTCTGTATACTCTCCGCTTGCTGATATCTCTGACTGCATCACGTAATTTTCGTACGGCTTGCAACTCCCGTCTGGTGCTGGTGTGGCACTCGTGCATGTCCAATTGCTTCGGCCTGGCCGGTTGCCCCGACTCGGCACGTATGCAAATGAAGTCTTCAAGCCCGGGATTTCTTGACCGGGTCGCCATTCCGAAAGTGCTGCCGCTGTCCCAGTCTTCTTTACTCACTTGCACTTTCCTTCCCCTCCCTTCTCCTTCACATCTTCGTGGCTCCAGGGCCCCAGGGAACCGCAGAAACAGCCTGCGATCCTGTGTTCGCAAATTGCCACGTCGTAACTCAGATGATCCTCCTGTGTCGAACAGCTGTGAAACCGGAAGTTACACCCACATTTTGACAGCAACTGCATTGTACTACAAGGGTTTCCTTCGAGTGTGCAGTCTGTGCCTCCCCGAGACACGACCAAGTCTTTCTTCCTATTCCTTTCATCTTCAGGACTAGGATGGTCTTCAATGGTTAACATTACTGCCGCTGCTGCCCTCTGTTGCTTATGCTTCCCTCGGGTGGTAAGTCGCAGTGGTCGTCGCATGGTCACGGGTCATAACTCATGACCGTAGGTTTCGATGATGGTCGTGGCTACAGTGAATGTCGTGATAGTGCCCCACTCCTCAGGCCTGATTTTCTTCACGCCGGCTTTCGCTCGCACCTGCGGACAAACTAAGGTCACTTGCCTTGGAAGCAGATCCCGGATGGACCAGACGGTTGGACCCTAATAATCATGAGGGAGCGAGCCGTCCAGTTTGCACGAGGAGGCTTTCCATGTCTGTATGATACCAGAAGCCGCACCAATGCAACCCCAGTCAAATGGTACAAACATTCCCAAACCCCACAAGTGTTGTGACACCACACGTAACGTGCTGCAGTTTCCGCAGGTTGCGTCGTGGACAATGATCCCCCAAAGCAAGAAAAGCGTCACCTAGATGCATTGTCTCGGCCGTCAGCCTTCTTCTTCCCAATTTTGGCCTCGGAGCCGTATGATCATGGAAAGACTGCTAAACCTCAAGATCAATACGGCAGCTCCCGCCAGCCTTACGAAATACTGCTGTTACCCTGTTATTTGGGTCCGCACAGGGTCTGAGCCAGCGGGAACAGGAAGATGCTTCCTCTCACTCCCGCCGACATTTACATGCGAGCTACGGTTGTGATCTTTGCAGGGGCGATGCTGAAAGCAGAATAGGCATCATAGCATCCATACTATGACTCTAATTCTAGCAGTATGACTAGCATATCTAGTACTATATATCCAAAGAATGATGTTGACAAATGGTATCCATAATCAAGGCCTTGGTTCTCAGAACCTGCCCTGGGTTCTTGGGGGTGGGGAAGTTGACTCTGAGCTTGAGCGAGATCACGGCTCCTCGAACCATCCAAGAGGCTAGAGGACTACTGAGAGAGGAAAGCCGAGCCGAGCAGCTTGAGCTCGGAAACCTGCTCTTACGAGTAGCTACCATCCTTCTGGTCTTGCGGCCACAAAGCAGCCCTGGCCGGATCCTAAAGCATCGATCGCTGACACTGGGGGTATCTGAATGTCAGATTCTCGCCTACAGCCCCAAGCTGCTGAAGTACTAAACGCCCCGAAGCTTGAAACATAACATTGCAAAACTTACATGACACCCCTCATGTAGCAGTGTTGATACCGAAGCAAAGTAGTAGCAATAGCAATACGTGATGGGCAAGGGCTTCATTGTAGTTCCTCGTGGGACCCGGCCTCCGGCCTTTCGCAGGTTGACCTGGGCTACCGCCGGAGTGTAAGTGGTTTTGTGCTTTGGTTGGTGTGTATGCAGCCCAGCCATGCATTCCACACGCTTTACAGATCTTGCTGCCCTGATGCCAGGAGCCGCAGCTCTCACCTTCGTTCCGCTAGACAAGGACCTGCCATCAGTGTGCTTCCCGCCACGAGGAACGCACTTCAAAGCAGTCTTGCAGTCACGACAGCAGCAGCAGCCGCAGCCACAGCATTGCAGGAAGTTTGGGCTCCTTGCCACGACGTGCTGTCCCTGACCTTTACTATTTCGAGATCTTCAAGGACACTGGCTCGATGCAAGTTTGTCCTTCGAATATGAAATTGCTGGGTCCAGTTGCATCGGTGAGGGGCCGAGGGCGAGCAGGTGCATGCTGCTTCTGAAGATGCTCTCGGGTCCCGGGCCCCGACACCTCGCCCCCCTCTCATAACGGTCCTGGTGACAGTCGTCGTTTTCGGAAGATCACCGCGAACCGGAACCAACCCACGCAAACCACAGAAAGGGAGGACGATGCAGGCGACGGGTGTCACTGCAATGATCCGCCGTGCGACAGCTAGTGCTTCCGCGCAGAAGGGAGAACCGGCACCAAGAACACCATTTGCAAGGAGAAAAAGGTAACATCAAATCCTCTAATTAGTGTCGTAACGAGCACCACAAAAGATGACATTACTTTCATTACTGACCTCTGAAGAATATTGTTTCATATTGTCTCCTTACCCTCGGCTCCAGCCGGCCAGCTGCTCAGCAGCCACGCACAGCGTGGGAGGATGGGGGAGACTAGAACTTCAAAAGATCAACTATCCAAGCAAGACCGCACCGTTCCCACAGAGGGGCAGGGAGGCGACAAGCCCAAACAAGAAGGCCACCAACTTGACAGGCAAAGGGGAGAATCAGTGGTTGAGGGCAGCAGCAGCACTGCGTCATATATGAGTCTATATGTTTGTACGTATGTGCATGCGCACGCACACCTCCGGGATTTACGACTAGTTAACTTGCGCACGCTGCCCGCCAACAAGAACAGGTCTCTATTGAACAGCTCCAAATTCGGCACAGCCGGCGTCCTGTCGTCAGTCTGGCGCCCTGGGGCGTGAGGACAAACTGCTTGCTGTTGGCACTGCCCCACCGGTACTCTGCGGCTCCTTGACCCGTTGTTCCTGCTCATCTTCGTAACATCGTGATTCAAGCGAAAAGTTGTGCTGCGCAAGGGGTGTCGCATGGTGTCGCGGCACCCTGCTTCCCCGGCAACTAGCCTGCAACTTGGCTAGTTGGTCTGCGGTCAGCATCTTCGCGGGCCGCTTCAGCGGGGCTTCACGGAGCGCCCAGCACCCCTGCCCTGCCCTTGAGCACGGCGAAACGTCTGAGATCTCAGATTTGGCCTTCGAAAGGCGCGGCGAATGACGTGAGCCAAAATTGCTACGGTGTCTCTGTGTGTCTGTGTGTGTGTGTCTCTCTCTGTCCTGCTTGCTTGGTTGCTACAGTCCGGGTCAAGGTCCAGCGAGCTGGACCCGCGCCGCGGCGCCCCCCACCTTCATACGCTGCAAAGGGCAAAGGCTGTGGGGTCATTGGACTGATTTTCAGTCCTGAGGTCGGAGTTAACGGCGTACGGCTGCTGTAATCCCCTGACCCTGGACTTCATCCCGCATCCCGGCCTCATCACCGGCCCTCTACGGCAAATCCTTAGTACCTACAGAAACCGGGCTTCTTCAAACACGAAAAAGTAGTGGCTGTAGTGAGGCTCGTAGCACAACAGCGAAACATACTGTGCAGTGCAGTAGACCATTGACGACACCCCACATCTGCCCTACTCGTCAAAGGTATATTCGATCTCCCGAGTCAAGTGGATAACGAATTGGCGGCAAAATCCCCATTCAAAAAGCCGAATGTTTCGCAGGAGTGCAACTAAAAAGGGGGGCAGAGCGGCTCCCCTGGTGGTTTGCATTGATATCTGGCTCCGCGGCCCGTCATAATTAAGCTTGGCATTGCAAGCGGACTGGGGGCCATCGTTGGCAAGTTAGATGTGGGACCGGCGCAAGAGAACGGCATGAAACACAGCAAACTGAGCAACACTGTGGTGTACATCACAATTCCCCTCCAATGTTTTCTCGCGCGCCCCTCACTTCACGGTGCTGGTTCACTCTTCCATCAGCTGGCCCTCGGTGACGTCAAGCCAGTCTGGACTACTGTCGGCTTCGCTATCGCTGCCTCCCCAATCCACATCCTCTGCCATGTCGCGCAAGTTGGCTTCACTTGGACCATGTTCGGTTTGGACTTCTTGGGCTCTGCCCTCTGAAGTCACTGAGTGGCTTGGTGCGTCGCTGTCCTCAGGGCGTTCCTCTGGCTCCCCCTTTGCTCTGGCGGCGGGCTCGCGGTGTTCCTTTCGTTGTTTGTGCGTCTTGGTGTCCTTCTTGTCTTTCTGCTTCTTATTCTTGGCTTTACACGCTCTTCCCACGTAGCGTTCTTCACTTCGGCGGGTTCAGCAACAGGGAGCCTGGGGCTGTTTAAGTTCCCCCCAGGTCCACAAGCAGATAGTAAGACTGGTAAGATAGTATGCTCCGTCGAGCGCTGGCGGGCCTCTTAAGCAAAATGGCGGCGGGCGTGAAGCTCAAGCACCGCTGGGGAAAGCGATAGGGCTCCGGCGCAGTAACAGCTCCAGGTCAATCGCAGTCTCTCGTCTCCCCCGATGCAAGAGGGCGGCAGACGCCCTCAAGCAACGGTGCAGCTTTTGATCCAAAATGGCCATTCGCTCTCTCGCCCTCTCTCTCTATCTCTCTCTCTCTCTCTCTTCGCTTCGCTTCGCAAAATGTCCGCCCCATTCCCCAACTGAGTGGTGGAAGGAGCTTTGGGGTCTTCGTCGGCAGGGGTTGTTTCCCTACATTAGGAACGGTCTGAGGCGAGTGTTTGGCGAGGAACCACCCTCCCTTTACTTCAACGCGCGTCCCGGCCTCATCACCGCGCTCTCTGGAGCAAAGTCTTTGATCCCTCGCCGAACATTTCCCCCTTGTTGACCCTACGGCCACAACTTGGTTCCCCTTTTCAACAACAACACAACACGTGCAAAACAACTGAGTCAAGGACAACCTTTCATGGTACATGTGGGTTCTCCCCGTTTTGTTTGGAGCGGTCCCTCTTTCCAGAAAAGCGAAAGATAATCACTGGTTTTCCCGTTTTTCTTAGTCTCTTGCTCGCACACAGCCAAAGGACAGCAAGGCGCTGCCCCCGCGCGAGTCCCCGCACTGGTGGGCCACGGCGAGACCCGCTTTCTCAGATGAGGCTCCGTTCTGACCCGGTCTTTTTCTTTCTCCAGGCTTGAGGGCATGCCCCCGCGGGAGCAGCCCGTTCTGTTGGAGGTTTGCACGGTTTTACGTGCGACTAGGGTTCAGGCTCTCCACGGGCCGAGCGTAGGTTAGGTTAACAACTGCCAGTTACCGTGCTGTTAGTTATTGCTCATGCCCCGTCGCTGCCGGCAGCACTCGGTGGTTGTTCCACTAGGGAGTTCGCCGTCTTCTTCCGCTGGGCTTAGAGGGCTGTTTAGGCCCCCGGCCTCATGGGCCCCCCACTTGTTATGGGGCTGTTGGGAAGGCGTGAGAAAACCAGTTAGTTCCCCAGTGTGTACGAAGAATTGTGTTGGACTATGAAAAGGCCGGGTTCGTAACTGGTGTTTGTTGACACGTGCAAGTCTACTGGCAGCTTTGGTCGAAGTCCCACGTCGCAGAAGCCATACATGCCAATAAAGTTGAAGTTAGCTGACCTTCGACCATTGTTTTGCTCTCTCTCTCTCTCTCTCTCTTTCTTTCGCCGGGGCTGTGGTGACGGGGTTTCCCCCCTCACCGCGCGCACGTGCGCCCCCGACTGTTGCGGGTGCCAAAGGGGCTGAAGGCATACAAAGACCAATGAAAAGAAAGATTGCAGGTTCTGGCTTAGCTCAGTCGGCAATCGACAAAACAACAGGGACCTCTGTTTGAATTAAGGAGCCTCAGTTAGGAGGCGGGTCGAGAGGTATCTGGAAGGCTCCGGCGGCCCGTCAGGATTGTTATACCACCATTTATAAGTTGCGATATGGACATAAATTAGAGAAAAAGCTGTACTGTGCGCTTTGCTTTGCTTTGCTCGGGGTTTAGGGCAGGAGCAGTGTGCGCTCTCTCTCTCTCTCTCTCTTGCTTGCTTGCTTGCTGAGGGGTATGGGCCTCCGGGGAGACCCATGCCCGTAGGCCTACCCCCACGACGGTTCGCGGCGGTCTGTCTTCAAGGCCCCGTCCGGGGATGAGCGATTCCCACGTTCCCCCAGATATGCCTGATACCCCCCCAGAACGCCACACACATTAACTACCTAAGACCATGACCATGTAAACCCATGAGGCTGTACCTGGGTCGTCCGTGTCGCTCCAGTTCAGCTACTGGGGATTTGCGGCTTCAGTGTTCACAACAGCTTTGGCAGTAACCTACAGTTGGCCGACATGATCAAACACCACACTTGCTGCCACTCCCCTGTCAGCAGGGCTCCAACCCGCCGACTTTTGAGACGCAGCTTTAGCCGCCTCTGTACGACGCCCACCTCACCTGCCTCCCCACCTTATCTTGAACTCAACCTCGCGCAACTGCACTGCCTGGCCTTCCCACCCCCACCCTGAAACCTAGTGAACTCTGCGCTACCGCTTTCACTCCCGTTTGGGCTCGGGCTTTCCACTGAGAGCAAGAAACCAACAACAGACTAACTTGCACTGCCGTTGCAACTCGTCCCCCTACCAAAACCGTCGCTGCGACTAGTTTGTGCCCTGTTCTTTGCGGAAGGTGACCTCCCCCGGCTCCCCGACTGCCGTGTATTACCACCTAAGCAACGTAGTCAAGGGGGTCAGACCATCAAACTCTGTCTCACTGGCCCCTGTGTCAAGAAATTAGGGGACTCAGTCGTCCTGGTCGAGGGAGCTTGGGTTCGTGAAACTACGGCGTCTCTCTCCCCACTCAGGCGTCGGTCTGTCAGGAGGGCTTGTGGCGGGTCGTGTAGTCCCCCTCGAAGTACTGGCCGCCGTGACCCCCTCGAGTTCGGGCTTGTTCGCGTGGCCAAAGCATGTGGAAGGTGCCGAGGTCATTCTCCCCCACCAGTTCCACCTCCTCCCCCCAGTGCTGGACCGTCCACGTGACCAACTCTTCTAGGGCCTGGTCCACCTCGTGCTTTAGCCGCATACACCAGTCTGGGGTGGGGTGGGTCAGCCCCCTTCCGGGTTTCCACTTCTTCCCCCCCGGCCTGGAGCCCGATGACATCTGCTGGCTGTGTTTGCCTCGCCAGTGCTTCGGCCCCGCCTCGGAACGGGTATTCGCCCACCAAGACTGCCACCCCTTTCGCCGCCTCGTCCCACAGGTTTCGGAGGGTGGCTAGGTCCCCCCTACCCTGTGGACTCCATGGTGGTGACTACTAGCGTGTGTAGCAGCGCCTCTGCCTCCTCCGCTGCGTCCTCCGCCCAGTGGGTCTGTTGCCAGTTGTGGCTGCGTTTGGCCCCTTGCAGCAGTGCGGCGCCCGCTTGGACCAGCTCCAGGATTTCAAGGAGTTCCCCGTTGCGGGGGCTGTCGGGGATTCATCCATGACCCCCGCCACCAAGGCTGCAATCTCGAAGGCGTTCGGCGGTGGCGGTGCGATTCGCCCCCTTCTGTGCTTCCCCCCGGGTTGGTCGAGCTGGAGGCTCCTCCCTCTCTCTCTCTCTCTCTCTCTCTCTCTCTCTCTCTCTCTCTCTGTCTCTCGTGTGGGTATACACGCACGAATAATCTCATATATATATATATATATATATATATATATATATATATTTATATAACAACAATCAACAGCATGTCCGCTTATACGTGGAAGCAGCCTTGAGATTCCAGTTGAAAACAATCCATTCTTCGGGCCTTGTCCGCTTCGGGCGTGCAACTTCGGCCTCCGAATGGCGAGCGCGGCGCCGGCCTGGAGGTAGCGGTTGCTTTTTCGTTGCACTTCTTCAGCAGCAAACTTCTGCAACGATGCGCCATTTCCGTTCCACCGGTGATTATTCAGGTTTGACGTTTGGCTTTGCCTTCTTTCTTGCAAGTTCCCGATATCTGAGCTGTACCGCTGTTGACACCCGATCGTACACTCCATGCCATCGAATGCCCATGTTGCGAATATGACTTAGGCATACTTAGGCAGTGAATATTTTTTAATCGCCGAAGCCAAAATTGTTGAAGGATGCTGAAGGAAAGTTCGTTCTGGACTTGCTTGCTTCGCACTGCTCTTGTTCTCAGCCCAATGTGGGCACGGCTTTTTGTTGCTGCGACCGCGCATGACAGCGATCGGATCACCAGGGAAAAGCTTTGGTGATCCCTCCAAACAGACGTCCACTCCGTCTGGTAGTGACAGGATGACCTGCGAGCCAAGGTCGAAATGGCCAAGTTCGTCCATCTTTGATACCTGGTCCCCGACTTTTCCGAGCGCCACGAAGCTTTGGACGGACCATTCGCCAATACAGAGCAGGCGCACCAAGCCGAAGGATGTGCTGAAGGAAAAAATTGTGAGAGATTCCTCGGTCACGTCGGTGTCATGACAAGCTGTACTTCCGTCTTGCTTTCAAGCGTCAGCACCAGGGAAAAGCTCGTCCTTCTGGTAGCAGTCAATGGCTGCGATCTTGCCGTCCACCGGGCTATGAACCCGGTGGTAATCCTTCCACGCTTCTGATATCAGAAATCAATGAGGCTGTGGGGCTGGGCCCCTCTCTGGATCTCTCTGGGACAAGTAAGCACCCTGCTGGCCAGCGCAATCGCAGCTGCACCAGCTGCTTCCCATCCAACACTTGCAGGAGCTCCGAAACAGCAATGATCGAAATCTTCAACGACATTTCACCACTGGGCACCTGCACAAACACAGCTTGTGTTGGTGGTATGCGGATGTGCCGAGGCTGCCGCATCTTGCAAAGCCCGGCCTGTTCCCATGCCTTTCCCTGCACGGGCGAGCACACTTCCGCCAAGGCTGCTTGGGACAAACATCGCTCACGTGTTGCCGGCGACAGCTCCCTTAAGAACCAGTCCTCATATGTAGAGTAGTGACAGGGCAAGAACGCATCCTTGCTTGGTTTGTACTTGAAGCGCTTGTTGATGCGGTCAGCTATCAATGTCCAGTCCTTACGGAGCTATGGCGGTCAGCAAGGGAACACGTAAGCATCCCTTTTCCTTTTGTGGTGTTCGTAGAGTGATTGCACATTTCTATCAGATTGTGGATGATTGTGGCCGTCACTGCAACCGTCCCTTGGCAGCTGAGAGGCTACATCCGGCACCTTGCCACCCGTCAGCTTTGCCAGGCGGGTAGCCTGGCACTGTTGACGAGCCCCTCCACTCGGAACTCCACGGCAACACAGCGTATCTGTCCTGAAAGAGTTCCTCATACCAGCTCACTTTTGCATGGCTTGCATCCACTTCCTTTCGCAACTTTGCAGCAGCAACCTGCATCAGGCGAGCTGGAAGTCTAGACTCGACTGGGGATCCGTCACGCTGAGCACTCCTGGAGTTCTGCCACTTTCGCAAGTTCGGAGCGAACTTCTTCGACTTCCGCCGCGGATGGCGTATGGTCAGAGACGGCCTCCAAGACTTCATCTGTACCTGAGCCCAAGATTCGGCACTTAGAGGCTCCGGCGGGCGGGGGCGGCTGCATGGGCGAGTTGAACGTTTCGTTTGGAGGATTCCAGAAAGAACTGCAAGCTGGAAGTCTAAGACCTCGTCAGCGTCAGGCCGCGGCGCGAGTAGCGAGTTCATGCCAATCCAATCCACCAGTAGCTGCCCGAGAGCGTCGACGAGTCTTCCACCTGCTAACACCGCCACAGGCAGGGGCCTCACATCAGACGACCGGCCGGGAATCTTCTCAGTCTACATCAGTCGAGAACATAAACCACCTGCGTCGCCTAATGCGGTCCAGCGGACAATCAGCAGGACAGTGCGCCCAGCCCACAAAGTGCTGCTTGTAGGTGACAGCCGTACAGCTTGGCACTTCCTCATCTCACCAGATGTCCAAGGAAACTCTGGACAAAACTCTCCCTGGCACCAGATGTCCAAGGAAACTCTGGACAAAACTCTCCCTGGGCTCTGCAAACCTTGCAAAACGAGCGTCCCCCGTTGCACATGGGCATGAACTGGCTCAGGAATTGATGGTGCGCAGGGCTTGAGCATCACCAATTCCAACGACCCCAGCGTTTCTTCTTGTTGCCTGCTCAGACAGTGTTGTTTTGCGACGGCGGCTTTGCTGCTTGGAGTGCTTCGTCTGTGTGTGTGTGTGTGTGTTTTATTTTAGTTGGCCTACTACCCTTGCTTGAGCCACCTCACGGCCGCCCTGAAAGTCTGACCGCTACATAACCAGCACCCTCCTTGAAACGGCGACGAAACGCTGCCTTCTTTGTCCTGGGTCGCATGCTTCCCACCTGAAAAGCCCGATGCAGCTTTCGCGAATCCACACTCCTCTGCCTACCACGCTCCAGGCCTGTCTTCCGATCTCCTTTGCTTTGGCCGCTTTGGCCTTTGCCCTTTCCCTTCGCGTACCTGAGAGCCGAACGTTCAACGCCCGAGCGACACTTCAGGCCTAGCCGCATCCCAATCCCGAGGCCACAGCTTCTCGAGCAACTTCTGCCTGAGCAAAGCAAGCTGGAGTCGGCAGAGGCGGCAGGCCAAGCTTCTTGCAAACGGCAGGGCGGCAGGCCGTCTCTTCCAATTGTGGGCAGCTCTGCTCCCCATTGCAGTGTGAAGCTGCGAAGCTCTGCGAGTGCTCGGTTTGCGGGGTCGCTGCTTGCTTTCTGGGACATGCTCAGAAGCGGCTGGGGCTGGCCTTGAGCGGGAAGCCGCATTCCAGGCCCAGGCAATTTTCAAAGGTGGATCGGATCTCGACCGGCTTGGCTGCGCGACGCTGTGGTGAGGACTGCAGGCCTTTCTTCCTGCTCACAGCCAGACCTCCCTAGCTGTAGCCATTCGTTTCGCTTCCTGGGCCATGCGAGTTGCATGGCGCAGCATCTGGAGCATTGTCCCGTAACGAAGTCATGTTATTGGCAGTCTCCTGCGCAAACCGAGACCGAACTTTGGCACGAGTGCACGCAGTGAGACTTTCCAGCATCCACAGGTATTCACACTTGTGCACGTCTTGCTTCAAAGACCTGCAGTTTATCACATGAACGGTTCATTATTTGTCTGTATTTTCAACTTGTATTCTACAAGTCACCTGGCATCACCTGGCTTCCTGTGACCAGGCAAGGAGAGATGGGTTGCCACTTGGACCCGTTCTATAGATTCCTATAGATTCTATAGCTTCAAAGACCTAGTGACTAGTTTGGGTCATTGCGGGTCTGCTGTGGATTTGCTGGCCACGGCAGCTGCGAAGTGGAACCCCAAAAATTCTGCTCATCGGCAAACTCAAAACTCGCATTAAGCTGAATTAGCGTCGCTTCTTGTCTTCAGTGCAGCAGTCTACCTAAGCTGTTCTGGACAAGATGCGCAACGCTCTCCCATGTTTGGATATCTCCACTCCCTAACCGGTTTGCACCAAGCTGCTGCATGAATCGTCAGCTCTCAGTCCCAGCCTGGGTCATAGGATGGCGACCGGTTCGACAGCCTTGGCTGCATGAATTTCACTAGGATCCAACTTGTCAGCTGCGCGAACTTCCACTCTCCAAATGAAGTGGGTGCTGTCCGTTCGGTTTTTGTTTATGGTAGCTCGGTCGCAACAAGTCAACATGACCAAACCCACAATGACAGGTAAAGCTATTTCTGCCACTGCCGGGAAACAAGAGCTCCTGCGGCGAGTGCGACGACGCCAAAGAACATAAGCTGAATTCGAGCGCACCTGGATGCATTAATATGCTCATACTTTCCTTGGGCCCTGATGTTCTGCGTGCAGATGACAGCAAGTGTTTGTGCCTAAGATCACATGATCTTTCATTTGGCTTGATGTGTCACCTTTTGCTATTGTACCGGCGCAGGAGCACCTCGCACCATATACTAGCTCGAAACAAAAAGCTTACGAGGCTCTTGAGACTGCACTCTTGTTCTGCTCGGTGTTCCCTTCATGGAGGTTATGGAGGTTATAGTTATAGCTACTTACTATTGCCGCTGGACGGTGTCGTTCTCACCCTGCTCAACGTTTAAACCGGAATCGCAACTGCCATCCGTTCGGACTGAGGCACGCGGTTCCGGACATTTCTGACTTCGAGGAGAAAAGGAACGGTCTGAAAGCTTTGCTTGCTGGTCCGTTGTGCCGCGCACCGGCTGGCTTCTTCCTCATCGCAGGCTCCACGTGCCACGTCCCTGCACAAGTGCGAAGTCTGGCTCATGGTCTCGTGCAGGGTACGGTGTAACCTCCATAGACTGAAGAACATCCCCAGCGAATGCCTCGTCTACACCTCAGAACACCCCACGGTCCACCGTCTCCCACTATTCCCCAAAAGACATTGCGCCACGCCCTCGCCATGCCTTGGTCCTTACCAGCCAGACCCGCAGGCACCAGGCCACCGCGAGGCACGGCCGCTTCGAAGGCAGCGTCCGAGTCCTCTACAAACAGACAGAGAGACAGACACGTTCAAGGGAACGACTGAGGTGCAGTAGCCTGTACATGCCTGTACCGCAGTTTGTGCATGCTTGTGTCCCTTTCTGCAGATGCAACTACTAGCAGCACGGATACGCACCCGTTTCGAATGCGTTTTGGCTGCGCTAGTTGTCGCCCAGACCTTTGGTGCAGGGGCTGGTTCTGGCATTTCTTGCTGGAGTGGCTCATGTCAAGCTCTGCTTGTAATCTAGCTTCCCGCACAGCTTCGTATTTCGTACTTAGTACTCTGGCCGCTGGGGTACAGGCAAAAGAGGCAGGAAGGGGGAAACGGAGAGAGAGCGAGATAGAGAGCGAGATAGATAGAGAGCGAGATAGAGAGAGAGAGAGATTTGTGGCCAGACGCTCAATTTCCTCCTAGTGCTGAGTCCGGACACCATACCCCAAAACCATCCGAATTCCCAAATCTCCCTGGTGCTGGTGGTCTCCTCGCAGAGGAAGGCCGGCAAAGCTGTCAGATCCAACTCTGCCCCGAGCTGCGCTTCCCAGGAGCTCGCCTGAAGGGAAATCGTAGATTCGCTTGGCACCTGCCTTCGCGGCTTCATGTCTTCTCTCAGCTGCACCGGCTGCCTTCGGGCCACATGGAACCAACTTGTGCTGGGTGCGCTCAGGAAGCAACGGCTGGATGCAGTAGCGCCAGGCTGTGCTGGTGCATGAGCCAAGTCGGATGATGAATGCTTTGCGCACCGTTTCCTGAACAATATGAAATGCGGGCACGCCATGTATTATCAAACAGTTCAACATAGGTCAACTCATGCCACAAGAACTATCCTTGCGTGAGATTTCGCACGGATCTTTTCGTGTGCCGAGTGTCCGGGTAGTTGGCGTCGGTGATTTGGGAAATCTCTGCGGCGAGCTTTAGGCTCGAGAACAGCCGACTGGTCAAATTCGGGACGCCATACCGGCCGTAGTCGCCCATGTCGATTATCTGGAGTTGGCCAGCAATCACGTTCTCGGTGTCAAGCATTGCTCGACGAATCTCCTCATGTGTTCGCTCCATTCGCATAATGGTGTCAATCCTCAGCAGGCAGTGAATCCACGCAATTTCTGTATGGCCCTCGATGCTTAGTTCGACTCGCCGTCTTACGAAGAGCAGCCTGGACACAGCACGAGGTCCTTCCCGAACTCGCGGACTAGACCCTGGACGTCGGCGACACTTGTCCGAACCAGGCGAACTGGGACTCCATGTCCTCACCAGAGGCCCATGGCACACAGAACTTACTGACCGTCGAATTGCAGCCGTGGTCTTGTAAGCTCCGTGCTATCCCTGCAAAGCTCCACGTCTGTTTCATATCTCCTCCTTGGTCGCATGAGCTCATGCAACAGCCTTCAAGTTTGCCACTCTCGCCGCTAGCCCTCTGAGCACCTACGCTGCCTGCACTGAGACTATGCGCCGACATGCCGCTCCAATGTCATGCAGAGGCGGGGTGGAGGCAAGGAACGACATAATGTCAATTCACTTGCGGAGAAGCAGCATCTGTATGCTTCGTTGAGTGCTTTGTTCTTCGAGCTCCGCCTTCCACTGCTGGACCTTCTCCTGGACAGCAGAGTATTTCAACCCTTCCTATCAGGGTGCGCTATGTATGATCTGGAGCCACTTTCCGGATTGGGTTTTGTCTGCTGAGTCACTTCCACACTGAATGTATGGCGCCACTCGAGCATCTTCCTGAACATCACCTCCGCCTTCTGGAGATCGCCTCGAAGACTCCGCAAGGTGTCTTAACTCCGTGAGACCTTGTGGTTCCACCCGCCAAACCTTATGTTGTCATGTCCCTTACTGCCACAATGTCCCCACAAGTCAAGAGGATACTCCTCCAAGCGTTATTACACTGCTGCTGACTTCTAATATACTGGATTGTCCAGTGGCCATTCCGGGCCCGCAGGAAGCGGAGGAGAGTCTGCGGCTGCCGCGAGAGCACCTGCCGTCTGCATGCCTCAGTCGATACAGAGCAGAAGAAGTGAGTAAGTACCCATGTCACGTGCCGCCATCTGCTTGTGCGGAAGCTTGTGCAACGGAGTGTAACGGCATAGTCTATCTGCTTCGGCAAGGTTTCTATGTGGCGCATCTGCGCAGCTTCGAAGTTCGTTATTGTGTTGCCGCGATGGTTGCTCGTCGCTGTCGCTTGCCAGCTATGCATCCACGGAACATGCTTGAACTCCCCAAGAGCGGCTGAGGAAGTGGCTGTTTGAGGTTCGGGCGGTGAAACTGTTTGCTCCCACACGCGATGGCATGCATTCTACGATTATGTGCCAGCTACGGTTGCCTGGTTCGAGCTGCGACGTTGCCCCGCTTGTCGAAAGCTGCGACTGCGAGAGTCACGACAAACGTGACGCCAACAGGTCCAATCTCTGCAACTATTGGCATTCTTACATCGCAGTGACGATCGGATCGCACACCCAGCTCTTTGGGGCCTTTTTTTTCTTCTGGGGGGGGGGGGGGTGAAGCTGCTGGATAAAAAAAAACATAACAAAGGATCAACATAAATGAACATACCGGATCAATATAACAGTATAACAGTAAAAAGAAGACAACCCAAAATGGCCAGACCCAGCACGGCCCTTCTATGCTGCTGCAAATGTGTAAATTGCTGCATATGCTGCCGCTGCAAAGGCTTCAACTAACAGCAGTTCCACCATTTCTGGAGGTTCACAGCGAAGCAACGGTATAAACTTGCCAAGCTCCAAGCGCTGTGAATTGCAGCTCCAACGTCGCGGAAATTTTAGTAATTACAGCATTTCCGCTTGTTCAAACGCTGGAGCGTTTCCAGCTTTTCATGTGCTTCAATCAAATAACACCCCGTAAAACTGCACCATGTCACATGCTGAGAAGTCGGAGTACGAGCAGGGGCAATAGTAGCAGCTTTAGTTTTGTAACAGCGACAATGGTAGTAGCAGTAATACCAGCAGTAGTAAGTGTCGTCGTCGTCTCCTCGTCGTCGTCGTCGCAGGAATGGTAGTAGTAGCAGCTGCAGTAGTAGTGATAGTGGTAGTAACGACAGCAGCAATGGTTAGTGCAGCAGCTGGAGTGGTAGTAGCAGTAAAGTGGAAGTAGTGGTGGTAGTAGTAGTGGTGGAGGTAATAGCAGTCGTAGCAGTAGTAGCTGTGGTGGTAGGAGTGGCAGAGTCGTAGTAGTAGCAGTGCTAGTCATCGCCTCGGGGGGGAGGGGGGCGCAACTCCCCTCGCTACGAATAGAAAGAAACACATATTCTAGAATATGAGAACTGATGTTACTAGTCGTACGAAAATAGCCATAATAGTAACAGTAACACTAGTAAGAGCAGTAGCACTGGCATTCGTAATAGTGACAATGAAATAGTTGTAATAATCGTAGTAATCGCTGTAATCGTATTAACGGTACTAGCGGTAATATTAACCATCATCATAGTGTTCGTGAAAATGATTAGCAGAATACAACAACGGCAACAAAAAAATAGTCGCAAAAGCCATAGCAAAAGTAGAAATATCAAGAACTAACAGTACTAACAGCAATGATTATTATAACAATGATAATACTAAGTGTAATTGATAGTCATGCCATTTTGGTTTCGTTGGATCCCTATCCCCAGCTAGGGGGGGTTGCAGGGATCAAGCTGTTGAACGTTGAACAAGCCCTAGTCCCCCCTGTTAGCCGCAGCTGTTCTTCTCTAATGTTTGATATAACGTACAACTGACTCTCCTACTCTTCAAACAGAACAGCGTATGCATGGAAGCTGTTCAGGTCTAGGCACAAGGTGACCGTCACAATCCCGCAGCCGTGATCGAAGCTGGAGAAGCCGGTGAAACTCAGCGTGCTCAATGCCTTTCTGTACAATCCTTAGCTGCTCTGGGGCTTCACAAGAACGGTCTTTGCGTTGCGCAGCTCGTGCCGACGGGTGTCTGCCACTCTGCAACTTCTTCCCCCTCTCGGGCCTGCGCAGCTTCGGCGTGCAAGCACTGGCAGGACTCGCACTCACAGGAAGCTGGGCATCCGTCCAGCGCAGCCAGGCTCTCACCGGAATCGTCAGCCTTGCGGATCACGAGCAACCATCCTAGCCTAGGGCCTAGGGCCTAGTCGCGCTGCCAGCACCTCTGCCGTTTCCCTCTCGCTGCAACATCTTAACCAGTCGAACCAGGTGGTTGCCCGAGCCATCACAGGCCTTAACTCAACACTCCACTGAATTCGCAGAGTGTCGGGATGCGGAGAACAGGTTTGAGTATTCCAAACCAGGAGTCTTGCGTTCATGAGGAGATTCAGGAGCTTTGCTATGTTGAGCCATTTCGTCGACATGACACGAAGTGTGATGAATCCCGACATCACAAGCCAAAGCAAACCAACTTCTCGCTGTAGAGCAACGCACATAATTTCCTTCTCCTGGCGTGAACCACAGCTCGATCCGTATTGGGTTCAGACGGTGACCGTCTTGGTAGCACGGGGCTACTATCTTGTCCTTCGCCCTCAGATCCTCAGGATGCGAGGGTACGGCGAGACCTGGTAATTACAGAAAAAATTATTAGAATGTACACTTTGCGTTCAGGGTCATCGTGTCAACCTCCGATCGACCGACCGCTTAACGCAGCGAGCATGGCTCTCCCGAATCAAGAGGCATGCAGCTCTATCGGCCATCTTGCACTTAGCCGCGACTTGGTTTCTTTCGGTGAAACATGCGGTCTCATCCTCAACTTGCCACTTTGTGCAATCAACAGAAGGCATAAGTCCTCGGTTAGCTCTGCCATGGCATGACCAGCAACGAATCAATCAATAGTGGTGAGCGCAATTCATTTCAAGTGCTTCTTCGTAGAATGAGTTTGAACCCCCCACGTGTGATAACGTTGCCATGTGTGGTCATGCTTTCTGAGTGCAACTGCAAGAACAGCCCGGGCATTGGACGATATGCATAAAAACACTTGTCCTCATGCTTACGGATTTCGTGGGTGTTCTGTCTGGTTGGCATGTCGCCTGATGCTGCAGCCATGTGAACCTTCTGGAACAGGCTTGCTGACTAAGCTTGTGCTTGACTTGGCGAGACATAGGTTGACACATACTTCAACTCCTTGCTGGGCAGCCATCGAATTTTGGTGCCTTTTTCTGAGATCTACCAACTCCCATCTCAGGAAGACTTGGAATTGCAGCCAAAACAACGTAACAAAACCGCCACGGCAGCTGAGCAAGAGCACTTCATGCAACCCTGTGGCTCCACAACCACTTCATCTTCCCTTGCCACCTGCATCTTCGAAGTGCATTCATCTGCCATGCACATTCTGCCAGTAGCACTCTGCAGCAAATGCCGCATGCATGCAGAATGCTGCCTTTTCTTGTCCCTCTTGTTCGCGTCCTACTATGCATGGAGCCGGCGCGGAACCGCCCTCGGCAGCAGCAAGCGCAAACTCTCGCTGCTTCAAGCTTCGCTTCAGGGTTCCCTTTTGAGATGAGAGGCATTCTCCTTCATGAAAGCTCGCGTGGCTCGTGCGATGATGATGCCAAAGATAATCTGGCAGGCCTGGGCCACTTCTGGAAGCCTAAATGTGGAAGAGAACACGCTTTCCACCGCATCATGACATATAGTCATGTCATACTGGGTACTTCCCAATCCAGAAAATGCCTCCAACACCCCTCAAGCCTCAACAAAAATCCAAGGCCTGAACTTCAATTCGAAGGATTTTCAAGCGCGGTGCCCCTCTAGAGCACTAACAAGTCGCCACCGTGAGGTCGTGTAACATTGCGCACATGGCACATATCGTGTAAGCCCGTGCCTCCCTGTGTACGACTGCAGGGGCGACGAATGTACACATGCCATATTTGGCTAGAATGCCTGCGGTTTGATAACCCCCCTCAAATTGCAGTGAGCAGTCTTCGTTGCTCGTTGCTGCGACGACTATGTGCTGCTGTATGGGCACAGGCATTTCGTGATAGGAACGACAAATGCTCGCTGCAAAAACTGAACTTTGCTCCCGCAACGTCATCCTGATCTAAGGCTGGTGCCACGCCAAGAACTGCAACAGCCAGTGCGAGCCACCCAATCGGCACTATTACCTCAGCGATAGCTCTGTGAGTCATAAGAAGACGGCGTTAGCAAGTTGATAAATTCGAGATCATCATGACAACTATTCATGTTGCTGCAAACTCAGCGGACACAAATGTTGCGGTGCTCGCCAGTGACGTGTTTGTTTCCTTTGCGCTTGTTCGAAGTGAATTGTGCGAGTCTTCAAAGCGTAAGCGAGACATCAGCCTGACCGGAAGTGTTGCAACCCGAGCAGGTCGGCAAGCGGCGATATTCCAAGCGCTGTTGTCCAAGCCTGGCAATCTGAATGTTCTGGCATGTTCTGGCCATCGGGGGCTTTGTCATGCAACTTGTACGGCCTCCAAGATCTATTGGGTCACTGATCTTATTCGTGATGGAAAAGTTCCGAAAGCAGAACTTGTCCTCACCAGCCGCAAACGGTTCACAAACAGTGAGGCCCTTTCGCGTGAAACACAGAGGACAATCGTTGCAGCTGTGCAAGCACTAGTAGAGCTTGTGTTGCCCGAGTGTCTGCAATCATGAAATCTGCCGCGATGACAAAGCCTCCGTCGCCGAAAGACATGACACGGACAGCTGTCTGCTACTTTCGGATCATCTCCGCTGATGTGGCCGCGGCCAAGTGGCCAGAAGAGACGATCGAGGCCACCGCAAGCAGCAGCGTCGACAGCTGCGTGCATGTCATGACCTCTCCGCGAACCCTCCGAGTATTGTCTTCAATACTTCCGATCAGTGCGGTTGAAAGCTGGTTAAGTTTGGCCTGCCACTGCGAGACCTGCTTGAACGCAGCAGTGTATTCCTTGCAGGCAGCAGCCGGCGATACAAGAGCGGAAAACCGTGACAGAATCATTGCGAGCCGTCCGAACGCTCCGTTTCAAGACTGCTTAGGTGGCACGGTGGCATCAGCTGTCTCGCTACATCCTTTCTCCGGCACAACCCCTGCTGGCTGGCAAGCGGCTGCTTCCTGCAGATGCGAGGCTTTCCATAAAGCAACTCCCACCACACTCTTGAAAGGGAACCGCTTGCGTCTGCACATGCAAAGACTAGGACTGGTCGCCTTCGCAGTCAGCTTTGCAACGGCTTCGTGCTCTGGCCGCGGCTTGGCCAGCTCGTCGCCATCCTGTCGCTAAGGCAGCTCGCTTGTGCGCGTGTGATTCTGACCGGCCTGCTCGACCGTCTTCATGATGCGCCAGGTGAACAAGAGAACCGCTGAGGCCTGGCTGGGTCATCTCGTTCCCTTGAGCCACGGCTGAGATCCTACGCGACCCATCCTGGATGGCCGCTGCAAACCCGGTGACCGCACCGGACACCAGTGATTGTATCTGAGAGGAGCAGCACCATGTGACATGAGTCATACCACGTCACGCCCCAAGCGTCTCAACATCAGCAGGCATTTGAGTCCAACACATTGCTCTCGCTCTCGGCATCCGGATTGTACCTCAGAACTTGTGTGTTGGACCGCACAGTGTGGACCAGTCGCTCGCTTCTCCTTTCTTGCGAGCGGGGTGCGTCAAGAGAGCTCCGGTAGCGACTTGCGGAATGATACTGACCTGCAGCATCGAAACTGCTCACCTTCAAAAAACTCGTTGGCGACACCGCATTTTGATGCCTGTGGCCTATGCTGTCGATGCAGCAGCTTTCTTGATGATGCTTGGTGGAGGTTTACTTAGTTAGTTTACCGTTGTCTACAACTGCCGATGCCTTGCGGTCGCAGTCGGCTTCCATGAACTGCCAGTCTATTGTAGCTTCGTAGATCCCGAGCTCATTCTCGTTCCGTTTCTGTAGCAATACAATGAACACTGGAGGAACGCGATAAGCTTCCTGCCAAGACGATGGGTGTGGTCCCCAGCAGCATCTGAGGAATGTTCAGCTTCAGAATGCCACCTCAGCATCCGACGATTGGAACAGCCCATTGCCGCGAGTGACCCTCTGCGAGTCGAGGGGCAAAGAACGCTTGTCGGGAAGTCTGGGCCTGAAGCGTTTCGACAAGTTCCGACCGTGTGACTACGCTTTGACGCTTCGCAGTACGAACTCGCCTGCGATGAGGATGCAGACCTGTCGATCGCGCAGCTATGAGCTATCACAGGCCCGATTTAAATTTCAGCTTCGCGGTTACACTGGGCAAGAGGGCTCGAGCGCCTGTTCGCAAGATTGTTGGGTCGTGTTACGGTGCAGGCATGGACGACTCTGCTGACACCTCCTTTTCTGTAAACTACTTCCGGCCTTGCCCAAGCCCAAGCCCGGTGTCTTCAGAATCTTTTCGGTAGCACGAGCCGGCACCTCGTGGGAGCATCAGGGTACACTTTGCTAGAAGGCCGTGATTAGGGAAAACATGTCCTGGGTTGCAGTATCTTGTCACACTGCTTGTACTGCAGCACATGACGGTAGCAGTTTCTGGGTTCTAGCCAACTTCCCACTACATGTGGCACAGCCTGGCCTGATCGACACCCACCATCTGCTGGACCTTCACCAGCTTGCCAGCATAGTAGCCGATCATGTACTGGCCAACACACCTCGAAAGGAGGATAGTGCGAGGAAAAGAGATCGGCCGCTGATCCTATTCGAAGTCTTCGACAACGATTTTCAACTTGAGATGCCCAGGCACGCAATGTGCTTGGCTATAGAGCTCGCCACAACGCCAGCCTTGATGAAAGTTTCTGGGAACAACACATGACTGGTTGGAACAACAGAAGCCCCAAGGGCCCCAAGAGTGTTCTTCGGACGAGAGGCTGTAATACCAATAGCAAATCCAGGCCGACCCTCGAGCTGAGATTGTGCTCCGAGAACAACACCAGCCTCGAAGTCCCGTCATTCAGTTCACGAGGTGAAGGCATGCAGACGAAGCCAAAGCGCATTGCGCACAGCGAGCCAAATTAGGAGTTGAATAAGCCGACTTGGCCAAGGATCCCGGCGGGAGGTGCAAAAAGAAACTTAACGCTGCAGCGGGGTGCACGTGAAGAATGAACACAAGTGGCATTCGGGGGCAGACACTTGCATGCTGTGTCCTGATTGAGCAAGTGTCGCTCTTTGCAAGTGCATGCAGCGCGTGCCTGATGCCAGCAGTTGCATGCGTCGAGTCAAGACTTTGTTTCGCATCCGGTGTGCCAGATTCTGTTCGTGCCATGGAAGATGAAAGAGAAGCCCTGCCCAATGGACGATGTCTCGAGTCTAGACTGCGCCTCTCCTTGGTCACACCATCCCCCTTCGACGAAAAAGGCTGGCAGAGGATTGGGGGCTGGATATCTGACTGGTCTCGGCCCCTCCTCGCTTCGTCGCTTCGGATGACGGAACACGGCCTGTTCCGTACCGTGAAGGGAAGCGTGTCGATCCGTGTCCTGCTCACTTTTGTCAGCAAAATGCTGAGATTGGTTTGTAGCACACTGTCCAAGTTCGGCTGCTTGCAATTCTCGGACAAACATCTTCTTGCGATTGCTGCCGCACTCCGAGCATTCTGAGTGCGGCTTGTCGGCGAGCTTGGGAGTGCTGCTGCGGACGAGTCCTTGACTGTGCCCAGGCACTGCAACTCGGCGCACGTGTGCCCGGGCTCTGGGATTCAAAACAGCATTTGATAGATTGATTGATTGTTTGCGTCGCGCTCTGCACGGTGCCCGGTGTGCTGGGAGTGTCCGGTGGGCTGACCCTCCATTCTTCATAGGGGTGGGTAAGCGGACTCTGCACCGCTTGCATAGAAAGGTTTGCCGCGGTGCAGATCCTGACGAGCTTTACGAAATGGTGCTCACCTTTGAACTCCGGAATGCTGCATATGCTGAGTATGACATCTCATGCAAAAGTCGTTGGCGAGTGTTGACAATGGTTGAGGTCTTCGCTACGACCGTGTGACAGGGCCATTTACATGGGCTAGATTTTTTTGTGTTGACCCTGGGCCGACCCTGCTCCCACGAATGTGATAAAGACCCCAGTGCGCACCGGGTGAAACTAAGGTGGCAGGTGGCAGTCCGCCTGCTCGGATGGAACCAATTCAGGATGAGCGACGAAAAGATAGACAGCACTTCCCGGAACGATCGGGCACATGAACATGGCAAGGCCGATGCCGAACACCATTGCCTTGGCCCAATGAATCGAAAAGCATGCGGCTCCTTGTCTTGCCCTTTATCAGAACTCTTCCTACTCACGGTGGGCCGACTTCTGCTCTTACATACGACCTCTTCTTGCTCTGCAGCTGCTGTCAGCACCCAGAAGTCGAAGTTCGCAACCTGAGAGCTCAGTCCCAAGGACCCAAACAAAGGAAGGCGCTACAAAGGCTCCTCCTGGGCCTGCTGCATAAAGTGTCGTGTTCAGCCATGAGAAGAACACGTAGGTGGCCTGCACATGCTTCCGACCTGCCTAGGCCTTCACCACCTCTGACATCGTCATCAGCGCCTTCATGCCAAGGATGATGGCTATCTGGCAGGGGTTCACATGGCAATCGCACGCTCAACAAGGCTAGAATTGCAAACTGGCATGTCCTTTGTGAGAAGCAGCTGAGCACGTGACTACCAGCTCACCCAACAAAATGACCTGGCTATTTTGCTGGTATACACAAGGTGAGTGCATTTGTGTTTAGCATCTTTCTACTCAATACTGTCACCGCAGCAAGGTGACAGACCCTAAAACTGGGTCTTAATCATGATGCTGGGCCAGCGAGGGGCCTTCTGGAGGATTCCGCACCAGTTCCAGGTACTACATTCATCGACGACCTTGCGGCCTGTCGGCCTGCAGTTCGTGCAGCACATGCTGAGCTGAGCTGCATCCATGCCCTCACCACGTTTCAAAAACGACGGTGACCACGCGGGAGTCCTCAGACCTGAGGAGCAGGCGTGAACCTGTCATTTTGGGCTCCATCACCTCCTTGAACAGTGCCTGCACTACGGAGGATGGCACGCCCCGCACCACCAGAGAATCACATCAGCCTCGCAGTTTTCTCATGGATTGCCGGATCATGTCCAGCGCAGCCTCAGACATAATCGATTCGGAGGAGCATCACTAAAGTCACCAAAGCCTGGTCAAAAACAAAGTGACAGTAACAAGTAAGCTGTGAAAAAACCTTTTTGGACCACAATTGCTTTTCAGTCATGGGTCCAGCAGCGGGATGAAGACGGTGAGACCTCCAACAGCCATTGCCTCAGACCGATTTCTGGCAGGCGCTCGCAAAGAGCTTCCGGATATCCATGGCAACTCCCTGCCAATCGTCCACTCCTCACCAAGGGACTCGCACCCAGTCCGACTTCATGATCTTGAGGATGCTGGCGGCCTCGAGATAAACTACCCGGGCAGTGCCGCTTCCATACAGGGTGCGCTAACAGCTTGGTTGGTGGCCATGCGCCCCTCCGTGGCCAAGCGCTTGAGCTTTGTGTGGTCGATCTCCGCGTACATCCTGCGGCGGGGGCGGGAAGATTGCCGAAAGAATGATACACGAACCCCACCAGTGACCACCAGCCCCTGCACCCGCTGTCCATCCGACTGTGGCCGCCATCGTCAGTGCTCCCAAGCAGAAAATGGCCGAACTCAGCGCCACAGCAGATCCCGACACCTCGACATTGATGCGATAACTTCTTAATTCTGCAGTTGTACCGGTCCAAGTCAAGCACGCAAACGAAACTTGTTTTCGTTCGCCCTTCGTTGACGCAACGCCAAGTGGCATATGTTGCAGCAGCATACATAGCTGCAAGAACCATCCTTGGCGAAGTCCGGAGTCGGAGAGAGCGCCACACAGCACGATTCTCGAGGCTCTCTCTCTCTCTCTATCTCTGCCAGGGAGCACGATCATCAGCAGACATCCTTTCAGCACCTGCTTCAGATAGGCCACACCATCCACGTCATCGGCCTAGGAGCGCTGGCTCTGGCTCTCCGACGCTCACGCGCCGACTCTTGCCAATGACTTAAGCCGAGGCTGTCCTAGGGCCCTAGGGACCTCATGGGCCCTTCGCCCGCCTCTCCTTCAAGGCAAGGCTCGTCTTCAGCGGGATTGCCACGGACCAGCTTCCGTGACACCTGCGCGAAGATGAAGGCAAGGGCCGCTTCGACTCCACTGCCTTGGCGAAACTGTGTGAGAGCTCTTGATTTGCACTGCACGAGGCGAGCACTTTTCCGTCTTGGGTCACTGTTTAATCCCGACGTGCTCAGCCTTTGCTCGTGTAGGCAAGGAGCACAAAATAATCGCGAATGGTCCGGCCCACTGCAGGAACCATACCTCAGTTGCTTCCCAACCACGCTGAATGAATTGTCACCGACCCCGTCACTGTCCACCATTGTATGTGCGGCTCAACCGAAGCCGAAGCGTCATTCGCGGCCTTCGTGCAGGCTGCTTGAATAGCGGTCTGCTCTGACAAGCCTCAGGCAAGCAATTCAGCTGCCGAAGCTAAGCACCTTCCCTGACCGCCTCTTGCTATGCACCTCGCCATGGCCATGACCATAAACAAATGATGCTGAAAGCTTTCTTCACCTCCAAGTGGCTAAACCATGATGTATCGCTTCCGCTACCACAGTGGGTCGTGTAGACCAACGGTGTAGTACCGTTGTGCCAGAGGTAGCTGAAAACCTCGCTGTTCTGCTCGGTGAGCCATATCCTCCAATCATGTCGTTTTGCGTCGTTTGCATTTCACACTGAGGCTCCCCGTCGTTGGTCCCGGTAGATCTCTACTAAGACTCTACTGTGTGACATGTCTTGCATATACACAAAGGGGAAAGGCGATTCTGGTAGTGCTTGCTCTCTGCAATCCTGGATCGCAAAGACCCCAAATTCTACACTTTCACGAGACGAACAGCGGTCTTTGTCTCCGTCGACCAGCCACGGTCCGTCAAGAAGATCCAAGCGCACCAAACCTTGGCCCGTCGAAAAAACGTGCTTGACCAGAGTGATCTAGTGTTCTTAATACTTTTACTTTTAATGCTTTGACGTTTCTCCATGAGCAATACAACCGCATGACCAGAAACACCCGGCTTCCAATGATGAGCTCTCGCACGTGCTGACTGCCAAGTGCCGAGGCTGAAATGAAATGATGCACGAATCTCCATTCCAGAACTTCCGAAACATCATCGCTAGTTGCCAGGCCGACTGATAATTGAGTTCATCTGTGAGCAACACACCGGTCGCTTCACTGAGGAAGCGGCTACGACAACTCCCACGCAAGTGGCACCAAACGTTGCTGACAGTGGCCGAAGAAACCTCAGTGAGCCACACAGCCACACCACTCAGACTTTTCAAGTGTCGAGCCGCAGTGTCAAAGCCGAAGCCTCGCTTGCAACCCCGCAGCTCGGTGCCAGAAACCCTCGAGGGCGGAAAGACGCGCACCTGAGAAGCGCCCGCGGAAGCGGCGCGGCTGCGACTGCTCCAAGAGCCAAATCCAAAGCCACTGCTCGCAGAGCACTGCTCTCAGCACTCGACCCGCAGGAAGCCCAGGTAGGCCAGCGGCAGCCCGATGCAGAGAAGACCGGGCGCCTTGGCGCAAAGTTCCGCCAGCGACAGCCCCCCGCCCTATTCCACGAAAGCACGACGAGTCTGGCAATCCAGGCGGGTGGCCAGGAGTCATGAGCAAGTTTGTATCTTACCGCACTCTCAAATATCGATTCGGACTCGCACTCGCAGACCTTTCTGGGCGACGCTTGCGGCGATTTACGCTCTCGTCACACTCCAGCCGGACGAGGTCTCAATGCGACGTGACACAGAACCAAGAAGCAACTACTTCTCGCCACAGGAAGCAAGCAGCCTCTCGAACAATCTGAATCGACTGCAAACTTCAAGATGAGGTTAAGCACCGAGATTCACGGACTCTGACGAGCAGTGAGACTTTGGCATCCCAGGACGCTCGACGGGCCCTATAGCGTACTGCAACTCAAAAACAGAGAAACCGCTGACAATCAAGCCGAAAACATAACAAGACTGCACATCGAGGGTAGCTGTTCATTGTTCCCCCCGGACTTCTTCAAATTGAATGGTTGTCTGCGCAATTAACCACAACGAAGAACGCCTCTGTGAAACTACTTTTGGCCGGCGCGGGCAACTGGCACTGGTCCTGTGCCCTTTGCATGCCACTCGAATTGAAGACTTGAGCGCCATAGCCTGCTCAAGGAATATGAGCGTCGAACTGCTGACTGCTAATCTTGGAATTCATGCAAAGCCGCAATGCAACAAAAGTCGCTGCTTGTTGCACAACACCAAGTGAAACGGCATGTATGCTGTTGTTGCACGACACTTGATGCATTGTCGGCTGATGGCAGCGAGAACCCGCGGCAATCTGCCTCATCTGTGTCGCGCAGACTTGCTGACACCCCTGCTTTCCTTTGCAAAGTCACCGTCCTTCTGGCTGTAAGTTTCCATTTCAAGCATCCAAGATCGACATCTACACTGAAAATGTCGATCTTGGACGCTTGAAATGGAAACAAGGGTGGATGACTTTCTTGAGGTCACCAAGGCTCCTTTCAAGCCTTTCACTTGGAACGCATTGCCCGTTGGCTACAACTCCTCCTCGGGCACTGGGCTGTGAGCTGCCCGTCCTTTCGGATCAGATCCCGCACCCAGACGACGGATGACGTTGAAGTCTTGCCTGCAGAGCCTTGACTCATCGCATCAATGCGGCTGCGCAGGTTGGACAGGTCAAACACTTGCCGTTGGAAATTCCAGTGTGAGACTGCTTGCAGAATAAATGAAAGCTGGCAAAGCTTAAGTGGCGTAGTGGCTGATTGGCTTGCTGCTCTGTGGAAGGCTTCGAGGACCCTTGCAACCTCGCCGTGCTGGTTTGGTCGCGAAGAAAGACCGGCCAAGTCTTTAAATACACCTGCGAAGCACATTCACCTTCTCAGTCACAACCACAGAGTAAAAACTTCCCAGATCTGTCCATACATACCTGCCCGCTCTTTGCCACTGTGTGGATCAGATCAGGATGCCCTGTTCCAGCCTCTCCAGCCCCACGGCAAATCCTTGCGTATATCAACAAGAATTACACTGAAATGGCTGAGGCGGCAAACTGCATCGTATGGGCTCAACCAGTGCAATACGGAACACAGAAATCCTTTCTAACCTCCCAATCATACATGCAAATTGGGGCCCGGGGGCGAAGTGAAAGCGCAGACATCGATGCTGTTCACTCCACGGTCTGCACCGCAGTTGCAGCTGCCACAGCTTGGGCGTCACGTCGAATGCTACCCAAACTGTGCCAGTGCAGAGGACGACCACCCGCCGCATGACGTAGGTTGGGGCCGAAGACTTCATGTTCCAGTCCCCCCAAACAATGCAGCAAATTTGAAGGTTGGACCTTGTCCTCAAGCTTTCGGGTCGCTGTGATGCGGACTAGGACAGCAATTGGTCCGCTGCAGTGCCCTCGCAACACCAAGTATTGGTCGCTATTGTTTTGTTCTCCATAAAGTAGGCAGTGTCAGAAGCTTTCCATAGTCGGGCTCGCTGAAGACGTTCTCGCAGCCATCACTTCAGCTATGAGCTCCCGTCTAAAAACTTGGTGAATTTCTCGATTTGTGCGTGTCATCCTTGCACAGCGCCATGCTAACAATCGTCTGTGTCGTTCCGATTTTATCGGAGACTTACTGCGCGGTGGTCAGGCTAACACGTTTGTCTCAGTTTAATCTCAGAAGCTAAAAGCCTTTGTGTGGCCGACATCCGGAACTAAGTCGATTGAGATTTTGAATGTTGCTGAACTGCTCGAAGATGGGCAATATTACTGGGATCAGATATGGCTACGGGACCTGCTATTTGCTTGTGTGCGTCAGCATATGGTTTCCAGCAGCCAGTCAACACAAACCTGGGCCTTAGGTTGTCGAGTGAAACATTCTGAAAAAACGACCTGGTTTAATGGGTCTGGCTTTAATGATCTGAAAATGTCTGTCCAAAGAGCTCCAACTTTTGCTTTCTCCATGTGTCACCCAAGTGCTCAAAATTACGGTGATAGGTCTGACGTATTTCCTGGTACATCCATTGATCTGTTTGTTCTCTGTCTAGAAATGCGGAAGGTTTTTCTTGGAGCTTCGATTAGGAGCCGCAGTTCTAGGCTAAAGCCCTCCCCTCTGCCCACCCCCAGATACTCGAGACGCCCACGTACGGGTAGGCAATCGCCTTGAGCACGGCTGTGGCAAAAGCCAAACCTGGAGAGGTCAAATCAATCGCATCGGCTGTGATGGGAATACTTGCCCTTTCTATTTCTACTCCAGGTGCTCCGCACGGAACCGACACTGATACTCACGGGCTGCAACTCGAAGCCGAGCTGTACCGTCCCGTGCTGGCCCCCGATTTCGTGCCGTCTCTGTTCCATGGGTGACCTAGGGACGCCTGAAGGCCCGTCGTTTCGGGAAACTTTCACAGCCTTCAGGTCTGCAGTGCTTCGCGGGCACCAGCCGAGAAAAGGGCCACTGAACTAGTTCCATAGACACAAAAGACTGCCTACCAGAAGTATGAAACGGTAACGAACGAGCACAGAGTAGTTATTTGCCGTGCTCAGGTCAGGCCGCGAGGCCTGCGAAGACCACCGCTAAGAACACTTGAAGCACAGGCGGCCTCGGGGAAAGCACGCTGAATCTGCCTACTTGCCAGGAGCTAGAGCCCTGTGCAGCATTCCGCTCCAAGTAACCACCTACATTTGGAAAGATCGCAGGTGCGCCAAGTTCAGTTTATCAGAACTCCACATCCCCGAAGCTATGGCACCCCGCCCCAGCCCCCCCCCCCGTGGGTGGCTTAAATAGGGTTTATTTGGAAGCTGGCACTCGGGTTTTGTTGTGGTCATATATCCTCACACGAAGGCCGGCGAGCTGATACCAGCGAGCTAGGGCACGTATTGGAACAACATTCTGTTAATGTCAGGTTTGTGTCACGAGACCTGAGTCGGACAGCAAGCTAACACAAAGAAAGTGGCAAGCAGCAACCAAACAGGCCCCTCCAACTTCACGAGAATTCAAAAGTCTGCGTTTACCCATCGGTCGGAAAAAAAAGAACTCCTTTCTCTCTTTGGGTCCCGAACATTTCCTGTACCTTTTCAAAAGATGGAGAACAGCATACGCACCAGAAGAAGAAACCTCCGTTCTCTCTTGGCAACGGAAAGAGATCCTGATTCTTTCCCTTACCTTTTCAAAAGATGGACAAGGGGCATACGCTCAAGAAAGGGTGGAGATTCCCCGAACAAACAACGAAAACACGGAGAAAGTCGCTCCAAGTCATTCAGCTGATTTCTAGCAGCGAGCTCCTCTACCTCTTGGTAACTTTCCATCTCCTCTGACGATAAATGAAGGGAGCTCGCTGCTTCGTCATCCGCAAGAAATGAGCTTCTTTTCCCCAAAAGGGTAAGGAAGAGATCCCTTGGCACATCCGACAAAAAGAGACTGAGAGCAATCTAAGGAGGCAGAAGAAAGCGCTATCTCAACAAAGCAAACAGGCCGCTCCAACTTGACGAGAAAGAAGTGGGGTTCGTTTACCCCTCGGCAACAAGAGATCTCCTTTCTTTCTTGATAAGGGGGGGACGCTCAAGAAGAAAGGATGGAGCTCCCCCAATTTTCAAGTAGAGACATCTGGTCATCCCTCAGCATTCAAAAGGAAAAGACCTCATGCTCCAAAACAAGAGAGTCCCCAGGTGATTTGTGGCAACAGAAGAGAGCATCCCTTTTTACCTCTCGGTATGTCGCCTTTTCGTCTTAAGAAGATTGAAGAGACCTCGCTCCTCGCAAGAAAGGACAGAGCTCCCCTAGCTTCCAAAAAAAAGATTTTCTACCTCATCCTCCACAAGAAATGACTGAAAGCTTCCTCCCATGTAATGAGACGCAAGAGAGCTCCATCTCACTCCAGCAGACAGGCCCCTCCAACTTCACGAGAATTCAAAGGTCTCCGTTTACCCATCGGTCGGAAAGAAGATAACTCCTTTCTCTCTTCATAAGAGGATTGGATCTTGAGCATTTCTTTTACCTTTTCAAAAGATGGAAAACAGCATACGCACAAGAAGAAGAAACCTCCTTTCTCTCCTGGCAGTGGAAGGAGATCCTGATTATTTCCCTTACCTTTTCAAAAGATGGAAAAGGGCATACGCTCAAGAAGAAAGGCCGGAGATTCCCCCACCCCTCAACGAAAACACGGAGAGAGTCCCTCCAAGTCATTCAGCTGATTTCTAGCAGCGAGCTCCTCTACATCTTGGTAGGTCTCCATCTCCTCTGAAGAGAATTGAAGGGAGCTCCCTTCTAGTCGAAGAAGACAAGGCTCCACGTATCTCCAGTTTCAAAAAGAACTGCGGCTGCCCCTTAGTCGACAGGAAGAGAGAGGAGCTCCTTGTCGTCCCCTCTTCCTCTTCAAGGGATAGAAGAGGGATAGCTTTCAATAAGTGAGGACAGAGCTCGCTCAATCGACAAAAGAAGAGTCCGATCCTCCCCCCAGCCTTCAACAAGACATGAGCAGCCCTCTACCCCATGCTCTGAATTAGCTTCCAAAAAGACAAATCCTCTGCCTCATCCTCGACAAGAAGAGACTGAGAGCTTCCGCCAATCTAATGGGACAGAAGAAAGCGCCATCACAAGAAAGCAAACAAGCCGCTCCAACTTCATGAGAAAGAAGAGGGCTCGTCGGCAAGAAGAGACCTCCTTTCTTTCCTGATAAGGGGAGGGGATCATGATTATTTCCGCCGCCGTTTTAAAAATGGAAGAGAGCATACACTCAAGAAGAAAGGGTGGAGCTCCCCCCAATTTTCAAACAGACACATCTGGTCGTCCCTCAGCTTTCAAAAGGAAATGACCTCATGCTCCAAAACAAGAGTCCCCAGTATATTCATGGCAACGGAAGAGAGCATCCTTCTAGATTCTAGAAGAGAGCATCCCTTTTTACCTCTTGGTATGTCGCCTTTTCGTCTTAAGAAGATTGAAGGGACCTCGCTCCTCGCAAGAAAGGACAGAGCTCCCCTAGCTTCCAAAAAAATAGATTTTCTACCTCATCCTCCACAAGAAATGACTGAGAGCTTCCTCCCATGTAATGAGACGCAAGAGAGCTCCATCTCAGTCCAGCAGACAGGCCCCTCCAACTTCACGAGAATTCAAAGGTCTCCGTTTACCCATCGGTCGGAAAGAAGATAACTCCTTTCTCTCTTCATAAGAGGATTGGATCTTGAGCATTTCTTTTACCTTTTCAAAAGATGGAAAACAGCATACGCACAAGAAGAAGAAACCTCGAAGGAGATCCTGATTATTTCCCTTACCTTTTCAAAAGATGGACAAGGGGCATACGCTCAAGAAGAAAGGGCGGAGATTCCCCCATCCCTCAAAGTCATTCAGCTGATTTCTAGCAGCGAGCTCCTCTACATCTTGGTAGGTCTCCATCTCCTCTGAAGAGAATTGAAGGGAGCTCCCTTCTAGTCGAAGAAGACAAGGCTCCACGTATCTCCAGTTTCAAAAAGAACTGCGGCTGCCCCTTAGTCGACAGGAAGAGAGAGGAGCTCCTTGTCGTCCCCTCTTCCTCTTCAAGGGATAGAAGAGGGATAGCTTTCAATAAGTGAGGACAGAGCTCGCTCAATCGACAAAAGAAGAGTCCGATCCTCCCCCCAGCCTTCAACAAGACATGAGCAGCCCTCTACCCCATGCTCTGAATTAGCTTCCAAAAAGACAAATCCTCTGCCTCATCCTCGACAAGAAGAGACTGAGAGCTTCCGCCAATCTAATGGGACAGAAGAAAGCGCCATCACAAGAAAGCAAACAAGCCGCTCCAACTTCATGAGAAAGAAGAGGGCTCGTCGGCAAGAAGAGACCTCCTTTCTTTCCTGATAAGGGGAGGGGATCATGATTATTTCCGCTGCCGTTTTAAAAATGGAAGAGAGCATACACTCAAGAAGAAAGGGTGGAGCTCCCCCCAATTTTCAAACAGACACATCTGGTCGTCCCTCAGCTTTCAAAAGGAAATGACCTCATGCTCCAAAACAAGAGTCCCCAGTATATTCATGGCAACGGAAGAGAGCATCCTTCTAGATTCTAGAAGAGAGCATCCCTTTTTACCTCTTGGTATGTCGCCTTTTCGTCTTAAGAAGATTGAAGGGACCTCGCTCCTCGCAAGAAAGGACAGAGCTCCCCTAGCTTCCAAAAAAAAGATTTTCTACCTCATCCTCCACAAGAAATGACTGAAAGCTTCCTCCCATGTAATGAGACGCAAGAGAGCTCCATCTCAGTCCAGCAGAGAGGCCCCTCCAACTTCACGAGAATTCAAAGGTCTCCGTTTACCCATCGGTCGGAAAGAAGATAACTCCTTTCTCTCTTCATAAGAGGATTGGATCTTGAGCATTTCTTTTACTTTTTCAAAAGATGGAAAACAGCATACGCACAAGAAGAAGAAACCTCCTTTCTCTCTTGGCAGTGGAAGGAGATCCTGATTATCTCCCTTACCTTTTCAAAAGATGGAAAAGGGCATACGCTCAAGAAGAAAGGGCGGAGATTCCCCCACCCCTCAACGAAAACAGAGAGAGTCCCTCCAAGTCATTCAGCTGAGTTCTAGCAGCGAGCTCCTCTACCTCTTGGTAGGTCTCCATCTCCTCTGAAGAGAATTGAAGGGAGCTCCCTTCTAGTCGAAGAAGACAAGGCTCCACGCATCTCCAGTTTCAAAAAGAACTGCGGCTGCCCCTTAGTCGACAAGAAGAGAGAGGAGCTCCTTGTCGTCCCCTCTTCCTCCTCAAGGCATAGAAGAGGGAGAGCTCTCAAGAAGTGAGGACAGAGCTCTCTCAATCGACAAAAGAAGAGTCCGATCCTCCCCTCAGCCTTCAACAAGACATGAGCAGCCCTCTACCCCAACCTCTGCATCAAAAAAGAAACCCTTCTAACTTCACGAGAAATAAGAGCACTCCGGGTGCCGTTTAGTCGACAATAAGAGAGAGGAGCTCCATGTCGCCACCACTTCCTCTCCAAGGGATAGAAGAGAGATATCTCTTAAGAAGTGAAGACAGAGCGTTCTCATTCCTAGTTATTCTTGGCAAGAGCAGATTTCTCTAGAGGAGATTTCTTATACCTTTCTCAGTCGCCAGCCTTCAACAGCTCATGCTCCAAAGCAAGAAAACAATCCCCCCAGGTTGTTCGTGGCAAAAGAACAGCGCATCACGAGAAAGAAAGGAGCTCCGACTGCCTCTCTGGCGATAAGAAGAAAACTTCTTTCTCTGTTCGTCAGGATCGACAGCTCCTGAACATCTCCTCCTCGAGAAAAAAATTTGGAAGGGAGTTTACGATCAGGAAGGAAGGATAGAGCTTTTCCAAATTTCAACCCTTGACAAGAGAAAGGCCGGTCCTCCCCGCGGCCTTCAAAACGAAACGAGAAGCCCAAGCCCTCTACCTTACGCTGCTGTGAAGCTGGAAGAGAACTCACTCCAAGTTATTCTTGGTAAGAGACGAGAGCTTTATTCGAGCAGAGAGAGCCTTTCCCTCTTGGTAAGTCACTTGTATTTTAAGAAGATTGAAGAGACCTCGCTCCTCGCAAGAAAGGACAGAGCTCCCCTAGCTTCCAAAAAGAAGATTTTCTACCTCATCCTCCACAAGAAATGACTGAGAGCTTCCTCCCATGTAATGAGACGCAAGAAAGCTCCATCTCAGTCCAGCAGACAGGCCCCTCCAACTTCACGAAAAACAAGAGAGCTCCATCTACCCTTTCGTCGGCAAGGAAAACTTTTTTCCTTGAAGTTCTGCAAAAACACAGATAACATCACAGATCACAAGGGTGTCGCCCCAAGATTTGTAAAGACTCAGGTCCCAAAAACCCAGATCGCACGGGGTGTCCCCCTAAGGGTTCGTTGAAAAACAAGTTCCAAAATAATAAATCGCAAGGGGTGTCCCACTACAGGTTAATCACAGATCGCAAAGGGTGTCCACCTATGGTGTTGTAAAAACTGGAGATCCCAAAAACACAGATCGCAAGGGGTGTCTCCCTAAGGTTTTGTGAAAACTCGGAACCGAAAACCACAGATCGCAAGTGGTGTCCCCGTAAAGGTTGTTATAACAAATAAGTTCCAAAATCACAAATCGCAAGGGGTGTCACCCTAAAGGCTTGTGCGCTAAAACAGATCCCGAAATAACAAATCGCAAGGGATGTCCCCCTAAAGGCTTTCGCGCAAGCTAGATCCCAACATGACAAATCTCAAGGAATGCCCCCTTAGGTTTTGTAAAAACGCCGATCTCAAAATCACAGATCGTGAGGAGGTCCCCCTACAGGGGTGTCTCCCTAAAGTTTTGTGAAAACTCAGATCCGCAAATCACAAATCGCAGCCCTAAGGTTTTGTAAGAACTCAGATCCCGAAGTCACAGATCGCAAGGGGTGTCCCCTAAAGGTTTTGTGAAAACTCAGAACCGAAAAGCACAGATCGCAAGTGGTGTCCACCTAAAGGTTGTTATAACAAATAAGTTCCAAAATCACAAATCGCAAGAGGTGCCCCCTAAAGGCTTTTGCGCTAAAGTAGATGCCGAAATAACAAATCGCAAGGGATGTCTCCCTAAAGGCTTTCGCGCAAACTAGATCCCAACATGACAAATCGCCAGGAATGTCCCCTTAGGTTTTCAAAAGGCGCCGATCCCAAAATCACAGATCGTAAGGGGTGTCCCCCTAAGGTTCTGTGAAAACTCAGATCCGCGAAACACAGATCGCAAGGGGTGTCCCCCTGAAGGTTTTCATGTCAAATAAGTTCCAAAATCACAAATCGCAACGAATGTCCCCTTCAGGTCTTGTGAAAACTCAGATCCGAAAACCCACAGATCGCAATGGGTGTCCCCTTAATCCCTGCGAGCCGCGACCGAGCAGAAAGCCTGTAGATACCGCGTTAAAACAACGGCCAGGGATCCCACACATCGGCGGGCAAAATCTGGCGGAAGTGATCCGCCACCGAGCAAAAAACCTGTAAATACCGCAGTAAACAAAGGGCCAGGGATTTCCCACATCTGTTGGCAAAATCTGGCGGAAGTGAGCAGTCGGTACTTCCGCCAGATTTTGCCAACAGATGTGCGAAATCCCTGGCCCTTTGTTTAATGCGGTATTTACAGGCTTTTTGCTCGGTGGCGGATCACTTCCGCCAGATTTTGCCCGCAGATGTGTGGGATCCCTAGCCCTTGAAGTGGTGGGTGAGAGGGTGGAAATCAGATCAGAAAACCACAGATCGCAAGGGGTGTCCCCCTAATCCCTGCGAGCCGCGACCGAGCAGAAAGCCTGTAGATACCGCGTTAAAACAACGGCCAGGGATCCCACACATCTGCGGGCAAAATCTGGCGGAAGTGATCCGCCACCGAGCAAAACGCCTGTAAATACCGCATTAAACAACGGGTCAGGGATTTCACACATCTGTTGGCAAAATCTGGCGGAAGTGAGCAGTCGGTACTTCCGCCAGATTTTGCCAACAGATGTTGATGAAGATGATGAAGATGATAAAGATGAAAAAGATGATAAAGATGATGAAGATGATGGGGATGATGATGGAGATGATGGAGATGATGGAGATGATGGAGATGATGATGGAGATGATGGATATGATGATGAAGATGATGGAGACGATGATGGAGATGATGGAGATGATGATGGAGATGATGGAGATAATGAAGATGATGGAAATGATGGAGATGATGATGGAGATGATGGAGGCGGTCCGGGGCGGGCGGGTCCGGACCCCCCCGCGGGAATTAAATAATTTAAATACGGGCGAGGCCCCCGGATTTAAATTATTTAAATTATTTAATTCCCGGCCCCGCCCCTCCCCCAGACCCCCCTCCCCCAGGATTTAAATTATTTAAATTATTTAAATTAAATTATTTAAATTATTTAATTCCCGGCCCCAATTAAATAATTTAAATACGGGGGAGGCCCCCGGATTTAAATTATTTAAATTATTTAATTCCCGGCCCCAATTAAATAATTTAAATACGGGCGAGGCCTCCGGATTTAAATTATTTAAATTATTTAATTCCCGACCCCAATTAAATAATTTAAATAGTTTAAACAATTTAAATCCTGAGGGAGGGGGTGGGGCGGGCGGGTCCGGACCCCCCCGCGGGAATTAAATAATTTAAATACGGGCGAGGCCCCCGGATTTAAATTATTTAAATTATTTAATTCCCGGCCCCGCCCCTCCCCCAGACCCCCCTCCCCCAGGATTTAAATTATTTAAATTATTTAAATTATTTAAATTATTTAAATTATTTAATTCCCGGCCCCAATTAAATAATTTAAATACGGGGGAGGCCCCCGGATTTAAATTATTTAAATTATTTAATTCCCGGCCCCAATTAAATAATTTAAATACGGGCGAGGCCTCCGGATTTAAATTATTTAAATTATTTAATTCCCGGCCCCAATTAAATAATTTAAATAATTTAAATAATTTAAATAATTTAAATAATTTAAATCCTGAGGGAGGGGGTCCGGGGCGGGCGGGTCCGGACCCCCCCGCGGGAATTAAATAATTTAAATACGGGCGAGGCCCCCGGATTTAAATTATTTAAATTATTTAATTCCCGGCCCCGCCCCTCCCCCAGACCCCCCTCCCCCAGGATTTAAATTATTTAAATTATTTAAATTATTTAAATTATTTAAATTATTTAATTCCCGGCCCCAATTAAATAATTTAAATACGGGGGAGGCCCCCGGATTTAAATTATTTAAATTATTTAATTCCCGGCCCCAATTAAATAATTTAAATACGGGCGAGGCCTCCGGATTTAAATTATTTAAATTATTTAATTCCCGGCCCCAATTAAATAATTTAAATAATTTAAATAATTTAAATAATTTAAATAATTTAAATCCTGAGGGAGGGGGTCCGGGGCGGGCGGGTCCGGACCCCCCCGCGGGAATTAAATAATTTAAATACGGGCGAGGCCCCCGGATTTAAATTATTTAAATTATTTAATTCCCGGCCCCGCCCCTCCCCCAGACCCCCCTCCCCCAGGATTTAAATTATTTAAATTATTTAAATTATTTAAATTATTTAAATTATTTAATTCCCGGCCCCAATTAAATAATTTAAATACGGGGGAGGCCCCCGGATTTAAATTATTTAAATTATTTAATTCCCGGCCCCAATTAAATAATTTAAATACGGGCGAGGCCTCCGGATTTAAATTATTTAAATTATTTAATTCCCGGCCCCAATTAAATAATTTAAATAATTTAAATAATTTAAATAATTTAAATAATTTAAATCCTGAGGGAGGGGGTCCGGGGCGGGCGGGTCCGGACCCCCCCGCGGGAATTAAATAATTTAAATACGGGCGAGGCCCCCGGATTTAAATTATTTAAATTATTTAATTCCCGGCCCCGCCCCTCCCCCAGACCCCCCTCCCCCAGGATTTAAATTATTTAAATTATTTAAATTATTTAAATTATTTAAATTATTTAATTCCCGGCCCCAATTAAATAATTTAAATACGGGGGAGGCCCCCGGATTTAAATTATTTAAATTATTTAATTCCCGGCCCCAATTAAATAATTTAAATACGGGCGAGGCCTCCGGATTTAAATTATTTAAATTATTTAATTCCCGGCCCCAATTAAATAATTTAAATAATTTAAATAATTTAAATAATTTAAATAATTTAAATCCTGAGGGAGGGGGTCCGGGGCGGGCGGGTCCGGACCCCCCCGCGGGAATTAAATAATTTAAATACGGGCGAGGCCCCCGGATTTAAATTATTTAAATTATTTAATTCCCGGCCCCAATTAAATAATTTAAATCCGGCAGGTTCCCCCGGATTTAAATTATTTAAATTATTTAATTCCTGGCCCCGCCCCTCCCCGGACCCCCCTCCCCCAGGATTTAAATTATTTAAATTATTTAAATTATTTAATTCCTGGCCCCAATTAAATAATTTAAATACGGGGGAGGCCCCCGGATTTAAATTATTTAATTCCCGGGGTCCAGGCGCGCTGGAACACCACATGGGGTCTATTTGGCAGCTGGCGCGTGGAGTCCTGCCAATACACACACATCCAGCTGCCAAATAGACCCGGTTTAAGCCACACTCCCCCCCCCCCCACAATTGCCTTCAATGTCAGTAAGACATGGCAGGGCATGAGCTGGTAAGCGATATACCCGAATCTGGTGCTCGGGGCATCCCAAGGACCCGAACCCTGCGCGTCTGTTAAAAAGCTTTTCCCGGCCCGTCACGGCGGATTTGGGTGCCGGCAAGCCACATAAGGTAGAAGTCTAGCACGAAGGCACATGCCAGGCTGAAGGCAGTCAGGGCGGCTGCACCATTCCCGGCCTGTCCAGGTGGCGTGGGATTGCTCAAGACGAGAACTCCTTTTTTCCGCAGCAGGGGGCCATGTTGAGGCTCTCATCAGCCACGGCATTGTAGACCTTGGCTGGTACGGCAAGTTCAATGAAGACCTTCCAGTAGCCGCAGCAGGCGAAGAATCAGCGCGAATGAGCCCAAGCTGCAGTTGGAGCTATTCCGACCGTTGTGAACAAGACCTCAAGCGGCTCCACAGAGAGATGACACTTGGCCAGACTCAGACTCCACAGTGCGCTCTGGCAGGGGCAGGTGCGGCCAGGTAGCTAGGCCAACTGCGGTTGCAAGCCAAACGCATGTCGCAGAGGCGAGAAATATTCTCTTGAAGTACATGTAGAGGAGATAGATTCCTTCACTTCACTTGGTGGATTAAGAAGCCCTGCACTCGGAGTAAGGCACCATGGGGATCAGCTGAAACCAAACGAGCCTGATGTCAGCAGAAGCTGCTGAAGGTCTCGTCCGGCTGATCCATGCAGGAACACTTTCGGACAAAGCCCATGTAACTGTATCGTGCTGCATGCTGGGTGTGCGTGCATGCTTGCGTGTGCGGGGTCTACGTGTCTGTGTGCACGTGTCTCTGTGTGCGTGTGTGTCGAAGCGGACAGCCTCGTGAAGGCAAATGCGTCATGTCCTAGCTGCCATTGGCTTGCTTCGCCTCTTTCAATCACCGTGTCCATGATCATGCCCTGAAGAAGCTGGAGAAACTAAACCGGCATGGGAGCACGATGTGATGCTGCTCAAAAATCAGGTGCCCTCTGCGACCCAGGCCTTCTGATCTGCACGCTAATCGACAGGCTGTTGCAGTGCACTGCCCGCTGAAGCTCTTGTGGCCCGTGCACCGGCAGCGCTTCGCGTCGCAAATCCAGCTAAAATGCTTCGTGCTATGCTTTGTGCTCTTTGATGGCTACAACCCTCGGCTAGTGTGCAAATCAGGATTGTGACGCCACATCAAAAATCTGGGAGCAGCGGTTGATGACAGTCAGGATGAAGGGGCCTCGAGCAAACAGCTTTCTCGGTTTGTGTTAAGATTTGCCGGAATTGGTGCAAAGGAAGAAGACCGCCGGACCGGATCGCGAAACCATGAACCCCAAAGCCAGTAGCCGTAAACTGTCGGAAATCTGCAGCGAGAAGCTCCATCTGCTGATGTTCACGCTCGTGCCGGAGACACATGTCACGGAATGCTGGCCTTAAGCAGCTTACGCAATCGCTTCTAATGGGATCCTTTAGCCGCGCATGTGCTGGCGTCGACTAATCGCAAGGAAACTCGGGCGCATAGTGAGCGATAGGTCGGGCTGACAGCCGAGTGACCTCTCTTGAAGCTTCCTGTCACTCTCATGAATGACGTGGTTCTTGAGTCTTGCAAATGCTGGCGCTCCAGTCCAAGCTCCCGAGTCCTGAAATATGACTCCAGGTACGGCAATTCGGCGCGTTCCAACCCGGGAGGGATTCCGTCTTGCGCCCAGCGCAGCATGCCTGAAAGCTAGCAACTTGTCAGAGCTAGCTGTTCAAGATTCGGTCACGGTCAAGCGGAAACATGAATGTGTTCTGAACATAACCATGTCGCCACAGCTGAAGCGGCAGACTTCAGCTCCGACCACAATGTCCTGTGCTGTCAAGCAAAGGAGAAGCTGCTGATTCCTATCCTGTGCGGACGCTGCATTGGTAATTAGGGAGTCGCCAGAGCCTGCATACTTCAACGAAGCAAGGCACGTAGAGACCGAATTAATCTAAATCACAAGTGTTGAACATGCCAGTCAAGGAGCTGCGATGGTAAACTCGTTTCCGGCAAGAAACGCTTTGGTTTCATCTATCCGCTTTTCCACCTTTTGGAAACGTTCGACATAACCTGGCCAGGCACCGTACCACACATGTGGGACCTGTGACCGATCCCTGGCTGCTCCGCACTTGACTGGCATTCGGGCACGAGCACGATCGTGAACCGGCCTTTGTAGCTGTCTCTCAGCTTGGCCTCATCCCTTTGTTCGGGCAGTGTGCGCGCCGTCTGATCAATAAGGTGATGGTTGCCTTGTCTCGGCTTCTGATGCTGAAACAAACAGTCCACCCACACATCTGCTGAACCTGCACACCTTCGGCAATCAGATTGGCGCTGGAACAGCACTGTGTCAGCTTGGCCGTGAGCGGGTGTTTAAGGTGACGACACTCGTGGAAGTTCGTGAAGAGAAGCCAGTCCATCCACGGAGAACACTTGGCCAGGCCCTCGACCGAGCTCAGGTGCAGCTCTGGAGAATATTTCCTCACTCCCGTCACTTCCACACTTGGTCGTCATGGGCTGCGGCTGAGGCTACGTTCTTGCTTGAAGTCGTACTATGTAGCACACGTGCTGTTGCAGCGCTTATCTATTCTCAAAGTTCTAGTATTCTAGTTCTAATGATGCAGGCACACGTAACTTCCGGGCACAACCTTACCTTTTTGGTGCAGCAGCTTCTACGAGCATCCCTTGTTGTTGGGTTGTGGTAGAAGCAAGGCACAGATTGAAGGGCTCTTTCTTGGCGCTGAGACTCTGTGCCAAGTAGCGCACGATCGAGTGCGATTCCCAGACCGCAAGGTCGCCATCGACTAAGCACGGAACAGTACCTGAGACAGGACAGAGTAACGAGGCTTGATCATGAATGCAACGAATACTGTGCCGCGAACCATCACAAAAACGACAGTAGAACACTGTACACAGCGGCAATGCTCTGAATGTCGGTACTAGCACCAACACAAACTAAGGCGAGAAGGCACAACAAAACGAACACGAAAACCAAGACCAAATACCCTCGCACTTTCTTCCCTTACAAAAATGCACAGCATTGCCATCGGATCTTAAGGGTCGCTATGCTACTATGCTAACTGTTGCTACTGTATGCTGCTGCTGCCAGTAGTTTCCGTTCTTGAAGTCTTCCTGCCATTTTGGCCCAGAGCCGAGGCTGCGGCGCATAGGGTTCATTCGGGCATACTCATCCTCAAACACACGGTTGCACGCGAGTGTGGGTGCATACATGGACACGGACACCGAGCGATAGTGGCAGAATGAAAGACTAGTGCAAAAGCCGAACAAGACTGCCCAAGATAAGCATGCTGACACGAGAAGCTACTTCTGCAGCCGAGACTCCGTGTCCACAACGCCATACGGCTTGCCGCCAGAATTCTCACAAAGTAAGTTTGACCCAGCACCCATTCGTGCGCTGGCCAGGATGAGATCGAAACTAGGCCTCGTCCAGATGTCTTCAATCCCAAAAGATTTTGTCTCGAGTGGTCTTGTCAAGGGCCCGAGCAAGGCTGGTTAAGGGAACTTCGCACAACTTCCCGTGCCCTTTCGGGCCCTGTCCTGCTGCGCAGCTCATGCAAGGTCCACAGCACCTGCTGCGATGGCTGGATCTGGGGTTGGAAATCCAGACTTGCCAAGAGCAGGTGGACAGAGTTACAAAGCACGGAATTCCAAGGCCTGTGAGTTAAAGTCGTGGCATTTGGCCCACTAAGTCTCAGTTCAGTTCGGGAGAGCTTCGAGGAAGATGTGCCTTCTGCGTGTTGGAGCTCGTGGGTCGCCCGAAGACACGCAACATTGCTGGCAGCGGTGGTAGCAGTAGTATTGTAGTACTGGCGAACAGCCATAGCAAGCACGATGAAGCGAGTGAGCCCGTTGCTATACTGTGATTCTCATGCTTTGGTGCCCAGGCTGCCACATGTGCTTCTCAGCTTCTCCTTCGGAGCCAGCAAACATCAGACTTCGGACCTTAGGGTTTTGGCTCGAGTGCTTGGGCACAACGCCGCAACATCTCTTTATGCGCATCGAAGCACTTGTTCATACACAGCAGCTGTCAAATCCTCGAAGCCCTGCGTGTCCCGATGTCGCTTCGACAACTCAAGCTGCTTTACCGCTGTCCGGCTTTGCAGGCTTCACCTTTTGACAGCTCTCGGTGGCTCATGACAAACGAGGCAAACGACTTGAAAACGATGTTGCGAAGGGTTTTCGACACACAGGCCCCACACGGTGCAGGCCATCGAGGCTCTAGCAACACCAGATTGACTGTGTAACCGTTTCATTCTGCGCTGCGGAACGCCTGAAGCTCGGCAAGGCCATTGTACCAAGAGCTGATGATCAAGCTCTGCCCTCATAACTACCATCAACAGCAGCAATGTCTTGACATCTGCTGCACGCCCGTCGCAACCAATGACTGAAAAGGTTCGAAGTTTATGGCTTCGGCAATCACACTGCGGCAAGAGAGGCAATTCGACGGAGGAACCAGAAGCCCACATACTGGGTCACAGATATTTTGGGATTTTCCCAAGTCTCTCTGGCATGGCATGACGGCAATACAGTCCGATGCTTTCGGCTGCCGCAAAGTTCCATCTTTTATTCGCGGAAAGTCGATGCTCTCTTCAAGTCAAGGAACGCAACCGTTCAGAACATACGACATCAGTCAGCTGACACGCACATTGCCACTGAGGGTTCATCAAAGCCACAAAGGCTTTGACAAGGTTGCCAGTGTCTCTCATCATGACTCACACAGAATGCAATCGTTGACCAAACGAGCTTCAACTGACTTACGGCGTCCTTCCTCAAATACCCTGGCGCATCAGCTGACACGCACTTGTCCTCATCAGTGCTTGAGAGGCTATGTCTTGCTGAATGAATGTCGCTCATCATCAAGCACAAGGGTTTGAAGATCCTCTGACCAAGGCACGCAAACAACCAAGGCGTCGGGTCAGCTGACACGCACATTTCCACCCAAGGGTCGTCAACGCAAAAGCGACTCAGATCGCTGACTGCAGTGTTTCTCATCATGCCCCGATGCAAAGCAACCTTTGATTTGGGCTGGCTGCAAAAGAAAGATGAAATGCTGTTGCTGCTGCTGCTGAAGCTACTACAACTATTGCCACTACTGCCACGGCCCCCTACTGCCACCTACTAGTAGTAGTAGTAGTAGTAGTAGTAGTAGTAGTAGTAGTAGTAGCAGCAGCAGCAGCAGTGGTAGGTACTACTACTACTACTACCACTGGTACTGGTAGTGGTACTGGTGCTGGTGCTGCTGCTGCTGCTGCCACTACTACTACTACTACTACTACCACTGGTACTGGTAGTGGTACTGGTGCTGGTGCTGCTGCTGCTTCTGCCACTACTACTACTACTACTACTACTACTGCTACTGGTACTGCTACTGCTACTACCAGTAGTACTACTGCTGCGACTATTACGACGACTACTACTAATGCTGCTGCTACTAAAACTACTACTACGGCTACGGCTACGGTTATTGCCACTGCCAGTGCCACTACCACTATGACGACCACGACTGCTACGACTACCACTGCCACCACCCCGACCACCCCCACCACCACAGCCGCGCCACTACTACAGTACCACCACCACCACCACCAGCAGCAGCACCACCACCACCACCACCGCCGCCACGACAACGACCACGATCATGACAATTTGCTACTACTGCTACTACTACCACTGCTGCTACTACTGCTACTACTACGACTACGACGACGACTACTACTACCACTACTACCACTACTAATGCTACTACTACCACTACTGCTACTGCTACTGCTACTGCTACTGCTACTGCTACTGCTACTGCTACTACTACTGCTACTACTACTACTTCTACTACTACTATTTACTGCAGACTGCCGCTGCCACTGCTGAAGAGTCTGGCCCAAGTTCACTGTCTCAGTGTATTGCTCTGGTGCATCAGACAGACATACCGACTTACCTTTACGACAGCGTGGCTGATGTTCCCACTCGGCGCGAACAAAGTACAGTCATTGCTGCCGCGGCTTAGATACAACTGGATGGGAATGTGCAAGCGTCGCATCTGCGAGCAGCTGCCCCGCCAACGCAGTTTTTCGGCTCGGGCTACACCTACGCCCACGGCACAGGGACGGCGGAGCAGGCAGAGCTGTCTGACATGGGATTCAGTCTGCCGCCTCTTTCCTCTCCTGAGGCCGCAACGAGCTGCGATGACTAGTTCACTCTATCTGCGAAGCCAAGGCCACGACTGAACTCGTTAATGAGCCTTTCACTGAACCTTTATGCACTTCGACACTCGTGTCGAAGTTTGAGCCCTGGTACGCACGACAGACAACACCTGCGAGTTGCCACAGTGCAACCGGCAACGTACATCGTCAACCTAGTTCCTTGTCACAGCGTCTGGACCTCCCTGACTGCGGTACAAACCAAACCTGCCACTACTGCTACTCGTACTAGTACTCGTACTGGTCCTGGTAAAAGCAGCAACCAGCCGTAGTACTACTACGTCGACGACGGCGACGCGTACGCCCGCGCCTATGCCTAAGCCTGCCTCTCCGCCTATCCCTACGACTGCGACGATGTAAGAGTTCTTCTCCCTCTCTCTTTCTCTCTCACACACACATGCAAGCAGAGTTTCCCGGACCTGAACAGGAACTGAAGTGCAGGAAGCCCCGAATCGTCCACGGCTTTTCCTAACCATGGCTCGTATGTAGATTGTACCATGTGCAAACACCGCTAAATCATTCATTCGGTGATCGAAGCATCGAAATCGAGGTTGGATTCAACAGACCAGAAGCTTTCCCTCTCCTCGACACTTACGGCAAAGTGCTGCATGTGCTGCCAACGTGGCGCAGAGCTCCTTTTCCTGCGGCTAGGGTTCTTGCAATCGATCTCTGGTGTTGCCCTACCTCTGCGATGATCCTTGGCCAGGTGCCAGTCGCTTGGCTTCCGAAGGAGGCAGCAGACGAAGGTTCGGACTTAAACTACCTTGGGCTTGTCCGTGGGGCAGGACTAGTGGTCGACAGTTGCTAGTCTCTCTGCATGCAAATGCTTCAGTGCTCTGGGGAGCGACGAAGCGGTCAAAGGTTCCCTGCTTCCCCTCCGGAAACCTCTTCCCCCTCCCTCTTCATCCCCCCGGCAATAAGTTTCTCAATGGACCTCCCCGCAAAAAGCCTTCCAAACCCACATCTGCCCGCGAAAAGTGGGCTTGGTGGAGCACGCCTACCCCGATTTTGCCCTTGGGCCGAGGCTGACAACGCGAAGCGTTGATAATTACTTGACTGCTCCAGCAATTTGTGTCTTGAGGCGCGCTACTTGCACGGGCGCTCTCGAAGCTAGTGATTGCGGTCTTCGGTAGATGACTGCCAAACTTCCTCCGGTGGCACAGGATCACAGAAGCTCCTACGAAGCAGCAATCTCCTACAGATTCAACATTTCCTGATCCAAAAGCCGAACACAGAACATGCAAAGACACACGGCATCGAAACTACGGGATGCGGTTCTCAAGTCTTAGGCGAGAAAAGGAAGAAGTTCCGCGCTGGTTCTGCCAATGTCTCGGGAAGAAGGATCCTAGGCAAACCGCATAACATGCTAATCTACAGTACCATGTGGAATTCACCTGATGGGCATTGGTCTTTGGGGTGGCCAGGTTCAACGTGAGCTTGCCACTTCAGCAGAAGCTTCGCAGACCAGAAGAGCGCTCTCGGCGGTCTTCATGATACACTCCCATCTAAGCTGCACCTGGCCGTGCCAGTTCACCTGCTGAAATCGGGGGCCAACCGGCATGCCAGGAAAGGTGAAAATGGAAATTGAACAGTAGCCCGGCTTGCGCAGCTTCGCGAACTCAAACGCAGTTGGACTCATACCACAGCTGGCAAACCGGGCCGGACACATGATCTAACTTCGGACTGGCTCCTAAGGAGGCGACATTAATAGCGTTTCAGTTGATTGTGCTTGCTGTTCTAGACTGGTGTTTTGAATGCTCTTTTGCTTGGCGTCGTTGTTTTGGGCTCGGGTGACCCAACGAGGTTTCGACGTTAGCTTGCTCCCAGCACGTGGCTCTTGGCCGGAAGATGCCGGGCGAATGCAGGCGCACATTTGCACCCGTAGTTTGAAAGCGCTGACCGTGGCATACTTGCAAGATTTCTCGGGAATCGTGAAGATCATCTTGTATGGACAAAGTGAGCAAGGATGTTACAACGGAGCAGGCTGCTCGGGCAAATCAAAACTCATCTGCCCAGGATGGATCGGGATCAACCCAGTCGTCGTCGCCGTCTGGCAAACATGTCAGACACAGGATAACAGTGCTTCGGCAACCCTTGCGTGGTAGAAGTGCCGAGGCAAGACAGCAAAAACTTGGTCACCGGGACTTGCCTCCATCATCCTCCTCCAGAACTGTTAACGTTCCAGGCTCTACGTCCTGCGGCGGTCGACACCCACAACCAGCACAAGCCAAGCGGGCACGGTACAACAGGGTACAACGCAGCGGAGCCAGATGCAGGATAGGCTTATGGCTTACTCCAAAAGAAATGCAACAACTATTGCAAACGCTAAACCGCTAAACTTTGAATGTCTCAGGGGCCTCAAAAGGTGGGATGAGGGTAGGCAGGAGGCAGAACCCCTGTATAAGGACTCTTCTTGATGATTCCACGTAGCTTCATCGATGTCCTTCCCGATTTCTGCATCTTCGGCATATGTCTCCCCCTGCACATTATGCAGTAAGGCTTCAAGGCGACAGCATTGTCTCGGCATCCATGGCCTTGGGGACGAAGGGCGGATCCAGCTGTCGAGCCAAGAGCCCTTCCCATCCTCAAGCTTCAGCACCATGAAATGAAACGGTATGAAACGGATATTGAAACGGTTGAAGGTCGCAAGATCTTGCAAGGTTGCAGCATGAAGCGCGATCTCGCAGCACAAGCCCCGCATCAACTCGATCCCAGCTCCCGGCTGAAGTCCGCATAGAAAGGATGCTCCTGTCCGTTTCAAGCTCCAGGTGCGAACTCTCCAAATCCCCTCAAATTTCTTACTCTGATTCTGAGTGCACGTGATGCCGTCACCAGTGCACGGTCACTGGCAGGAGAGGCTCCTTCAACTCTTCGTAACCCCGCTGGCCGGCACCAAGTCGCTTCGCAGGGTCTCTGCACCTCGCGGCTTTGGAGCTACGGCACATACTTGCAATGTCCTTCCTGCTGATGGTCCAGAAGACCGCGCTGAGGTCCAGACAGCAGAGCCTTCATAAGCTCCTTGGCATCCTCATGCTGGAAAATGAAACTCGTTCATCTTTACGTTCCACGACCACACAATGAAACGGACCACTACATAAAGGTTGACACCGGAAGCAGCCATCGTGAAGCACTAACCACCCCGCGACCTAGCCCTGAACAGGCCTTTTCGTGCACGCCGAGCCATTTCGGGAATTTCAGTGGAGCCTTGAGGACGGCTTTGAAGATCTGGCAGGCAGGAATGGAGTCACTCGAACGATAATTGAGGTACCAGTGCCAGCTTTAACAGTACCTCTGGGTTCGCAAAAACCTGATGATGTTAAGCAACTACCTGTATCAAAGCTTGAGCCAGACGTCAAAGCCCCGCACTTGCTCACAAGGGTTCTATGTCATTGCTACAGTTCCCCGGCTGCTGTAAAGACCGACCGACTCTTCAGTAGGCCGTGCACACATCTGACACTGACACTCGGAGATCGAGCTCGTCTGCTCCAGTAGTGATTGGCAGTAATTGCAGTCGTAGCAAGAGTAGCAACTACAGCAAAGACTCGCGCTACTACCCAGCACCGGTACGAGTTCCAAACCACTCATCTGTATTACAGTGCGCGAGAAAGACGGTTGCGACAACTTCTTCTACTGCTACTCACTACTCCCGCTCTTCTAGGACCGCTCGGCGCCTCGGCGTTTCCAGCCTGATCGTCCCCAAATGGAAACGAACCGACCATGAAGTCCTCGCAGAAGTGAAACGAGCCCGGCTGAGACAGCTATGAAGCTCAGTGCCTATCTACGTGTATCCAAAAAGACGTCTCTAGCCACGCATCCATTCGCAAGCTACATGCCTATTTCTCTCTCGGGGGGAGGGAGAGGGAGGGAGAGAGAGAGACGCGTGCACATGAAACCAGGCCCAAGTAGCAAAGAGGCAAACGCCGAGACTCCAAAGGTCAGCCGAAGTGGTGTATCCTCGGCACTGGTCACCCAGGGCAACGGCTCATATTTATTACAGTCTTCATTGAGAGGATGTACCGCTACGATTTACCAGACATCTCCAGATTCTGCAGGAGCTTCACAAACGGAAACTTCCTGATTCTAGATCAGGTCTCACTTACAAGATCTTGCAGGTAAACCCTACCGAGGAGCAAGCGAGCAACAAACACACCTTGAGACCTTCAGTATCCACACTCAGTAGCTGAGAAGACGGCCCTTTCCCAGTATTACCTGCACATCCACCACTCGATCGTCATCCGGCTTTCCAGTCCATTAGCGGGCGCTTGGAAGAGGAATCTCATCTCTTGGAATGCAGTGTCTTCTCAATTAAGCAGCAGTACATAAATTCAAAGGAGGCCTCGCATGAAATGCATTACTGTGTCGAGGCCCTCAGAACAAACGCAGAGAGCGAGTGAGATCAAGCGCCAGAGAGAGGGAGGGAGGGAGGGAGGGAGGGAGGGAGAGAGAGAGAGAGAGAGGGAGAGAGAGAGAGAGAGAGAGAGACGGGCGGAATCACTGCAACCCATCCTGTCCATTCTTGATTCTTGCTGTATCTTCTGCATTCTTGTTCAACGAGATCTGCCCCGTTTGTTCAGATTTTTCGCATCGGATTCGTCAACAATGAAAATGCAAGTCTTATTCTGGTGCCCAATTTCAGGGGCACGAAACCTAACTAAACGTGACTTTCCCGGGTTCACCTCACTCAACGAAATGCTCCTGCATTTCCTGGTGCAGCCATTTGGGGCGAGCTCGTGCAAGCACGTCCCGGGTGGTCCCTCGGCATCTGAATGCGAAGCTTGGGGACAGCCTCTGGTGCCATGAAGAGCGGCGTCCCCTTCACCTTCGAAGCAAAAAATGTCTGGCAAGCAGATTAAAAGCCAGCTATGGCCTACAGCCAGTGAAGCCCTGAAGCTGTCTCACTGTCTGGACCTTTCTACCAGCACACATCCTTGAAACCCCGGCGGTGCTCCAGATTTATCAAACATAATCAAGCGGTCTCATACATCGGACATCTAGCTGGGGTGCAGGCCGCATATATTCGACCATCGGTAATCTGGCACAGTCCGTGCTGCCACGTGCAAATTGTGAAAGCAAACTCCTCAATCACGCCACGCACCCGCTCGGCTACTCCAAAGTCAATAATCTTCAGGTAGCCATGCTGGTCGATGAGGCAATTTTCCCCTGCAGGTACAGGATGACGTGGCAGCAAGTTATTGTGGGGGCTGCCAATCTGGCCTTTGAGATCAAGATACGCTATCCGTCGCTCATGGAGGAACCTCACCATCGAAAGACGAGTGCCAACCGCGCCAGTGCCATGGCACTGATATCTGATATTCACACGAAGCTTCACGAAGCACCCGGCTCTAAAGCCAGTATGATCGACGCGGAGTAGAACTGGGCCTGTCAGGCATTTCGCAGGTGATCTTAAAAGGTCCCCACTTGCAAAAGAAAATTCTCGAGCCGCCCACCTGCGGTGCCTGGAGAAGGCCTCTCAAGATGACAGCGTCAAAGACGACCGGAATGACGGGGGGTCAGACGAGCTGGCAGGCAGCAGAGGGCATCCAGCCTAGAGCATCTAGAGCATCCAGGAGCTCTCCTCCCGTGACCTGAGGTGCTCCAGCAGAACTCACACTCGAATCATGCAGGTGAATCGGCAGGACCATGTCCAGAGCTGCTGGAGGCCCATGCTAATTCCGTGAGGAAGTACACATGTCGAGGACCTGTCACAGTCTTCCCCATGGCGGGCGGCGATGCTCATGACGCGCCCTGAGCTGCATGCTGTTGAACGAGCGCACGAACTTGATGATGAACGGATGGTCCTCACAGGGAATCAGCATGAACAAAGCGCAACAAGGAGATGAGATGGCATCTGGCTTCTACATCATGACAGCACGTGCATTCCGGTCCAGTTCTGCCAGGATGTTTCTCTCATGCGCAAGCGCCTTTTGCTGCTTCTGCTCGACCTTGATACCAGCTCGGCAACTCAGAGACTGCATCGCAACGCAACGCAACAACAGCAACAACAAAGACAAAGCATCAGCAGCAAAACCAGCAGCAGCAGCCGCAGCAGCCTGGGCCCACGAGAAGCTAGAGCGTAAGCATGCCGCCGCCTGCTTCTTACTGACGCATTTCAACGCATACCTGCGACCCGATGAGTTGAACACAAGTCTTCTGAAGCAAGCGCAGGCCGCAGGGACATTGCCTGGTGTCGCTGGTCTTGGACTGGACCTGGAAAAATTTTGCAACATCAAGACTAACAAACACCTCAGACTCACAGAGCGATTGGTTCTGCACTTCCTGGGCTCGCGGCCATCTTCACCACTCCAAATCCTCCTCTCCCGATCACGCGAAGGCACGTCAAAGAACTTGGCGGCAGAAGTCAACAGGTACGATGTTGCGAATCTCGCCAGAACAGCCCCTCAACGCCCATCAAGCAATCGTCTCTTCTTTTGCTGGAAAGCGAGACACGGAGGCACCTGGCATTCCGGATTCCAGGGCGCAGGCTTTAGATCGATCTTGGTGTTCTGGAGGCCGATTCGCGCCTTCGGCAGAGCAGCAGACCCTACCCAAAGTGAAGTTAGATCTTCAACTCGAGCCTTCATGTATTCCAGGATCGGACCCTGCACAGCCTGGGGCCATGGCGCAGGGGCAGCTTGCGTTTACAAGTAGTCCTTTCATCAAAGCCTGGTTGAAGTCATCCAAGTCCATCATCCAAAGCTCACAGTCCTCGGCTTCAAAGGCCCAGAATTCGGTGGTAGCTGCGCTAAGAAGTCTCGCCGCTCTGCCTCTACGACTTTGACCGTTGCAGTGCGAGGGCCGTCAAACAGCAGGGCTCTTTCACCTTGCCATCCAAGGCTGCGACCGACCGCTTCGACTTGTCATGGACACGGGCAACATGCACACTCAGGATGCTACCGACATAGTCTCCCATGCCAAGTGTGCGCACCTTGCGCCCGTCTATGGACACCTGATCTCCAAGCAAGCAGGTTCTCTCGGAAACCCGCATGGCATGTCAATTGCGAGAAGCGCCTCCAACAAGCCTGTATGGATAATGTAGAACTCCTGGCCCTTTTCGCCTCGCAAAATGCCCGCGGTTGCTAAGTCGTTAATTTCCGAGCAGCGAGCAGCAGCAGGACAAAGCCCCGCACCTTGGTTGAACACTATTTGGCCTGGCTTCATCTTCTTTACCTGGCCGAACGGAAAGGTGGGGCTAGAAACAACGCCGCAGCAGCTCAGACTCATCAAACCGTCAACTGCTAGCTCGAAAGGAAAGTTTTCAAACTGGTGCACTCGCTTATCCCTGCCGGCCTCCAACGCTTCGGCCAGCCTGTGGAGTTGGTCCGGCGCCAGGGTCCGGAAAACCACGACTTTCCGCAAAGCCCCCACCTCCACGCAACTGCTTTAGATCTGTGCAGCTCGTGCGACCGACCTTTCTCGGTCGCGGCTTTCAGATCACAGTCCGCCCCGTCGATGAGCACGCCGGCATTAGTCTGTGTAGAGATACAGCTTGGGCGGGTCGCGCAGGACAGGGCTACATGTCTGACAGCCGACGCCAATCTCCCAGAAGCACGAAACGCCCTCGCATGCACAGGCACAGGATCAGACCTCCGGGCCTTGTCATCCGAGAGTACAGCTAATCTCATGGAGGGTGACCGTGCACGGTTCTGGCATGGCATAGGGTTGCTCAGTTGCCCATTCTGGCAGGTGCATGTGTTCGCTGCACCTCACTGCTGGTGCTCATGGGCGAGATGTCTGGACCTGCCAGGCACTTCGGAGCAGCGACGTGCAGCGCCGGCATCCGTACGAGGCTCCGACTGGAACTGACACGCTTTTTTCGACGGACGACCTCCAGAAAGCCTGCCACCGGACGGCCTGCGCTCAACGGGGCCGTCTCGTGATCTGATCTCAACTGTTCTGTCCAGCCCTTTCCTCAGATGCCTCAAAGCCACGAACCCAATGCCCCCAATGTGTCCTTTTGCATTCGTGACACAGGTTCAGCTGTGACCTGTCTTCGGCTTAAACCGCAGGAGCTGCCACGTGTTCGCCAGCTGAAGCAAAAATCGCAAAGCAACTGCCTCCTCAGAGCTTGGCACACTGCCCGACCGTTGTGTCGCCCCCGGCGGTGGAATCCAGGGCACACCGTCCGGAGCAACGGCACCCCCAAAGAGCGACGATCCCGCTTCACCAGCATGTGCAGTTTGGGTGTTCACATGGATCGCCCCCGTCTCTAGGTTGCTTTGTTGCCACGACATCACTGCCGCGATCACCATTCGTACTTGTTCGACTCCCGAGGTCAGGAACTCGCATGCAGTCTCTCTTTCTTTCGCCAGCGCTGACGGGGGGGTTGTCACATGCAGTCTTGCCTGCTTGCTTGCGGGGGGTTTAGGGCCCTGAAAGACCCCTTGGCCCGAAGGCGTACCCCGCCAGCCGCGCATCAGTCTGTTAGCTCGGCCCGTCTCGCTTTCTTTCTTTCCCCCTTGGCGGGCAAGGTTCCGCGGGGGCATTGCCCGCGGAGGCTCAGCTGTACTATACTGTAGCAGCGACACATTGAGGCGTGAGATGGCTTCCCCCCAAGTACAGTCAATATACCCACAGTAGACCAAGAAACATGACTCGGCCCCCCAATCTCACAGCCTCGTCACAACGTGATTACCGACACTGCCAACATCTGGCAACTTCGACGTGGTCTCTCGCTTGCTTGCTTGCTAAGGGGTTTCGGCGCTCACACTCGGACAAGGGGTTTAGGGCTTCAAGGGACCCTTGGCCCGAAGGCCTACACCCCATGGCTCGCGGCGGTCTGTCAGCTCGGCCCCTATTCGGGGATGAAAGAAGTGTTCCTCCGAGTGCCAGTGTGAACCCCCCCGACAAACACCCCTACTAAACCATGACCCATCAGCACCCTCGGCACTTGTCACTCGGGTCATCCACTTTTCCTTGACAAGGCAGGGTTAGTCTCTCGCTCTCTCTCTGAACTGACTTCTTACACCGCCAACGGCCCAAAGCTCCGCCTGACCACAATGCCATTTTTGCCGGCTGTGTCCTGCGAAGCTCAGCTTTTTGCAGACTGAAGAGTGGGTGAGCCTTGATGAAATTTCGGACAGCTGAGAATCCCACGCTGTTGGAGCTAGTTTTAGCCTGAGCACGGGTGACCTGGTGCAGTGCACGAAGCCGTCGAGACAGGTCCATGTGGCTTGCCAGAAGCCGAACCTGTCCCCATCCAAGTCCGCATCTTCCGGATGAAGAACGTTGCCTGAAAAGCTCGGGAAGCCCTCGCTGGCCAGCCATGTACGAGCGTACATCCAGTGCCTCTGGCACTGAGCTGAACGGGAGGGCGGACCTGGAAGCGGCATCGCATGGCCCTGTCCAGCCCTCCTCCCCATATCGCTTAGACCTGCAGAGCCGAGCTTGGAGCATTTCCATCTCTGTCGAGCAGCACTGCCTCGAAGGACTCAGAAGATGCTTAGCGATACTATGCCGTCGTGTAGTACTTGTATATCTGTATATCTGCATCTGCATTCACACTCGACTTACAAAACACAGACAAACGCAGCCGCCGCATGCCGCCGCCTCGGCCTGCCCGGCCAGGCTGAAGCCCAAACGGTAGCTGGACCTGGCGTGGCCCGAATCGGAAGGTTTCACATCCGTTGTCGGCTCCACGAGTGCCCAAGGCCATGCGCCTTTCGATGGTGGAGCCCGGCTGCAGATCGATGACCTGCAATGCATCGTGACATTCAACACATTCTTCCTATCCGCCTTCAGCACTGGGTGCACCTCGCAAAGGCTCGCGAGGCCGTCCAGCTGGTCCACACGTAAGTGGATCAGGTCCTGCGCTTGAAAACTCTATCTCTCACGCGTTGTACGTCAAATACGGCAGGGCGATCGGGTTTCAATCGGAGTCGGGGCACGCTGTCCAGAAAGCAGACTGCCCTCGAAAACGTTTAAGGGGGAGCGGCGTTGTTTTTGCCTCTTGCATGGCTGAGTACCGTTGAAATGTCTAGATAGTGGGTTTATGCAAAGTCGCAAGCCGTCCTCCTGTTGTCTCAAGGTGTCTAGGATCCGTGATCGGATCACGGTCTCCTCCAAGTTCGTCCCGAACCTTGCAAGTTTGCAAGACTACTGCAGAGCTCCCAGAGCGATGGCCTTCCGATGCTATGTCCGCTTCTGCATCAATCAAGAGGACGGAAACTTCTTACATTCCAAGATTCTAAGAGACCTGGGCAGAGTAAGAGCCACAAGAATGCTACTAGCAGCGCAGATACACAGCCGGCTGTAGTCAGTGCTGGTCGTGTAAAGTGGATGGAAGGGAGCCGGGAGAATCGCGGGTGGTCGTTGGCGGTGCTGCGGCCCGCTTGAAAAGAGCAGGAGCTCGTCGTTCCCCGATGAACGCTGACTGCGATCGATACTGCCGTCGGTTCATTTGTCCTTTGCTCTCTTGCCGTCCGTTCAGTGTGGGTTGTGTCCCACTATGTCTCCCTCTCTCTTTCTTGCTTTGATCTATCTGAAAGTAATCAGCCCGTGCTTGGAGTTGAAATCTAAAGTTACATTCGGCTACCCTGTCCCTGCAGGTCTCTATGGTTTCGACAGTGACTTTACTACTTTACAGATCGTTCGCGCACGAGGGTATGCTTTGCGGCTCACTGCGGAAAATCGTTAACTTTTCACAACTGTGCCAGCTTCTGCAGCATGGCGGCCTTCTGGGATCTGCGCACACCGCATTTGCACCAAGTCTGCTTCAACTAAAGCCTCGAGGCTTTGGCATCTGCTCCAGCAGAGTTCTGTCGAGGGCCAGCGTCTGGACCTAATGTTCCCAGATGTGGCGCATCAGGTACATGTTGGACCAGATTGAACCCGCAACCCTGCGGGCGACTGGGCTGACTGACAGCCCCACAAGCCACTGCTTTTAAGGCTTCCTCCTGAAATCAAGAACTGTTGAGTGTTTGCTGGAGGATCATGTGAATCTATGCCTTGCACAGCAAGCCGCCGTCACCAACTACGCCCATACCTTGGAAGGGAATCATCATCCACGGCTGTTGCTTCCATGTGTGGCTTGGGGCAGGACGCTCCACAACCGAGACTTCCTGGCCTGCAGCGCTGGGAATCGGAACTCGAGACTCGAGACCGAGAGACCGAGAGCTGCACCCCCGGCGGTGAGGGAGACCTGTTCCCGGAGGCTGCAGCGAGCTTTACAGAGAGCCTCCTCTCGGGATAGCACCTGCCCTTGCAACACAATGTGAAGGTCGGGCGTCTCCTGGCGCAAAAGTCGGCCCCATGGGCCCCGCCCAAATTACTGAAAAGTAAGCATGCATCGAAGCACCTTGTGGCCAGCTTCCAGGATTGTGGCGCCATTCTCGAAGCCAAGCACATTGACCTTTATATGTGGGACCCACCATGCATGAAGCGATCGATATCTCCCACTGCAAGCCGTAGCTTGAGGCTCCAGCTTTGTCAAACAGGCACTGCATCTGTCAGGGGGCAGCGGATGCAAGCAAGTTGTCAACGTCAAGCCATGCATGTATCAGTCCATGGTACCTTTTCTACACCCGTACCCACTCCACAGTACCTGCGAATGCATTCAGTACACGGCTCACGCTGACCTGATACGGCGTGAGTTTGCGTAGCAGCCAGCAGGAATCACAACCTGGGGCAACCAGCCGATAATCTATGAACTGGGCATCCTACCCGTGTTGAGACTGTATCAAACTTGAACTGTCATTTGCGCGCTATGCCAGGTCCCCAGCTGAGTGCTTCGTTCACTGCACTGCTGGCTTGACCTCTTTCTCGCCTGAGTGGCCGATGATGGAGTGAAGGACGACAGGTTGCAATGAATATCTCGAGGTGCGAGCTGATACTGCTCAGCCAGGAGAGCACGGCTCCTCACTCCATGCATGCCATAGACCTCCACCTCTCCTGCGTGGAGTACAAGCAACGTCGACTGACAGCCTTGTGGGCAAAGCTGCCAAGGCAACTGATTCAGATACGTGCCTTTGGCTTGGATTGTGGCGTCTTGTGCACCTGACATGAGGATCACGTTCTCCCCGAAAGCAGCACCTGCGAAGGAATTCTGCGAGGTCGAGCTCTTCGCAGATAAGCTCAGTCCGCCCGACCTTTAGTGATCTCCGACTTGGTTTCACCATTCCTGAAACCAGCCGGTCAACTACGATCGTCATATTCAGCGCAACTCGCCAGGTAAGCGTTTCCACCCAGCCTCAAGACCACCAACGTGCCCTTCGACACGATGAAAAAGTGGCTTCCTGGCGAAGCATATATGTATGTATGCATGTCTGTATGTATATATATATATATATATATGCATATACACACCAAGCAATGCTTGCAAGTTTACGGCTCCACGATAGACATATGAACAGCACGTACAAAAAGGTAATAGAGACATGCATGATCAATGTACATAGACCCCTCGGAGCACCGGAAAGGAGGTGCACAATATTGTATGCAATTCAAATCCTAGTAGCCTGGTCTAGTCTAGTCTTGTCTTGTCCAACCGGTAGTGTATATCACAACAAAAGAGATCACATTACATTATGTTCTGCTATGCTGTAGCATGCATTACATACGCACAGACATACATGTATGGATCTAGACATGGGTAGATATCTAGAAACGGATATTGATATGGATGTACACTTACCTATCTGTGTCATTACTTGTCTATCTACCTGCATATCTATCTAACTACTTCTCCATCTATCTGCCTATCCCATCTACCCATCTACTTATCTACCTGTTCATCTATCTACCAACCTATCTGCGTGTGCGAGGATGGTGTCTGGTGGCCGGTAATCCCCGCCCGGGCAGAACCCACCTCCGATGTTCCCATGTTCGTGTCACTTTTCCGGAACGCAGCAACTGGTGGCGAACTGGTCTGCACGGACATTCCGTCTTGAAAACCACGATCCCAAGATCGACCTCGCTGTTAGTCTTGTTCTCGACACAAGAAACTATTGCTACCCTGTCTACTGTTGCCGATGGAACTGGCTCCCGAATATGCGATGAACTGTAGGGCTCGCTGTCCCTGGCAATCTGGCTCGTCGTAGCACGAGGACATTTTCGGACTAGCGGTACTATATAATCATGCGGACACTGCAAAACTCACGGCCACAGGAACGAAATATATTCAAGCCGACATGTTTCAGCATGGCCCTGCCAAGAATCCAAGAATATGCACGACAGTCAGATCATGCACTCTGCCATGCGGCCACAAATCCACAAATTTCCAATTCCGCAACGCCACACGACTACATATCAAGATGTGTCTTTGTGCACGCATACCTGGCTGTACATATGAACATACAGACACATGCATGCATACATACATACATGCACTCTCAGACAGCCAGACAGACAGACGGGCAGACAGACTGACTGACAAAAGCCAAGCAGGCAGCCAGGCAGTCAGGCACAGATACAAAGATGAGATATGCGTAAAACAAACATACATGTAAACCTAATTGCATATACATATAACAGTATACATTTACTTATGTACATTGCATGTGTATTTTTGCTCGTTTATGATGTATTTAGTCCGTATGTGTTTAGTCTCGGCATTGTTTGCGAAGGTGTGTCTACAAGAGGGTTCCGTGTGCATACACATACCTATCGATCCATCGATCTATCAATCTCTCGATCTATGGACTCTTGGAGGGCTTGGGCGGCTAAAGAGGATTCAGAATTCAGGGGCTTAGCGAACCGCTATCAAGAGTCATTGTGGTGAGTTCTGCTGATCCTGACCTCTTCCACCACCTCAACCCAACCCAATGTTGAGCAGAGGCTGCAATGCACCAAGCCCTTTCTTCTAGGATCCAGGCTTTCTGAATTCGTTGACGGTTGCCCATTTTCCGCAAGGCATCCGCACGCATCTGATATGCACTCATGTATGATCATGTATGTATCTGTTTGCACTTGCTTGGCTGGAGTCTGTGCAAGTATGTATATGATAAGCACACATCCACATACCATTGCCGAAAAGACAGCAGTAGGGCAGAGAGGCAGAGACACATAGTTCTGACATATCGAGGGGGTCGCCCTGCGTCCCGGGACAAAGAACGACGTTCTGCAGATTCCACCGTGATCGTCTTCTGGTCACTGACGATGCAAGTACCAACGGCATTCTACGCACACGGCCTCGATAGCTGCCTTGCCGCGACACTTGCGTACCGTCGGGGAAGCGGAAAACCTGCCGGCACAACTCGGGGGCTACTTTGATTGGCACAGGAGGCACGAATCCCCTTCGCTGCTTCGGGGTAGGCTTGTCTAGCCGCTAACGGCTTGCCATTTAGCGCAGAGTTTCTGGGAGTGCTAGTCTGCGCTACAGTGCCACAACTCGGCGACCTTGGGGTGGCGGTTTGGATGGCTGCAGGGGAGAACCCTCCCAGGGGCGGGTGCACCGCCCGCCCTCCACCCCAAATTGAAAAGCTTTGAGAGTGCTTTCAGCCAGAATGGTCCACTGTTAAGTTTCTCAGTATTTAGGATGTCCACCCCTCGGTGCCCGTGCATCCGGTGTGAAGCCTCCATGGCGGCTATGAGTTTTTGCAAGGTCTCCTGGTCAACGTCCTTGAAGTACAGGAGTTTCCTGTGACAAGGCGAGATGGGTCGGTGTTGGCTGCCGGTGTGGCACGAGTTTGGTGTTTCCGAAATCAATACCGCGCTGGTATGTACAATTGCAGGGTCTTCTGGACCTAGCGGCCACTGCCTGTCGCAACATGACTGTCCAGCAATGGCTTCGGATACACCATGGTATACCCAAAGCGATCCTGAAACGATCTTTCTGGTTCTGCCGATACGGACTGCAACAGTCATGTCGTATGGTGGCGGTGGTCAAAGAGCGCAAACTAAGGGGTACTGCGACCCCTTTTCCAAGCTTCAGGTGCATTGGCTGCAACATGCAGAACATGCACAGGCTCCGCGAGGCTTGTCCAAGATTTGTTGATACAGAGCAGTCTTGAACAGCCCGCAGTTCCTGGTCATTGCAAAGAAAATTAAAGAAACGAATTTGCTCGACATTTTTAAGTCCTGTGAATTCGGGCTGCTGGAAGTTGGGGCTGCACAGGCGACTTCTGTGTCGTTCGAGGATTTGGTTGAAGCTGCGCTGCCCAATGCCTGCTCAATTGCGCTGGACTTCTTCCATGCCTAGTTCACGCGATATGCAACCTGCACTTCGAGCCTTCGAAGATACGGTGCATTCAAGCATTTCTGCAGTCTGTCCGCGCAAAGCTTCCCTTGAAGAAGGGCACGCCACTGGCGGCGGATCCAGTTATAGCAGGACCTCTCCATGGCATCTTCAGAACCTCAGACTTGAACTTCCGCAATCATTGAACTCCTGCATACTCCTGACAGCTTCCCGCCCTGTGTCCCCAACAATGCTCCAGTCCTCTCCCGAATCGGGTCAAAACCCACCCACAACTCCTGCCCCAGATAGCCTACGTGAAGATTGCTCATGCCTAGGCTCTCAACCCCTGCCATGGAAGCCGAAGCTGCACAAAAAACCTGACACATACGGACATGCAGTGATCGGACTTTCCATCAGCCGGGGTGCCAGATTTTGGCATCTGTCCATTGTGAGCCCACAAAAACAGCTTGATCTTCTCGAGGTTTTTATCAAACTTCTCCTTCAACCCGTCTGGACTAAACTCTCAAGGCCAAAACACGAAAGCGCAGCAACGCGCAATGTTTTAGGCCGCATGATGCATAGAAACAACCACCCAAGCCAATTCCATAAACTGCAAAGTTTTGGTCCAGGTGATGCTGCAGGGCCTCCTCGCGCTGCTGACGCAATGCCTTCGGCCTCTTGTCCTTCAGACTTTTCCGCGGACGGCGGGATGTCTTGAGCTCCTCGACTTCGTCGACTAACTGCTCCTTCAACACGCGTAACCTCCTCTTTCCCCGCAAATGCACTCCATCTGTCCAGAACGTTCTGAGTGGCCTTTTGCTGCCGTTGGCGCGATGCCGACCGCTTCTTGGCCTTCGTACTCTTGAGCTCCCGCCGGGGGCGAGGTGCCTTGTGCCATCTCAAACTGTGGCTTGATGCGAGAGTCCAAACACAGGTGGAGAGTCTTTTTCGGTGGAGAGGTTCTTTCCGGCCAGCTTTGGGCAATTCCCAATTGCAAGGGCTGTTTTGCAGCAAACTATTAGGAAATTCCTTTACGCCGAGTCTGGCTATAGGGTCTGTATGGTCTGTTTCGCAGCAGGGCATTGAAGAGTTCCCTTATGCACAGTCCAGTTTCGCGGCAAGTCGTTGGGAACCTCTCTTCGTAAATACGAGCTCACGGCCAGCTAAGAAAAATCAAATTATAGCATCGTGTTTTGCTGAAAGCTGCAGATGAATTCCAAATTGCAGCGTCTGTCTTGCTGCAAGGTATTGGGGACTTCCCTTACGCAGGGTACGGTTTCGAAGCAAGCTATGGCAGAGTTCTGCCATTGAATGCTGTTGGGTGGATGCAAATCTTAGAAAGTTGAAACTGTCAAGTTTGTACTCGGCGGCAGTAGTGGTAGTAGTAGTAGTAGTAGTGGTAGTAGTAGTAGTAGTAGTAGTAGTAGCAGTAGGAGTTATTGGTAATAGTAGTAGTAGTAGTAGCAGTAGGAGTTATTGGTAATAGTAGTAGTAGTAGCAGCAGCAGTAGTAGTAGTAGCAGTGGTAGTTATCATTATTATTATTATTAGTAGTAGTAGTAGTAGTAGTAATAGTGGTGGTGGTGGTGGTGGTGGTGGTGGCGGTGGTGGTCGTAGTGGGTACTAGCGAGCAGTAGCGGGTAGTACCAGGTAGTAGTAGTAGTAGTAGTTGTTGTAGCAGCAAAAAAAAGTTGTAGCAACAGAAGAAGCAGTAGCAGTCGCAGTAGCAGTCGCAGTGGCAGTTAAGCAGCGAGGATTAGTAGTAGTGGTAGTAGTAGTCGTAGTAGTAGTAGTAGTAGTAGCAGTAGTAGTAGTAGTAGCAGTAGTAGTAGGAGCAGCAGCAGTGGCAGTGGCGGGGGCAGTAGCAGTAGCACTGGCAGTAGCAGATAGTAGCAGATTCAAGGTAGTAGCAGTAGCAGTCGCAGTCGCAGTCGCAGTAAGCAGCAGCAGCAGCAGGAGGTGCCAGCGAGAACGCTGGGCCTTGTGAATGCGGTGAGTAGGCCTTGAGTTTGCAGCTGCTCGTAGCGGAACTCGACCTTATGGTCATAGTGCCCTAGAGGCACCGGTGCAGTGCACTGCCATTAGCCTGACGCGCTAAGCTGAGCAACCGGCTGCGATTGGAATGAAATAGTAGTAGCAGTAGTAGTAGTAGTAGTAGTAGCAGTAGTGGTAGTAGCAGTAGTAGTAGTAGTTGTTGTTGTAGTAGTCGTAGTAGTGGTTGTGGTTGTGGCAGTGGCAGTGGTAGTGGTAGTAGTGGTAGTAGTGGTACTCTAGTGGTAGTAGTGGTAATGGTGGTAGTCGTGGTGGTAGTGGTAGTAGTAGTAGTAGTAGTAGTACTAGTAGTAGTAGGAGTGTAGTAGTAGTAGTAGTAGTAGTAGTAGTAGCAGTAGTAGTAGTAGCAGTAGTAGTAGTAGGAGGAGTAGGAGTAGGAGTAGGAGTAGCAGTAGTAGTAGTTGTTGTTGTAGCAGTAGTAGCAGTCCTCTATAGTAGTAGTCTATAGTCTGTGGCAGTAATCGTCGTCGTCGCAATTGCGAAACTATCTAGCAGTGGGTAGAAGCAGTAGCAGTTGCAGCTGGAGTAGCATTAGCAGTAGCAGTAGCAGCCGTAGCCGTAGAGCTAGCACTTGTAGTAGAAGATCAGGAGGATCCGCATCAGCAGCAGCGGCCGTTTTGTGTCTACCTTTCCTTCGTGAGTTCGTTCGATCGTTACGTCGTAGGCGCTCATATTTCAATTGTGTGTTCTTTTCTGTCTTGGTTCGGCAGTTGATGCTGTTTCTCTCTTTGGGTGTGTATCGTGTTTTCTCTCCTTGCTGGCATTCTTTCATGTTCTTTCTGGATGTCTTTCTCATTTATGTTTACTATTGCACCGGTTCTTCGTTCGATTAGTCACTTTTTGGTTTGTTTTTTGCAATTCTGATGCTTCATTGCTCATGATGCCAATCCTCTTCCTTTATTCCTTCATTCATTGCTGTCTTCCTTTTCTCGATCCTGATCTACTTCTGTCTTGATCCTCATCCCCTCGCTCTCTTTCTTCCTTCCCCGCTTCCTTTAGGAAAACCTCCTTCAAAAAACCATCCAGAGGTCTAACCATCATGTCCGTGCATGTCTCATGGTAGGTGTTCCAGCGGGGCCAGTCCACTCAAATGAAGCACGACAGAGAGAGGAAAGACTGTGCATTCTAGCGACAGCAGGTGCGGCAGCTCGCCCTCTGCTGATGGCGTCGTCTAGCAGCTGACTGCATGCAAGGCTCACTGGCAGGCTGACCTGCCGAAGCTTAGCCACATCGTAGAGTCGCAGGGAGGCACGGACAACAAACGCATCAAGCACAATACTCAAAACCCTACGGCTGCCGACTGGATGACGACAACTTCCAAAGCGCACGTGCCTGCGGAGTACCTTAGTTTGCGCAAGACAACATCACCCGGGAAAAGGGCTAAAATGTATAGTGGCCGACATGCCGTCCGAGGAGTTTGGCTTGGGCGGGCCGATCCCCACAGTTGTCCCCTCGTTTCCAGCTCGAATGCTGAACCAACCTTTTACAGTAAAGACACACACACAAAACTGATGCCAACAACCAGAGGCTGTTTTTCCACAGTGAGGAAGAAGTTGCTAGGCTGGCAGCTGACAGAAATAATTTTCGCGGAATCCTGTGCTTGGATTCCGACGGGCGCGAACCTACTCACCGCAATCTGAGAGATTCAGCGCTGCAGCAGCCAACACACGCAAGTGCTGCACAGGACGTGCCCAGAGAAACCGCCTACACTCACAACAGCGAAGAGCCATTCTCGTCGGAAGCCTTGCAAGCCTGACACCCCGAAGGTAGGAAGGAGAGAATAGCACCTGTTTGACTTTCCGACTTTGGCATTTCTTCTGTCGTGATCACCGGGCTCAGGGTTCCACTGCGGCACAGCTTCATCTGTCGATCTGATGTTTCGAGCTGCAGACCCGGAAAACTCCAGACCGCGTTGCTAGGCCACGAACTCATGGCATCGATTTGTGGCATGCACCTCACCTGGCCTCCTTCTTCAAGTCATGTCACAGTTGCCGACATCGACCATTTACAGTAAGATCCTGAGCCCTGTGCTGCCCGTGGAGACTTCTTCAATGAAATCCTGCCCTTTGGCTGTCTGGACGAGGACCTCGAATGTACCTTGGCATAACCGAGCGGGATAAACCTGGCTTAAACTTACATGCGAAGAGAGGCCGCAAGCTTGGAATGCCAAGTAGCGCTCACGAAAGAATGCCCCATAACGCCTCGAGCGCCGTCGCAGATACCCGGAGCCTTGCACCGGACAGCACAACAGTTCTGCAAATGCCGCAGGTGGTCCACGCATGCCGCCCCCTGTGCAATGCAAGTAGCCAGCCAATGTCTCCACCACCTCTTGCAAATAGCGTTTCAGCTTTATCTTCGTGCTGAGTCCGGTGATTTCCTGACCTCAAAGGTTCTGCCCCAGAAGGTTGAGAAAGGAAACTTCATTGACCAGTGCTGAGCTCCCAGCATCGATGAAATTTCTCTTCAAGACCAAGATTGCTCGTCTCGAGGATCTTTGCTGAGCCTGCCAATTCCACTCTCGAATTCGTCGCAAGGACGAGGCAGGCACTCGTCCTCACGAAGGGATCGAGAAGAACATGAACAAGGGACTGAGGTTCAGAAGGATGCCCCCCATTTCCCCACAAGGCTGCGCCGGCCTTTCACTTTGGGCATTCTCCCGCAAAGCATCGTCACCAATTGGCTTAGAGTCCTGAGCTTGTGGGGCGTGCAACAGAACTTTTGCTCCTCCGAGGGCTGTCTGTTGCAGATGTGTCCATAGCTGAACAAGCATACAGCATAACAATCTTTCTGCTTGCCACTGAAGCAGCGGATCAAAGCCAATGTTTGCACAATCCTTCAGAAGCTGAAGGATCTCGATCGCTTCTTTGGCGAGGTCTCGTTCGCTTGCATCCTGTGGCAGAAGCTTGCGGCCAATGTCAGCGACTCAGCCACATCTTCTGACATCATCTGGCTGGAAAGCTGCAGGCGTCCTTTGCACCTTCTGCAGCTAAACAGATGTCACACACGCCACAATGCGAGCCGAACCTGCAGAAGCCACGCTCCACACTGCTGCAATTCATCCTGCTCGTTTGCAGACAAGGGGCTCTGGCTCCTGCCCAGTCCGGTCACTTGCAACAGTAAGAGCACAACGGCATGAGCTCAGGGAGTGCAACAAGGACCGATGAGCCAATGAGAAATAAACGATAGTAAAATGACCCTGCAGCATCCTTCAGCCCTGGAGCATGGCCTCGCCCAGGTAGCGCAGCAGTTCAAACCAGCGGCAGCTGCGTCCATGCAGTAGATGTCGCATCTGCTCCATGGACTTCTTCTTCCATTCCTGACTTGTAGCGGAGATTGGCAGCACTCTGACTCCTCCGCCGCGCATCGCTCCGCATCGCTCCGCCCGTCCTCGCTGTCAGAGGACTGTGCGTACACGGCTCTGGCCTTGGCCGCGCAAGCGTGTCGCGTGTCTCTGCGCAGCATCGCAGCCGGAGCCGAGGTCGGCGCAAAGTCCCGGCTTGCAGAGATGACTTCACACTTTGCCGGCTCCCCGTCTCGACCGGCTCGACCAATCCTCACAGCTCGTAAAAGTCCGGCTGAAGTCGAAGTTAGTTGCTGGGGCATTGTGCTCACAGCTAACTGTGTGCAGCCCTGTTACTGTTGCAGATAGCTCTCTACCTCAACGGATCAGATCCCAACATCAGCCCACACCGTGGCGACAGCTGAGAACGGCACGGTCCACGGCGAGCCCAGATGGTACACCCGCCGGACATCCGGGAAGTGTACACCCATGCCGTACGCCACCTTCAGATCGGACTGCCGATCTCGACCCGATCGTGCGGTGCCACTGCGAGCCCTGCCGTGGCGACCATCACCCGATCTCCTCCCAAATTGGCTCAACATGCCGTGCCTTTCGAACATGGCTCGGACCCATGGACCTCCCATGCTGGAGAACTCGAGATGGGCTTTGTCGCGTTGACCTTTCAGCACCGGTAACAAGTGACAGACTGATTGAGCATGGTTGGACATTGTATCACGTTATACAGCACATACTGTACCATACTTGATGCAACTGTTCATGATTCAACTTGCGCTTTGATCGGCCGGGAATGCTTCAACTTTGGAGCTACCGCAGACTGCACAGCACAGGATTCTGCAGTATCCCGGAAATCATAGTGCCATAACAGATCTCGAAAGACTTCGAAGTTCTAGCAGCGAATGGAACTGAAGGCGACTGACTATATTTCATCGAGGTGGCGCTGCTGGATTCTGGCATGGTAGGACCCGACCTGAGCCATGCACCACTGATTAGACTGTGTCGACTCGCAATTTGGGCGAAGCATTTCGACTATCACAGCTATTAGGGCTGTCCTCCCATGCGTGCCAGGCATCTGTCACAGGCAACCCTGGCTCGCCCAATGAGGGCAGCAATTCCTGCAACGGCTGCTGAACAAAATCCTTGCTGTGCACCAGGCCATGCGCGACCTGTCTTTTTTTTTGCTTCTTGGCTCCGTTGGATTTGCCCGACTGGTCTTGTCAGAGATGATGCCACTGAACGCAGCCTTTACGCCCCTGTGCAGAGCTACAGGCGGCCACTGTAGCGATTGTGCCTTGAGTTGCTTGCTCACCTTGTCGACATCCTGGTCCCAAGCATAGCCCAGGCTTGGGCAGCTCGAACAGTTCGCTGGAAGCTGAGAAAAGCGTCCACACTCAGAACGAAGTTGAAGCTAACTCCGTGCTGGCTAAGTGTCATCCCGTTTGTGCACGTAGATGATCGTGCGTCCACCTGGGCATGAACGGCATCCTGCCACGCATGTAAAGCCAGTGACCACTCGGTGAAGATCTCAGTATCTGGCTCGCACTCTTGATGTCCTCCTGAGCTGCGCAGGGAGTTGCCTGAAACTCCTCAAGCTTCCTCCCATAATTCACAGCCCACCGCAGAGAAGAGAAAAAGCAGCTGAGGTCCGAGATGCTGCGATTTGCTGGAGGTCATGGGAGAAGGAAACGGAAACCGTGCGCTTCAGGTGGAGGTTGGGTCTAAATGATGTTCCCTTCGAAACCTGCCGCAGCTCACACGCCATTGCCGCACAAACATTTGACGATGTAGCTTCTACACAAAGCTGCATCCGCCTGGGCAGATCGCAAGCGCAGAAATTGCTTGACGTCAGCCTGATGCGTACAGCCCCACAGCTTGTGGCAGCGAGTGCAACAATGAAGGGCAAAAAATGCGCGACTGTTCCTGAAGTGGGGCTTACGCTCCACTTTCAACCAACAGGATCCTTGCTCGGCGACCGTCCTCGACAGCTGGCGTCCCCAATGCAGTCAGCCTTAAACAGTGGCAGCCACACAAGATTACTCGCCTTGCCACATCCAGAATCGCAAGCAATCGAAGGCCCGACATTCCGAGTCCAAGCCAACGACGCCATGATCGGAACATCTGGATAATCTTCTCGGAAGTATTCAAGATCTCTGTACTCTGGCCTGTGCACGGCAGGGGAAGAAGAAAGTGGAGGCTGCAGTAACTCACAGGCCTGAAGTCGCCGCCCCACTCGAGAATGCAGTGCGCCTTTCCAAACAAGGCACAGCTCACCCCGAGGAAGAAAAGACTGTTGCCCTGCAAGGCCTCATCAACTGCGAGCAAACCAAGTTTTCTCTGCTCGTGCATGCTCCTCAGCCAGATGCCGGAACCATGGACTGTGGCTCTGTGGCTGTTGATCTTTCTGGAAGGACTCTAAAGACTAGGTGACTAGGAGGTGCTGATGGTGCACCGGACAAGCTGCACAGCAGCAACTCCGGCCTCAAGTTAAACAGCGATCTCACCAGCTTCTCCGGGGTCAGGTAAACGAGGCTGTACTTTCCTCCCAGAGGATTCTCAGGCTCTGTGGTCAAAACATGGGCCTTCAACTCACGATGGCAGTTCCTTCCAGCGCATCAGCCTCGACGGTCCGTCGTGTCTCCACGTCTTCGTGGCCTTCGGAGCACGCAGAAACCTCGACTCACTTGAGTGGGGCAGTGCGCCTGACCCGAGGAAGCAGGCACGGTAGCTCTCGCCTGCGGAGAAGCAATAGCGAAGCAAACACCGAGAACTCCTCCCTCAAAGCAAAACCGTGACAACCCCTGCGCCGCGCCGTGGTGCCTTTCTGCTCTGCGAGCTCGTTGAAGCGCTGCACCTGGTCCTTCATCAAGGCGATCAGAGGGCTCACCTTGGAAACCGAAGAAGCGGAAGCCGCCGAATCCGCCGAAGCAGAGACCAAGCGACGCACCACGAACACAGTCCGCTGAGTGATGATGGGAACCAGCTGAAAGCACAGCGACTTGCCAGTACCCGTCGACCAGAAGACGCAGGTGTCCTGCAGATGCCAGATGGCCCCACTTCTGCGAATCCTGTGCCTCTGCTTCTCACCTTCCCTTGGACGGCCGCCTCGACGACCTCACGAGAAAAGCAGGAAGCTCGAATCTGAAGCCCTTCACGCCCAAGCCTGCCTCACGTTGCTCCGGCCTGGCAGGTGGGTAGAGTTGCTGCCGTATCACAGGCCATCTCTTTGTTGGTCTAATGCGCATGTCGGCAGCCTTAATGATGGAACATCGAAGAAATTTTGTGCGACGGCAGACATGTCCACCTGCGAACTCCAGCTTCTGCTCGTCTTCCATGCAAACCGGATACTAGATTACTACATGCCGCTGCCTGCGATGCTGCCGATTGTGCGCAGAGGACGCGGAAGCAATCGTTGCGAAGGCGGCTGCGAGCGCCGGGCAGCCGCAGGACCCGCAGCACTCGCAGGACAGCCAGCCCCACCGTGCCCACACAAGTACATGCGGCTGCAGACGGTCCGGGGCCAGAGTCTGGCGCGGGCACCTTCTTACGTGGACCAGCAAGGCTTTCTCCGTGAGCGGCCACAGAGCAGCGTGGCCAAGCTGCCAGCATCCCGCGCGTGCTGTTGTAAAAAACTAGAAGGGGTATTCCCGAAGCTTTAGCAGACTGAATTTTGCACAAGAAAGGTGGTGGAATTGTGGGCCGAGGATAAAAAACACTTGACTTGAGGCTTCTGATACTTGGGCCATCTGCGCAACAACGCTCCAGTCCCAGTATGTCCGATTGCACGAAATGCCCGGAATGGAGCGGGCAAACACCAAGAGAGGCCTGAGGATACTTTCGAGCAGCTCCTTGTCCTGCGCACGACCCGCACAGACATCTCCGCTCGATGCAACCAAACACCGACTCACGTTGCATGAGTCCCCAGAAGCACTGGAACCCCACGTGACAGGCAGGGAGGCAAGGAGAGGGTACCAGGATCGAACAGCAAGTCTTCGATTGCCTGTGCTACAGTCATCGTGATTCAGTGATCTCCTTAGTGGCACCGGTCACCGCATGCTTCTGGAGATCCAGCTCGTCTCGCGGAGAAAAGACCATCTCCTCATGCCCGTATGCGATCGGATCTCGCGCATCTGTTCCACAAGCACGGCTGGTGTCCTTCATGTGGTCTGGCATGCTGGACATCATTGCCTCGCATAAGGACAAGGGGATCTCATGCTTCCGACAACAGCCAGCCCTTCCTTGACCGATTCCAAGACCCTGTGCATCTGATGCATTATCGTTGTACGCAGGCTTGCTCCATGACAACGTGCACCATTGTGCTTGCTGAGTGTGTCTCGGTCTGCGAGCAAGAGGAGAGTGTGAGATCTGCTTCTACGGTGTTTGCGTGCGTAAATCCTGTGGAAAGGACAAGTTCATCTGTCGCACAGCCATCAAAGCTCTCATGGGACGCCTGGAACCGTGGACTGGCCGGATTGGGTGCCGATTCGGCAACCTGGGTAACACGGTAACAGCTTCACTTTGGCTTTCACTTGTTGCAGATACATTATGTTGCAATACACGCAGCTAGGATGTGACGTGAGCTTCTTCAACATGCAGGTGTTCTTGACGGTTCCGCCAATTGCTGCTTTTCTGGATGCATGCATGCACTCACCCAAGCGGTGAGATACATGCAAAGTTCGCGTCGCGCCAGTGCCTTCCTATAATGCAAGATGAGACATACATCCGAGCGCAGGTCTTTGCACCTGCACAAACAAGGCCCAGCGACTTTTGGACAAACCACGTGGACCTCTGGGCCAGGACGTCCATATGTCTCGACTATGGCAACGGCATGGAACAAAGTGAAACTACATGGCTCAGACAACCAGTGCTTGCTGGGAAAGCAATGGTGCTTCTGGTGGTGGACCATGGTTTGGATTCCTTTCCCAGCTGCATGTTTTCGACTCCGGGGCCCCTACCAGGGATGGAACCGTGCAGTTGAGCCTCGGGGCACCGACTATGGCGAGGACGGCATCGTAGGCCCGGCAAGTAGCTTCCTGAACGGCCCCGTAGTTCTCCCGGAAATCGCCACTGCAATTCATACCTACAACGCTCGTGTAGGCGATGCAGATTCCGAAGTCGTATTTCTGATTGTAACCACACGGAGAGCAGCCACTTCCCCAGTCTTCACCGGGGTGGCCCATGACCCTCGCGTCCTTGGGGTCTGCACTTGGGTCCTGCATGGGCCAGACGTCCTGGCCAACCTGGTCCTCAGATCCGACACAATCCGTTTCTGAAAGCAGTGAAGCATGCCATGAGAAGACATCTGCTGCAAGAAGGAGAAGGTACCTAAAAAGGGAAAAGGCTATGATGATGGTCATCATCTTCTTCTTCTTCATCGCCAGGCGCTGCCACCCCTGCCCCTCCCCTCGCCCCACCTACCTCCGCAAAAGGCTAGTTGTCGCAACATGGCCTGTCAGAAACCACTTTCTTTCTTTCTTTCCAAGCGTCTGTAAGGATGCCCATGCCGTAGGAGCAAGAGCCATATCCTGTTGGCCCCAAGCACCAGTCATCACTGAGGCGCTTCATCTTCTGCATCTCCAGGAGCGAGGCATTTCGCAAGAAACCACCTCTTTCCTTGGGCAAAGTGAAGAGGTCAAAGAAGAAGGTAGCCAGGTCCTGGGCCGAGCTCGCAATGTTTCCCATGGTCCAGCCATTCAAGCACGAGTTGCTAAAGAGATCTTGGAAGGTTTGGTGGCTGCTGGCATTCCTCCAGTATTGCCAGGTGTATTGATGTGCAACACCGGGATACTGACTGCACCTGCCCAAGTTCAGGAAGCTGGTGTGGGAGTAGCGCCCTGTCTCGAAAAGCTGCTTCGGAATCACACTTAGCTGTGGCAAGTCTTGCCAGGACCACGTCCCATGGACCTGAACGAGGACCAGGCCCAACAAGACGTAGTTCGCTCCAGAATAGCTGGCACATGTTCGAGGTCTGCACAGGAAACCCTGTCGCGCTGAACTTCGAATGTAAATCAGCGGCCCAGCGTCGTCAGCAGAGAATGCAAGGGTGAAGTGCTCCAGAAAGAAGTCGTCGTAGTCATGGAAGCCGCTAGTCATCCCTAACAAATCCCGCACCCGCACCTCCTCGACCTGTGCACCCCAGAGCTCCTGCATGGTGATGCTCCAAAGACGGGACATCACAGGGTCAATCCATGCACTTGCCCGGTCATCCAGGCTCAATTTTCCAGATTCTGCGGCCTGCATCACCATAACTGCAGTCCAAGACTTCGTCACTGAGCCTAGCGGCACCAACATCTCAGGCCTCAGCGGTGTCTTCCTGAATATGTTGTCCAAGCCAGATGCAGCCGCAGCACGTCCGGAACGATCAACGAAACCGAAACTGAAGCTCATGTTGTACTTGACGGCCATCTCGTCAAGCACAGGCTGGACGGCCTGTTGCACCCGAATAGACCGATTCACATCTGCAGCGATGTGCTGGATGCATGCCAGTGCCAGGAGGAGGAACATGGAAGCTAGCCGACTACGCAAAGAATGCGTGCAGTTAAACAGGACTACTGTGGACTACTTACACCGTGCACTGAGAGACGACACCGGAGCCACGCAGTAACCCTCGAGGAATGCTGCTTGACAAAATTCACAGGAGCTGGCTCCAGCGACGCCGGTCTGGGTAAAGGCCGTGGGCAATCGCGGTCGGGCCTCAGCTGCAGATGAAACCTGGATGTTTTGCACCCGAAAAGCAGAAAGAGCTGCTGGCAGGTCTTTGGTCCGGCTGCTTGTTCAGCTCGAGAAGTTCTTCTCTCGTCAACGACCTCAGCTTTGGAACGCCTAAGGCACCACGCAACTCTTTCTTTATCTTTATTCTCGTTGCACCTTTCAATTTTGGATCGTTCTATGCACGTGTTGGATTCGCAAAACTCTTTGAGTGCGCGATAGTGCTTGCACAGGCTGCACAAAGGTACGGACCCATCATCTTCCACTGGCACCTGCCGCGTGCCGTGGATGCCGTGAGCAGTTTCCGGACGGGGCGGCTTCGGAACATTTTCGTCAGAACTGTACCCTGCAAGGAAACAAACGACATCCAGCTTCGACTTCTGCAGAGGACGCTCTCGTTGGGTGGGACTGTCTCAGCTTGCTGCGGGCTTTGGGCCAAGCTGCTCTCTCTGTCCTTCAGCACCCCTTACTCCAACAGTAGTGTCTCTATCTAATGACAAGTTCTGCAGAGAAGCCGATTTCACCGGCATTTACAGCACTTTCTGCAAATGGAGTAGTTAGATTCGAGGCATCTAGGTAACTATTGGAAAGAAAGTGGAACACATAGCGTGTTGATCTTGGGGGGCCAAAACCCCCCCAAGAACCACCGCGAGGTGCCGCGATACCGCCACCAATCCTCCTACGTTTAGGATTCTGGTGTATCTAGGCTTAGCGTTTGATTCTGAAGTTCCGAGGGGAGAACATATGCATGTCGGCAGCCGTCTTCATTCTCAACTCCTTGCGACCCTTCATTTAGATGCTCCGAGAGATGATTTCTCCAAAGATGACACTCATTTTCTGTCTGAATAGCCGGGGCTCAATATGGGCCCGAGCATTAACTCCTCAGGTAGCCTTCACTGTAGTCTCAGATCAAAGCCCCAGCAATACGTATGAATGACCATGAGCCTTGGCTGACTCCTATTCCTAAACACTTGTATCCCTAAGGCTAACCTTGCCACTAGACCTTTACATCGGCCCCAATGGTGACAGCAGTAGCCTGTTTAATGTCTACCCAAAAGACATGCCTTATAGATCAACGTCTTGGCTCGTATGGATTACCATGCTATGCCGACTAGGAACCCCATAATACATCCCCACATTAACTCCGACATTGACCTGAAGGCTAATACATAAGATATATGAGCTTTGTTGGCCCAATAGTAGGAACGAGTTGGCTGTCACGTTCTATTGAAAAGTGGGCTTGATTTTGGCAGTCTTTGAAAGATACAAACCCCAACCTGCTGGAAAAGCTGGCTTGACACGGTTTTTACGACACACAACGAGAGTCGGCAGTTCATGGCGGCGAGTTACCATATGTATAGATATGTGTATATATATATATATATATATATATATATATATATATATTTAGAAGTTATATACATATCTATATACATATATACATACACGCATACACACATGTATACATATCTCTATATCTACACATGCATACATGCAGTTGCAAATCTCCATGCCTACATACCTACAAACGTGCCTACGTACCTAGCTAGCTACCTACCTACCCACCGGCATACATACAGTACATAGGCATGCACATGCCATATGTCCCTATGAACAAAAATAACACCCTAGCACCATTGATTCGAACCCAACTACCGTAGCTGTCCACTACCTGCTTACATCTGCACTGATTTGCAGCTGTCTACTGACGCGAACTCGCAGCGAGCGACGCTTGCCCACATACATAAATACATACATACATACGTGCGTACATTCATAAATGCACGCATGCAAATATCACATGCGGTTGTTCGTTAGTATGATGCCGTTTTACACGAGTGCGGCAGACTACACCGCATGACGTTTTGCTGCATTCGCTCTCGTAGTCTCGTGCGTTCAGAAAAAATAAGACTGGTTTCGCGTTTCCATACAGATGGACACTGTTTCGAGATAGCATCGCAAAGCCGATAACCTAGGCCTAGACAGGGCCAAGCACAACAACCGAATGACATGCTGTCCGCTGGAGGCAACAGCACGTGTTTGACAGGACGGGCGCATCCCGACGTGCCAGCGGAGCTTTGCCGCTTCTGCGAGAGACATCGTGTCTGAGGAGTCCACTGCGCCACTATGCGCACGCTTTGCTGCGCTAGGCTCAGAAGACCTTCTTGGCCACCTGTCACAGCTCGCATTCTGTTTGCTACACTGCTACAACACGCAACTGCCAAGCGTCCTAACGACGGCACTGTAAATCCTGCCTTGTTGCTGAGGCCCTTTCGCTTCAGATCCTTGGCCTTCCAAAGGTCATGCAGGTTTCGGAGCCGACACGGCAGAGAACTGGCTCGCTGAAGAACTGCGACCTCCTCGACAGACTTGCGCTTGGCACCGCTTTCAGAGGCATCAGAGGCCATGTCCACCTGACACGCAATGCTAGCTGCTAACAGGTATTGCAAGACTGGCGTGCGACATGCTTCGTGCTGGGTCATTGAGGACTGAACGCCCATGTCCTTCGCGTACGCACCTAAGAACCACAGTCTTCTACGAAGCAAAAACAACCAGAATCTGACCATGATTTTGCCACCTTGCCAGGTGAAGAAGCCTTGGTTCTGGACCGAAGATGTCATCCAGGAGTGCCATCTCCACCGGGTCCGCACCATCCTGATGGGCAGCTCAAGACTGCAGGCGGAACAAACTGACATCGCGCCGCTGCAGGCAAGACGCCGCGAACATGTCATCCTCTGTGGCAGCTTGCGGCACTGCCTCGGTCGTCTCTGTGATCGTTTACACTCTGGCCTGGCTCAAGCTTCTCCGCAGAAGTCTTGGTGTGCCTGTGTGGCCTGCTCCGTTTCGGGCTTGCCGGCATCCTCGCCACCAAAGAGGTCCTGGCCGGGCTGCAGGCATGTTCCTTCGCCGCCAAGCTCTACGTCCTCGGACTTAAGGGCATAGCGTCACTACCAGACGCATGTCCGTCAGCAAGAGATCGGGAGGGTTGCTTCCTTTGCATCCAGCACATCGGTGCCGGACCCATACCCCACAAAGGGATCATCTCGTCTTCCTTGAAAAGCCGTTCCCAGCGTCTGGCATCTTCGTTTCATCATCAGCATCAAAATCACTCTCGCATCGTTCGACATCTGTGTCTGTGTCCGTGTCTGTGTTTCGACTGACACACTCGCACAAGCAGGCATGGCTTCAGGTCTGTGTTGATGTTTGTGTTTGTGTGTGTCTATGTGTATGTCTGTGTGTGTTTAAAGGTGTCTGTGTGTGTGCTCTGGGTCTCTGGGTCTCTGGGTCTTTGGGTCTCTGCGTCTCTGCGTCTCTGTGTGTCTCTGTGTGTCTCTGTGTGTCCCTGTGTCTCCGTGTCTCCGCGTCTCGGTGTCTCTAGGTCTCTGGGTCTCTGGATCGCTGCGTCTCTGCTTCTCTGTGTCTCTACGTCCCTATGTCTGTCTCTGTCTTTGTCTCTGTGTCTTAGTGTGCGTGTGCATGTGCTTGTGCTGGTGCTCGGGTGTGGTGGGTGTGGGCCGGTGGGGCGGGGGGCCAACCCTTCACATCAAACAGCACCCGTTGCAGTGCCCACTTCGCAGACTAAAACCCAGTCCGAAACTCTCACGTGCTCATTATGGCTTGCTGGCCTCCACCGCATCAGTGCTGCCGGAGGTGGCGCCCACTTTCTCGTCCTTGGAGATTTGCTCGGGCAAGCACGAAAGAACTTGCAAGGCAATGTTGTAAGTCGGCAGGCAGGTGATCCGCCAAACCAAATGACCATAGCAGTCTTGTCCTTCAGGGCGAAGTGTGGATTAGCAATTGGCCGCAATTTTGCCGGTCCGCTACAAAGAGCTTCTTGGAGCTGCGCGTCTGAGGGTTCTCGAGTATGAGCCGCTTCCACCAATGCCCGTGCTGCCTACATGGTGTCAACATGTGTGATTTGACTTCGTCCGCAGCACAGCTCACAGCTCAGCATCTACGAATCTGAAACACTCCCTCAGTTCTTCCACCGGTCGCACCCGCTCGGGAGCATCAGCGCCACCCTCGCGAAGCGGCCCGGAGGCCAGGCGCACGGCCTTCCAAGCTACGTGAGAGATATGCCACCAAGGCCGGCGCCGTCCCCTCGCGAACTTTGCAACTTTTCTCCACCTCCGCATCCGACACACTTCCGGTGATTCCGTCGGTTACAAGAATGAGCATGACCTGAGATGCTCCAGGGCCCGCGGGAATGCTGCACGACCCGGACTCGCCCAGAAAGCTCGACAGAGGGCCACCGCAGCACACGACCGAGTGACTTGCAACTTGCTGGCAAGATTCGTCTTCCTTAACTTTCACTTCACTACACAGTGCAACCTCCAACTAACATCAGCACGTACTGGCGACAATGCACATGCAGCAGTAGGAAAGCAGCTTCGGGGTCAATCGCAAAAGCTGACAGCTCTGGCCTTACTTGTCACTGGCTCTGGTAGCACACGGCTGTTGTGCTGGTACCAGGTCCCTACGAAAGATGGGCTGCGAACACTGCAGTGATCACCTCGACCGGAATCTTGAAATCCACATCCTGGTCAAAGGAGTGCGGGGGGCCAATGCAGGAGACAAGTCGAAGGCAAAGGGCCCCGACTCCAAACGATCGAGTCACAGACAAGCCGGCTGCAACCTGCCCGCGGGATTTCAGGATCACCTGAGCTGCAGAATCCCGCTATGCATAAACGCGGGTCAAATGCACGCAAGCGCGGGGCATGCGACACTTTTTACTTCATGCATCTTGCGCGCAGCACAAAGGTCTTATTCGACCCGAGCGGTGGATGGCTGCTGCAGGATGCTTTCACATCAGGAGTCCGGCAGAAGATCCTGCATATGTTCCGAGACGGGCTGCACTTTTAGCGTGTCGGCTTCCACCTGTGGGTGCGACAACGTATCCTCGACATTCTCGATTGAGTGAAGATCTCCGGGAGTGTCTGACACCATTGACTGTACCTGGACTGGAGCTGCGGACATCGAAGTCTCGGAGAGCGGATCCTCTTTGCTCGTGGTGGGCTTTGTCGCGACGGCCTCGGGCTCGGAGGAGCTCACGGCATATTCCTCCACATGCTCGGTCTGCCCAACCTCGTCCCACCACTCCTCCACTTGCTCGGATGCCCCGTTGTAGGTTGGAAATGATAAGCGGCTCAAACCAACAACTTTCCAGAGCCCGGTCCCGCACTTCTCTTGAAGCTCGTCAAAGTTGTTCTTCGTCTCCGCTTCCTTTTCCAGTTCTTCACCTGGGTCACCTGGGCTGAGGAAGAAAGGAACAGGCATGCGGCATGCGCCCTGACCTGCACGGTTGCATGACAAGGCTTGTTCAGAGTTCCATTGGCCTTGGCCGGGGTGCAAGTCAAAAGACCTCTACCGTTTTACATCCGCGTCACACACTGCCAGGATTTCTTGCCAGGAGTTCCGCTTGATCTGCACCACGGCGGGTTGGATCGTGCCATAGAGCTGGTGATCGGGTTCAAGGAAGAAGACTTCCAAAAAGGCCTTGACCACGTCGTTGTAGCTTACCAGGGCAGGTTTTAATTTGGGGCTCTGTGCCAGAAGCTCATGGGCAGGCACCTCTGGATTCCGCGTCTCCTCCTTCGCCACACTCGCCTGTAGAGCGTCCGTGTCCTTGTAGAAGTCTTCGATCTCTCGCTTCACTTTCCTGAGCAGCTCTAGAGAGTCTTGCTCGCGACGATGCTTCTTTTCCAGCTCCTCTTTTTGCTTTGCTGCCTCGATGACCTCAGCCTTCGCTATGTCGTGCGACGCGATGGCCTCGTCTCGGAGTATCTGCTGATCTTCCAAAGCCACACGAGCCGCATGTAGAGCTGAATCTGCCTCCTCGTGAGCTGATTTGTGCTTGTCAACAAGCTGCCCTGCTTCTTCAGCTTCCGCCCTCTTCGCCTCTTTTGTCTTCTCGGCTGCGTCAAGGGATGCCTCCTTGTCAGCAAGGAGCCGCTTCTTCTCCGCAAGGTCCTGCTCCATTTTCTGCTGCTTCTCTAGCATCGTCCTCTCTGCCGCTTCGACATCCTCACTCATCTTCCTCACCTCCTCCCTCACGCCTTCGAAAGTAGCAAGAGCCTGCTCATAGTCCTGGCTCGACGTTGTGTTCGCCACCGCGGACTGTTCCAATGCGACCAGGGCTTGGTGCGCCCGCTCCTCCTGAGCAGAAAGCTAACGCAGATGCGTCTAGTCGACGTATGTTCACCACCCATGTGGCTGACTCTCCGGGCCACTCTGAAGGAGATCCCAGATTGATCAATAATTCACGCCAGACGACTCAGGGCTTCGCACGTTACGAGATGAGTTCTGCTCGGCTGTTTGCTGTATGGGTCGGTGCCATGAAAAATTGCACAGATGACGGAAAGCTCAGCTTTACGTTTGGTGTCGGAGGGACGGGGTGAGTGGAGGGGGTCACCGGATTTGCAGCAAATTGGCTGGTTTGGACACCAAGCAAATGGGCGCAGAGCGAGAGGCCACCGGGCTGGTTTAGGGGGCGCAAAATAGCCGAAGACCGGTAAAGGGGATTTGCTCGTACAGTGCGAATGTATGGGCAAGCGGGTAGGGGGGCACATGCTGTGGGAGGAGTGTCTTCAGGACGGTCTCTGCCTAGTGAAAACAGCCCTGCCTAGACACTTCTGTTTAGACCTCAGGTGGCCTGCTCAAGAGGCAGGTGGTTGATGGATGAGTTGACAGTTGATGGGTGCAGAGGCGCTTCAAAAATGTGGTTGGAACTGATTTGAGAAGGATAGATTTGCAGCCAGCAGAATGGCAGGCTGGGGGCGCCACTTCAAGGGTGAGGCGGGAGGGTGGTGCGCAGGAGGGGGGCACATAGACGTTTTGTACTGCTTGGAAGGCCCGCAAGGCTGACGAAAAACAACACTTCTGCTTGGATTTCGGGGAGGGGCGGGTGGCAAACAAAGGGTGGGGCGGGCTTAGTGTGGGGGTATGGCATCTATCTAGCATGGGTGCGGTTAAAGGCGTTGCAGCTACGGACAGGGGGGGAAGGGGTGGCGAGGGGCTTCAGTACGGGGGGGGGGGTGGGGCACGTATTGTTTGGGCGTTTGGGCCGTACTGGTTTGCAGTAGACGTGCCCGTTCAGGCCCCTTTTTGATGTTACCTCCTAATCTCCACCGACCGTGCATTTCAGAGTTTGGTTAAAGTGTGAAAAATCGCCCGGGCGTTGCTTCAGCGCTGACTTATAGCAGTTTGCGGCACGCCTTTTGGCACCTCCGTTCTGGAGCTCCCGGTGCTTTGCCAGCGAACTGATGGGGATGCTGACGGTCTCCTTTTAGACGTGGAATTAACCCGCACCAAATGTAGCGGGTATCGTCATCCGTCTGCTTGTGATGAAGACATAATTTGGGCAAAGCGCTGCATCAGCCTAAATAGAGCACACTTCACGCCACAAACTAGCACGGAAAGACTGAAAATACAAAGAATTCGCATGCATTCGCCCGGTGTTCGCCCTCACGCGTGAAACGGACGGGTGGCCGTGCCAGAAGCTGGCAGATGCAGGGTAGCCGGCACCAGTAGCAACCACCAGCAGCCGCGAGGCTGTGAAAGAAGGCACCGGCCTCACACCTGCCTTGAGTTTCCAGCCCTTTGGCAGGAAGTGGATACCAGTGCTCAGCATAGCCCTTCGCAGCAACATGCAGCAACCCCGGCCTCGGGGGCGGTGGAATGCGGACGCCCATAGTACGATGTTCCGCTGAAGACTGGCTAAGCACGGCAGATACTGCGCAAAGATTTCCTTCCAAACTCGGCAGGAAAGCCGGTCTGCCGACACACACAGTGCGCAAGTCGCGTTTGGCTGCCGCTCAAGACTCCCAAACCCAAGCGCCAGTCGAGGTTCCGGGTGGAACTGTCGCCACACAATGTGAAAGACGCGCCGCGGAAGCGAGTCACCACCGACCACGGCAATTCTGCTTTGTTTCTTCCGCTTGGGCATCCGAGTTCGATTCCAGCTTTGCTCCAAATGTGGGTGAGACAAAGGGCCGTTGTAGCGGGGCTGCACTAACACCGTCGGAGTCGGGTACTGCCTGTAGCATTTGTGAGAGTATCGGTCGTAGTGCTGCAGCTGTAGCGCAGCATAGACGAGGAACTACAGTGCTTATGATCATGACAATATTCACACGAGCTATGTGATAATCTTAGGGTCTGATAGGAAACCTACATCTGCCCGACCTTGGAGGGGAATGCGAGTTGAAGTTCGAGTCTACTCTCACATGTGTCGGAAGGGTTCAGGCGGAGCTCGGGGGGCCGCGAAGATTTGGAGTTCACTCTCGACCGCGGGTGCGAACGCACGACGCCACACTGTTTAACGGCCAGAGCAAGTTCGGCTTCATGAATGTCCCCAAGCTTTGTCGATGTCATGACTCACGGATTTCTGGTGGGAAATACGCGAAAACACACTTGTTGGAAACAGCAACAGGCTGTAACAGGGGTTTCCCATACAGCTTCAGAGGAACTCTGCTTGCACGGGGGATATGCGGGCATTCTAGGACCGAAGTTGAAATACTGCGACTGTAAAGACAAAGACTAGGCACGCAGTGAGCACCATAGGGCACACGAACTGACCAAATCTCTCAGCACAATCCGGCGGCCTGGGCTTTGAGATGAGCTTGTCGATTCTCAAGTTCTTCGATGTGCTGCTTGCGCTTCTCCTCCGCCTTCTTCGCGTCATCCTCCTTGTGCGAATGCTCAGCAATCGAGTCTTTGAGCTGCTTCAGGCGGCTGGCGGCCATGCCCTGCGCACGCCTGACTGCTTGGTTTACCTCCCCGGGCACGCTGCGGGACATCTCGTCTTCGCGAAGTACCGAATGAAACTCTGAACCATCCCGCACTGCTCCGGGCAGGGTCAGCAGACTCTGCACCAGAATCCACGAGAACATCACCGGCGACATGAAGGAAGGAAAGGGCCTGATATCAATGTACATACAGAATGATGAGCCTGAACGGCGACAACAACAGACAACGACGCAGTGCCGGCTGGCAGAGCAGCTTCATCTCCAGAGTCAGCATGTTGGGACATGGCTTCGTCCGTTGGGCATTCGGATGTGGCAATCGGCCATGGTTACAGCATGTACTGCTTTGGCATCCCTATCATCAGACAGAACGCAGCACCGTCCAAGTCGGCAGATCGAGGTCACTGCACGGTGAGCGCCGCCGAAGGGGGCCACGGTACCGCCTTGTTGTTCCACTCTCCTGCTTGCCCCAGCGACTTCTAGCTACGATAGCGAGATGCGGTTGACGATAAAGACTACATTGGCAACAACTCTCTTCTTCAACAACCGGGCCCCAACAAGTTCAAACTTTCTAGGATAGAGCCAATATACAAGGCCAAAAAGTTTAAAGTTCCCCCGTTCACTATCTAAGACAATCGGAGGATGTCGCTACAGTGGCAATGGCCATCAATGGCCTCTGGCGATCACACATGTAATTCTAGTACTGGCCATGGTGACAAGAATCAGTAACAATCCGAAGCATTCTTCAGGAAGATATTGCTCTGCCTCTTCTCCGCGGTGTTGTCTGGGCGGTGGTCTACCGAGAGCCTCACCGCAAAACCGTCCTGCAGAATTCGAGAGGTACCCTCATTGAATTTCGGCAAGTTGCCACGTGCCGAAGCATCCTTCTTGCCGAGAATGGCCCTGCTGTCGCCCACCTCGGGCTTCCAAACTGCACACAGACAGGTTCGCTGCCCCGAGCCCAGGCACCAGGCATTTGCAATCAATAGTCTGAGACGTCCCTCCTTGTGCCCAGGCGACGCTAACGCTGTGCCGTCACAAGGTTTCATTCCTTGTTCACGAACCTTGCCCGACACCCTCAGCCTCGTCGGGCCCAGCCAAGCAAGCTGCGCAGCAGGTGCTGCCAGAAGTTGCCCAGGTTCGACCTCAGGACAGCATCTCTCAGCAACAGAGGCGCAGCATAGCGAAGCATAGCACCGCTCTCTGACGCCCCAACCGGCACCGCCTTCCAGCTTGTTGGCGTACCTGAGCAGAGCCGCTCCTTGGAGGCCGCTGCCACAAGCTGCCACATGGCCCAACTTTTCGGGGGGGGGGGGCACTGGTGGAAGGTATGTTCGGTCACCTTGAAGCCTGCCAGCAAGGCCGACTTCAAGACCTGCTCAGCGTTCGCGTCCTCGGTGCTGGAGCTGGTAAACTCCCCAGCGGGCTGCATGGTGCTCAGGATCGGGCTCGCTTGCGCCTCAGTTGTGGACCCGGCTAGTATGCGACTCCACCAAAGCCACACATCCCATGCATCCGAAACCCGCTTTGGGAGCTTTCCCCCAGAGTACGACGAGAGCAGCTCTGCTTTTGTATGTTTTGACTCGGGCTGACACCATGAGCTTAGGCAACGGCTGATCCCTCAGGGAGTCGAGAATGTTTCGCTCCAGATTCAGAGCGACCTTGGGATTCTGATGATGGGGTCTAGACTCAGACAAGAATTCTTTAAACTCAGATTATCGTTTGTGGCAAGAGATGTTCGAACCGGGCTGTTTGCAAAACTTCTAATCTTTGTGGCCAGAGATGTTCGAACCAGTTGTTTTAAAGATTCAGTATGTCCTGATCTTGTAGCAAGAGATGTTCGAACCAAGTTATTTTAAACTCAATATGTCTTTGGCTTTGTGGCAAGAGAACTTAGAATACTCGCATGCAGAGCGCGCCCAGGTGCGAAGTTGCCTTCTGTCAAATCCTAACGTCTCCCTCTGTTTATGCAACACACCCTCGGAACTTGTAGCAGAATCTGAATCTGGTGAAAGATGCATGAGGAAGGGTGTTGCAGGATGGATGGCAGAGTGCACCCACGCCGACGCGATTTTCAAAACGTATCATGGGTCGATGGCGAAGTTGCTGCAGGAAATTCCTGCATGACCGTCCATCACGGCGTAAACAGCCATTGCCTTGTAGCAGAGCAGATCGTGGGTATCTCAAAGTTTCACACCACAGATTTGGTGGCCTGTGACATGACGATATCAAATTGAGTGGCTGAGGAGCGGGCCGCAGACTTGACAGTGCTGCCGAGCCTAAGCTTGCTTGCAGCAACTGGCACGTGCAAGTTAGATGCAGTGGGCACAGACGCTGTCTGGTTCATACTGCGGCATAAAGCGGTCAACTTTCGCTCTGCAACTGTCGGCAAATTCTCTACCCAGCCCTCCTAACCTTCCAGATGGCATCCTCAGTTGCATCAGGGCATCACGCTCCATAGCACCCAAGCCACTAACGACAAAGCTTAGGATGTTTGGTGAACCTGCGACCGTCAGACCTGGCTGAGGGACTTTGCCGACACGGTCGCCAGAAAGCGCTCGCATCTCTGCCAACACAGGACGAAGCACCTCCTGACTGAATCGCCGGTGGTCTCGCACGGACACGCCAAGTGCTCGCACCTGTCCTGCTAAGTCTGCCAATCGTTTCGGTGTTCCTTCGTCTGAATCCTGCAGTGGCCGAAGCCTCGAAGGATCCGACTGTCTGACACGACACAGGGCAGCCACACGAGAGCAGAGGGTCCGGGATGCTTGTGCCTCGCAGGCCATGTCGGCCTGGAGCGACAAGGCACGACCGCTCGCTATGATGTGGCGGCTTACCGCCTTCTCGGAAATCCAGACACCGATCTGCCACTTGGAGCGCTGCCGGCAGGATGCTGCCAGTGCTGCGAAGGTGGTCGCGTCTGGTTGCAGGCTGCTGCTGAGGGCAAGCTGAAGGATCTCAAGGCTCCACATCCATTGGGCTGCCTTCTCACAAGCGGCAAGAGCTGCGTTGTAACAGATGATGTTCGTCGCAGCGCCATGGAGGCCAAGCATATGCAGGGCGAGGTCCCATCTCGCCATCTTTTCGGAGGTGGTGATGAGAGTGCCGACCAGGACTTCATCCGAACCCATTTTCTGCTTCTGCGACGCGTCCAACACATCCAAGGCCCGACTCAGCTGTCGTCCTCGAGTACAGGCAGTGATTGCTGAACTGTGGCCAATTAAATCAGCAGGCTCTGGCCAGGAATGGAGAAGCCACATCGCAGCTTGCCATTTGGCAGCACTCGAGCAACAGCCTCACCAAGATCAGACCCACCAACCCGCTGCCCTCGAACCAAGACAGACATATGCTACTTGGTTGCAGGCCTATCTATGAGAGCACAAAGTGCGTATGTGGACCAAGGGGCGAATTAAAACATTCTGGGTCACGCCGTCTGGGTGCACGCGGCAGCGCCGCATCGCAGGTAGCAGTGAAAGAGCCGTCTGCCACTGCGTGCACCGTGCAAGCTTGCACAATGTCACGTTCCAGCCGATCACCTCATGCAGTTAGAGAGCTGAGAGACAAGAAGCCTTGCTTGACCTGAACTTTCCCGCATGGCCTCCAAACGCTCCGTCCTGACTATGCGAGGTGCCCAATGCGCCATTGCCGCAGCAACTTCTTGTCGTGCGCGCAAATCTGCCTCCAATGGGCTGCAGCAACTTCCCCGGCATCGGCATAGCGCCGCCCCCCGCCCCCCCAACCCGGCTTCGGGCCCGCCACTTGGACGGAAGTGCGATGCTGGGATCGCTTCGGCTATGAAAGCTTCAGGGCGCTTGAAAAGCTTGGGCCAGCATCTCTCAAGCCAACAAGATACAAGCTCTAACCTGAGAGTTCTAGAATCATCCGGAACAAGGGCACAAAGGCACTGAAAGCAACCACAAGTTCTCGTGCTTCTCCAAGCATCAGACATGCCGACCTCGCGGCTGGTTCCTTCCGGTCGGTGTGAACGTGTGCGACTAGGGACTTCTCACTGGAGTACTGGCGGGACGCGAGCGGTGCCTTCGAGGAAGCCATCCTCCATCAATGCCTCCCAGCGAGGTCTGAGTCTGAACTCTTGACGGTTCAAAGTCAAGAGACATCTTGCGCAGGTCCACCTTCTTGTGGCCTTTCTCTTGGAAAACGCCTGGTCCAATCCGAAGATGTTCGACGTCTTCGGTCGCAGAAAAGCCGCCTGCTTTCAGACCTTGAAGGAGGAGCTGGCGCAGCTTGGCTTCCCTGGCAGAGAGCGCAGCTCCTGGCAGCAGGCAAATTATAGAAGCCTAGAAGGGCCTAGAAGTTTAGAAGCCTCTTCGCTGCACATGCGACATCATGCGACTCAGAACTGTGTCAGACCGGCTCCTGCCGCGATGGTCAAGCCATTCTGCACGATCTTGGCGAAGCCCTGGACACGCACGTTGCCGGCACACGGCTTCCTTGGCCGATTGACATTTGCGCCAGAAATCACTCGCCGAACCTGATCCTGATTTTTGCCCTGCTCTCGTCCTGCGCTCCTCGCTTGTTTGGCTTTCATTTCCTTTCTTCTGTCTCTTGGACCGCAGGTGGTTACATCTTCGTCGGGTTGCCAGGTTTCTTGTCTTGGTCTACCCGATCTTCCTCGCCGCTCGCGTGCCGTCTGTTGGTGCTGTCCTCAATTCATGCTGCTGTGCCCCGGTGCTCTCCACCTGAGCGTGGCTCGCTGTTTTCACTGCCGCGTCGCTCTTCTCGTGATGTTTGGAAATCCAGCTCGTCATGGCCGGCGATTCTGGCAATCTGGTTACTCCTATGACTCTGCGGGCATCAAGGCTGAAGCTAGCGTCGTTGAAACTGAGCACCGGCGGCCAGCTCATCTTCTGCACGAGGCGTTTGGAATTCGAGAGTTGATGTCAGCACGTCCCCCGTTTTACTGATCGACAGCTCTTAGTGGCCAGTAGCTGCCATTAGCCACTATTATAGTGTTTGTTATCACCACACTTGCCGAGGAGAAGGTCTGACTCCTTCAGTGTGACAGATCTTTTCGTTGGATTTCGGTAAAGCCTGGTAAAATCTTGGAAAACCACAGATAAATATTGGCTCTCGCCAGTGGTGGCCGGCCGCAGAGACACAATCACAATGTCAGTAGCAGGGTATGCAGCCAAAGCTCCCATCATCCTGCGTGGTCATCTCAAACGACACCAGTGCCTAAGCAAATCCATGTGGTCCTTCTCGTGAGTGACGGACGAGGTCATGTCTGTGAATGCGCATGCTAGATTTCAGAGCTCAAGCGCAAAGAATAGAACTGAGCACTTGCCGCACCCCGGAACCCGCAATCCGTAGCATCCCTGAATCCCGAAGCCTGAGGTCCTGGCTCCCGGTGCCAGGGCGGCATAGTTGTCGCCATCAGTGCCTTGACGCTAACTTTCCATTTGTTTCGTGCTGCGGCGAAGATTTGCCGCACCACAGCTGTGCATTCACGTGAGACGAGCGATTTCCCTTGGTTGTGGACCGTCTTCGATTTGGTTCTTGTGTACGAAGATCTCCTCACAGCGCAGCGGGATGAGGTCAGATGCTCCGAAGCTAAACTGCTGGAAGCTTACTTCGGACCTAGGACGGCAAAGCAAAACTCTCGGAGCGGAGTCCATGCGACGCCAGTCCTCTGCATCCTGGCCAGGTCGCGAGTCCAAGGGCCTCCGAGCTCATTGAACCGCAATGACTCAGGACACCTCGCGCAACCCTTCTTTGACAGCACCCAAGTGCCGCTTCGTCTTGCAAGGCTCCGTGTTCGACATCAGCTCCCGGCAGGATCTTGCCAAAGCCCTTGTCCTTGTCGAACCACCTGAAGAGCCACCGATGCATCTGCAGCGAGAGGGTGACAACTCTCTTCTCCGGCCGATCCTGCCTCACTCTGCCCTCGAGGCGCTTCTTCGACTGGAACTGAACATTGAGGACTGCCCTGGACTGGAGACAAAGCTCAGTTGCCAAATCTCCGTCCTCGACACAAGATGCCAGCACTCTGACATTGAGCTCCCTGCTTCAGGTCTGGCGCGCGCACCGTTCGGGCCATCCTGAGCGCAAGCAGAGGGCGGAAGAAGCATGAAAAAGGAAACGCCTTGCATCATGCCTGCATGCTGCATGCAATTTTATGCACTCGCCTACACGGGGCTCCACTTCCAGCCCAGCTTGGCCATGTGTACGTGAGAGGTGTTGTAGGCAAGCCGTGGGCCAGCTACTGCCCAAGAGACACCTTGGGAGCCATGACCCCAGCTGTAGACTCCCCTGTTGCCTTTGAAGAAATGCTTCACTGCGTCCTGGACCCCAGGGCAGGACTGCTGCCGGTAACCGTGCACGTACACTTCGCCATGGGCTCCAAGCCTCTTGTAGACCAACTTGAGTGGCAGGATGGTTTGTGGGTAGCTATCTGCATCCACCAGTGCAAAGGCGACCTTCGAAGGCAAGGCTCTTTCGGAGACTTGCACCATGTATCCTTCATGGACCTCTGGCATCCTGGCACCCTGGCTCCACAAGAAGAAATCAAACAGCCACCGCCGTGTCTTCACAATCCCTTGTGCAACCCTCCCAGGCCAGCTCCGCCAAACATTGTTCAGAAGCTTGTCTCTCATGCGATCACGCTTCGGGAAGCCGGGACCTTTGAAGGGGTCGTAGACATGATGCGCCCTCCTGGGCTCCCCACTGACCTGGGCATAAATGTCCAGAAAGCGACTGACCCACAGGGTGGTTTCGCCCACGCCAACGCCGAATTCCAGCACTGCACTTTCGCCGGGATCCATCGCCAGGCTCCGCTCGAGGCCGCTCAGCAAAAGCTCCGCCTCCCTGCGCGTGACCCCCTCCCAGCGAGGGCCAGCCCAGCAGAAGCTCCGAAGCGTCTCGGCAACCATCGGAGACACGTCCGCAGAGGCGGTCGTGTTACAGCTGAGCTGTTGCAAAAAAGGCCCAGGCACCAGAGTCATCCAGGCAATGCAGAAGTAAATCCCGCCAGCCAAGGCCAGCAGCATCACCGACAATGCCAGCATCTCCAAGACTGGCTCTTTCGATCTCGACTCTTTGAGCTGCAGGGTGGTCCCGCCCAACGTGACGCGTGGCAGTGGGGCAGACTCCTCCTTCACAGGAGCGACCGGCCACATGCAGACCAGCTTGCCTCGCACAGACCCCCGTGACATTCCGTGACACTTCACAATACTTTCGGACTTTACTAACTTTACTGGTTTCATCCAAGGAGCTAGCAACTCTGAATGCGAGCAGAAGCTGCAGGATGGCCAAGGTGATGGGAAAGAGCAGAAGGACCGTGGCAACGGCCAGTGCTTTCGGTCGACTCTCCCTTTCCAGGGCCGACTCGTAGCTGTGCGCCCTAGCGGCTCTGGCCCTCTCTTCCGTCTCCAAGACGGACCTCCCAAGTGCAAGATGCCGTGCTGCACCCACTCTGCCCACCCTAATCTATACTCTAACGATCGCGGCCGTCCTGGTGGATGCACCACTTGCCGTGTCCTGGTCCATGAGTTCAGCGAGTGGTGCATCTGAGCGCAGCAGCTGGCCCTGCACACGCGCTGAAGCCAACATACGGGCTGCTAGGGCGAATGCAAGCCTGGCCTGTGGCGTCACCGCGATCGTGGCCTCAAGGCTTCCCTTCTCTTTAACCTCTAACTGTGGCAGCCTATGATGTCTCGCATGTCAAACGATTTGGGACCAAGTTCGATGAAGTTAGGCCACGTGGCGCATCGGCTGGTCTGCAGATTCGCCACCAAGATCACGTAGAGCATCGGCACAACATTCATCATGAGCTTCGGCCTCTTCTGGGCTGTGGAAGTCTCTGCTCCGTGCTGAAAAGTAAGCAAGTCTCGCGAGTTGGGCGCCCGGCAGGAGGGTACTATGGAAACTCGCGCCCAAGGCTCTTGGGTACGAGAGCGGCCTGCTAAAACTCCTAGCCTTGAGGCTGACTGCGGGCCAGAAGAGGGCACAGGGCACTTTGACGTTCAGCATGCTTCAGGTTCCCTACTTTCCGGACTCCGAGGCTCCGACTTCGACGCCGCACTTTTGCCTGCCTGCGGCGCAGCTTGACAAGTCATGCAGCACTGGCACTGCTCAGAAGTGGTGTCAGGGTCTGAACTATTCTGAGGAGGAGGCCATGTCCTAGCGTGCCCTGCAGCGCGCGCGGCCATTCAGGCTTCACATGTCCAGCACACCGATGGGGTGGTTTGAAGCACGCGACGCTGTGTCATAGGCAATGGTTTGTAGCAGCCTCCTGTGCCTTCTCCCTACAAGACACCATATCATGCAGTAAGGCTCACGGCGAGTATGCGAGTACTGAAGGCAATCTAGCTGTGTCAGAGTCTGCACCTCTGGCATGATTTGGCATCTTCTGAGCGCCAACGTTAGCGTTAGCGCAAAGGACCGAGGCTGAATGAGGCTGAGGTTCGGAGTGGCGGTGAGTCCAGGATGTCATTCGAGCGACTTTCTTCAAATGGCTGAAGCGCTTCGAATCTGCATGCTTATGACCCCTGCCAGGCTGCAGTACATACAAACGCAAGCAAAAGGCAAACATGGCAGATCATCATGCGCTTTCTCGAAGGCAGTGGGTACCTCGCCGACAAAACTTCTTAAACAATCGAATTAGGAGAGGCCTACTTACCCTGGCTGTCCCACAAGCATCTACGAACGTCCATGCTGATGGCAAAACTTTCCGAGTGCCCCACCCGCACTCGGGCTTTCCCTGGCATCGTGCTTCACCACATAATTCTCTGGCTTGTTGGCTTCTTCCGGCAAATGAGACAGGGGGGCGCATCATGGGAGCAGTACTAGCACTGTCATCGCCGTCGTCATCCGACCTTGCTTCGAGACAAGTTCCATGTCACGGAAACCTCCCCAGGCTTGTGCGGGGCCCTGGCTCTGACGCCTCATCTGCGAATCTCACATGCGCATGGCCATCCTCATCCTCATCCTCATCATCCTGCGCCTCCTTGCGCACAGTCTCTATGTCGGAGCTACTGACACCGTGCAGCAGCAGAAGTAGCAGAAGCAGCAGCAGCAGCAGCAGGAGTCGGAGTAGGAGCAGGAGTAGAAGGAGCAGTCGTAGCAGCAGCAGTAGTAGGGGAAGTAGGTAGTAGGTAGTACGTCGTAGTCGTAGGAGTCGTTTTTGCCTCCTGCATTGCTGAGCGAATCACTAGTAGGTAGTAGTACGTAGAAGATAGCAGGTAGCAGGTAGCATGGCAGCAGGTAGCAGGTGGCAGGTAGGTAGTAGTAGTGGTAGTAGTAGTCGTGGTCGTAGTCGTAGTAGTCGTAGTAGTCGTAGTAGTCGTAGTAGTCGCAGTAGTCGCAGTAGTCGCAGTAGTCGCAGTAGTCGCAGTAGTCGCAGTAGTCGCAGTAGTCGCAGTAGTCGCAGTAGTCGCAGTAGTCGTAGTAGTCGTAGTAGTCGTAGTAGTCGTAGTAGTCGTAGTAGTCGTAGTAGTCGTAGTAGTCGTAGTAGTCGTAGTAGTCGTAGTAGTCGTAGTAGTCGTAGTAGTGGTAGTAGTGGTAGTAGTGGTAGTAGTGGTAGTAGTAGTCGTCGTCGTAGTAGTAGTAGTAGTGGTAGTAGTAGTTTTGTCACCCACATAGTGGTGGTAGTAGTAGTAGTAGGTAGTAGTAGTCACTCCGGTTCAGTCCTTCACATCCACGAACTTTGTGGGCACCCGCTTACGCACCGTCGCATGTATCTGCAGAGTGGCAAGATTCGGAGGTCATGCATGTCCCAGCATTTCCACGCCTGGCCCGAATCAGCATCCTCGTGAGTCTCGTTGACACTGTCGTTTCCGCGGAATCGCACCTTTCGAACTTCGGACTTCGGGCGTGTGTGGCCACTCGAGCCGGAATTGGGCCTCTCGTTTGGGGGACTCCTCGTCGTCATCCTGGGCCTGCATAGAACGAGTGGCAATGTCCGGACATGGCCCAGATGCTTTCCAGCCGGTTTTGAAGTCTGAGCTGCACACCAAGGGCAGCTTCGGAACGAAAGCTGTCCCTTGCCTTTTCTTCGGAGAGCGCTTCAAAGCCTCGGAATGAGAGCCATAGATGAGGGGAGAGGGGGGGAGGAGGCTGACCTGAAGGTCGCTCGGGACTGAGGCTTGCTCGTCTCCTCCCTGTTCTTCATCTTCGTACTCTCCTGCGAAGCTCACCTCCGGAGATCTCGCAAAGATGAACCGTTCCGGAAAGGGGTTGGATCGGGGCCCGTGCTGCTGTCGCTTTTGCCTTGGGGACGAAGGCCGTGGCCTTGCGGCCGTGCGCTGACCGCTTGGGCCCATCTCCTGGCCGACAGCTAGCGGTTCTGGCCGACATGTGTTGGCTTCAATGGTGGTAGCCAGCCCTAGATTGATACCGTCCTTTGGTTTTAATCAAGACGAGGCCTCTGGTATCGAAACGCGACTCTTCCCCCAGAGTTGGGTGCTTACCACAAGAAGCAGTTGGCCAGGCTGAGATATGCTGAGATGTGTAAGCGCGTCTGGAATACTGAGGTATGTTTGATAGTTAACTGCCAATCAGTTGTTTGGGTCCCAGGGTTTTTGCCACCCGCCCAGCTGAACTAAGTTGCACCGTAAGTAACTCGTCCGACCCTTGAGAGTCAGGAGTCCCTGGCGAGAAATCGACCAACCGCATCCTAAATGTTCGGCCGTACTGAAGAAACGATCACTTGACGATTTCGTGTGTATATTTGTAATGACGACACGAGAAAAAGGCCCTTTCGGAGCATGCTTAAGAACCCCAAGATGTCTGTAGACAGTGACAGAGAAGATGGGGGCGTCTTGAATCCCACCGCCAAATGGTACAGCCGTGCCGGGTCGTCCTTCGTCATGCCCTGCCACCTCAACTTCATCAGCATCATCATCGAAGCTGACCTGGTGTCGTCGCGTCGTCATGAGAATGCATCGCTTGTTGCACCGAGCTCTGGGTTCCGTCACCCCTGGTCACTAAACTTTACTGCGACATTGTGCCCACGAGTACTTCGGTGGGGTGGGAGAGCACTGAACCAACCCCGCCGACCATCGGCCCAGAACGGAGAAAGCAGGAAGCCTTCATCGAACTTGAGCCCATGTATTTTGCGAAAAGAAAACTCAGGTCGCGACACCGGGTGAAGCCCTCGACTTTGGAACAAACGCCGTGGCTTTCCGGCCATGTGCAGACCGCTTTGGTCCGGCGCCATCTTCCTCCACATCTACCTCTTCCGCAGCATCCTCGAAGGCAACCTGCTGCGGAACGTTAATTCTGAAAAGGAGACGTGCAATAGACTCAGCGGATTGCTGCAGGTGCATTTTGAAACACATTTGCACGGGATGCATTCACGCCTGCTTCTGTTGCAATACGGAGCCATGTTCAACATCTAGCGGCTAGGTAGGATAGCATCCGCACGACTAGCTCTAGACGCTGCCGCAGCTTCTTGCATATCCCTGCTGCTGATACCACAGGATACCAAAAGATACCTTCGCAGCTGAGGTTCTTCTGCGATCTCCCCGGGCCCCGGGCCCGGCCTGCCCGGTTGACACTTTGGCCTTCTTGACAAAAGCTGTCGGTTGGCGTCCGTGGACGGATCGCTTCGGCGTTTGGTCAACTTCGACCTCATCAACGTCGTCCTCGTCATCATCGAATTCCACCTGGGCGCATATCGGAGCAAGAAGGGTTCGCCTTCGCGGTCGACTCAGCCTCGGGCTGAAGCCATGGGCTTGCCTTTTGGCACGAAAGCCGTTGGCTTTCGCCCGTGGACGTTCCTCTTGGGTGCATCGTCATCCTCATCCTCATCCCCATCCACCTCCTCCACTTCGTTTTCGAAGTTGACCTCAAGAAAGCTCATCGCAAGGAAAGAGATGGCAGGCAAAGCCCTCGCTTTGAAATTGCTTGTTGAAGTCAGTGTCTTCTGCAGTAGCAAGCAAGGCTCTGGCGCCACTGCTGGCTTTTGCCTTCGGCACAAACGCAGTAGGTTGGCGTCCATGCACCTTCCTCTTCGGCGTCTTATCTATTTCAACTTCTTCAACATCCTCAGCGTCATCTTCAAATTCCACCTGAGCCGGAGCTTCTGAGCCCAGCCCCACAGTTCACGACTAAAAATGCAGCATGCGGCCTGTGGGACCTATGCCGCGTCTTCTTGGAACCGGGCGCTTTGGGCGGCCGCCCGCTTTGGCACGAAGGCTGTGGCCTGGCGCCCATGTACGGAGCGCTTTGGGCCGCTCGCGTCCTGGAGAACACGAGGGGGAAGGCTTCGTTACGAAGATGAGTTCTAAGCCTTCTTCTGGGCATCGTGACATGCTTGAAGGTGCTTTGCTGAGACAGTCTGGCTAATACTAGTATCTGGACACGGCATGGCACGGCACTACGGAACTTTCAAGTCTTCCCTCAAGGTGAAGTCTTGTTGGCCTCTTGCAGGGTGTGGCACGAGACTCCTACCAACTAAACATCGCATATCCGGTGTCGCAATCCCAGCAGGCGGAAGCCATTTTAAGACGTCTTGGTCATCCAACGCCCTCTGCACTTGCTGTGTCTCGCCGAAGGTGGCCGCATGGACGATGCGACGCACAATGCGAAACGCGTAATAGGTCGAATTGGTCGAGTGCAGTGGGTGAGTCACATGGCACGATTGGAAGCTGGGAGCCATGTCTGCATTTCGATGTCCTCCTCGACATCCAACTCCTCTGCATCGTCATCAAAGTCGACCTGGAGACCAAGACATGAGCAGCACCCTCCATCTTTGCACCATTTCGCACCCATGCACAAGAGAAGTTGAAGTAGTTGAAGTCTAAGAACG